AAAAGAGGGCGATCTTTACGGCGATTTCATTCTCAAAACCATCTGTACAACCGCATTTATATACAACATTGGTTTACATGGCTACAATTATTGCTTATTTGTTTAATTCCACGTAGTAACTTGATACGAAAGTTTGAAGGTACGAATATAGATTACAAGGGGCTTAGAGACAATAGTGCATAGGATTAGAAAACGCAGTTACAACTCATGCAAAGTTAATATTTGATAACTGGAGAGATAATACTTTTAAAGGCGAAGAGAAGGTGATAATTGTTTTCAACTTGATATGAATTACAAGAGGCTTAGAGACATAAGTTACTCAGGGATAGAACGAATTAAACGTGTGAACAAAATGAGCATGGGAACAAAGAGAAATCAAAATTTTCAACTTGAAATGGAAGTTAGGAGGTGGGAATATAGATTACAAGAGGCATAGAAACAAAAAGGAATACACAGGATTAAAACGTAATTGTAAAATGGTTATTCTAAACGGATTACAAATGTGTGATCAGGAGGAGCATGGAAACAAACTTAAAATACCTGATTTTATAACTGAAATAAAAATGGGATGAATTGAATGAAGACAAAGGGAGAGAATTACACACACACACACACACACACACACACACATAACAAAACAAAAACAGAAACTGAAGGCTAAGGTAACATACTGAACTAGGCCCATGGTAGTTGTAGAGGCTGGACTAGTTTCTTTTGAACACATAGCTTCGGTGTTTCGATGCATATGGCGAGTACTTTTGCAGTACAAAGAAGTCGGAAATACACTGACTGCCTTTGTTAGATTTTTGTTTACTTTGTAAATGGCATCTCTAGTCAAACTGCATTTGTTCTGTCACTAAGAGAAGGATAAGAGCCTTTTTTTTTACAAATTTCGACAATATTACTGCATTAAAATCGATGTCCTAATAAGACGGGGATTAATACATATTTATCCTGTTCGTATACCATAAATATGAACTAGCGTATTAAACGAATACAGTTCTAGTTTCAAATTATCAACTTGTAAGTCTTTACAAGTGTAAAACAATTGTGAAGTGAAACTGTTCAGAGGCTTTCAGTTCAATTTTTGAGTAGATCTAAGGTCAGAGTACTTTAGGCTAGTTTGTTATAGTAGCGGTAAGCTGATAATTTTTTGTGTTATAACTGATTTCAGTTGTGATAGAAAGTATTGTAGGATGTATTTGGGGTGAAAACATAGACACTTATGTGTCGTAATGAAAGATTTTTTTTATATCTGCATGCCAAGTACAGCGAGCAGGTATGGCTTAGAAGTTAATTGGTGGATGATGACTAGCAGTGGGGAATCCAGTGTAACGCGCATTATCGTCCAGTTCGACATGCGTCCGACAGCTGGCTGTACCTACATTACACAGTGAGTCACTGATGACGTTTCCGCCGAGACTCGAACCTAGCGCCCATAGTTTCAAACGCCAGTCGAAGTGCTATCCACTAGACAACTTGGGCCACGATAGCCACCCCGCTTGTTGTGCAACGAGCAATATTAATTATTGAATTGTATTTTAGATTTTCCCGTCCATTGACTGGACCGAAGTGCTCAGCCTCACGTTGAGATGTTGGCTTGTGCAGATGCTTCGACGATTAAATCCTAATTACATGCCCAGACATTGTGGAAGCATCTGCACAAGAAGCCAACAGATTTGTAAACCTGAAACCCGAGCACTTCAAACTGCAGAAGCAATGGCGATTCACTTGCTAAGTCCTGAACTCTGCATACAGAAGAAGTTCGTTCAGTCACTACACTTGCAATGCACTTAATCTATCTTATTCCCTAACAAGTAAATTCTACCTAATCTTTTATTTTCTGTCTCTTCATTAGTATTATTTTGTCGAGTTGATCACGGATTGATATCAGTTAGAGAACCATTGAAAACCAGGGAGTACTGGGCAGCTGCTGTTTCATCCTAGTTTGGGAATCATCGGAAGTACGCACCCACTGGGATTCGAACCCAGGACCTTCCGGTTACAAGGCAAGCTCGTATACCATTCAGCAACTCACTGGGACCCGATTCAATGGCTCATGAATTCTAACTTCTACCAATTCGTGATTTAGCGCGACCCCAACCATTGTCGTTGGTGGGACATCCATCCACACACGTGACATCTAATTGGACCTCACTGGTCACGACTTCTCACTAGAACTCAGGAACTCCAACCTGTAGCAAGTCACTAGCGAGCATCAGATTAATTTTGTATAGTTTGTTTTGTAAGGGTTAGTTATCAATGGTTCTCTAACTGGTATCAATCCATGATCAACTCGTAAAAACATAACTAACCCTTACAAAGCAAACTATAGAATATAATTTTGTCTCTAAAATTGTAATATTTTTTACATTTTCAACTTTCTTGTTCTCTACCCTCACCCGATTTCATTTCTACACTTCATTACCACTGTTACTGACTTGACCAACACTCAATTTCTAGTCATTTATGTTACGTCATTCAACTAATCTGCTCACTTTTCGTACTAGTTTAAATGGTATTATTCTATACCCCCCTTCTACTTAGTCTCTACCTGTAACTACCTCTGTTGCTACCCTGACCTAGGTTGAAGCATTTTAGTCAGTTATACATCTAACTTACTAACTCAGACTTACTTAAGTTGCTGTCCAATTAACCTTGTTTCCATATATTAGATCATTCTTGTATTGCCTGATCAATTATCTAAACTTGACAAACCTCATGTACACAAACACACACACACACAAATAATTATATATAAATGCAATTGTACAGCTAGCTATGTGAATGAATTCGCCATCGAAAAGAGTCTCTTCGCTGAACGTCTTCCCTTCTTCAAAATGACAAGATATTTCTAAATAGTGGAAATGCACCACCAACCATCTTGTAGCACAAGGAACTTCGTGCTAATAATGATGATGACACACTCAATTCAGCAGTGATTATGCGATACTAGTAGTGTGTTTTTTAATGTCTGAGTCTTGCATAAAATCAATTTTACAGGGAAACCAACCTTCTTGAAGACTTCACAAAAAAGCTTATTTATACAGCGTCAAGGTAGACAGCTGTGATTCTTTATCTTTATTATTCCCTTAGGTTCTGCAGTTGTCTTTAGCTTGCTCTACGACCGTCCGTTGGCTCTTATCTCCTCTTAACACGATCTCCATGTCACTCTTAGACAGTACGTTGAGCAGTAGGTTCTTGGTTGGTTCGTTTACAGAGTTCCTCTTTGTTAATCCTTTTTGGTCATTGCGTGACGACAGAAGACAAGGGCCAGGAAACAGATAGTCCACTAAGGAAATCAACACAAATTTATAGATCTTCATGTACATTATTATAGATTATTGTTAGCAGACAAACACAGTCTTCTGATTGGTGATTGATTCTCACTGAAAGTTAATCTTTCATCTGTTTGTGGCTGCTTTTTGAAGGTCAGATCATTTATCTGCTAATTGTATCTGCCCACGCAAACAAAGTGTTCTGTGATTGGTTGTTGAGTCAGTTAGTCTTTGTTCTTGTTCTTTTTTTCTCATGACCAATATAGGAGACGTAAACATTAACGTAAATCACTGTCTACCAAGTTTTGGTTAGCAGACAGCTCTCACAACAATATGATCTTCAGTATGGGGCCACTAGAAGGGAGCTGCTGATGCTTTGGAGGACGTGTCAAGTCTTTGAACCATTTAGTTTCTTAGTTCACTAGTTTACTAGCTAGTCATAAATAAGCACGGAAAAGGAGGGAAGTTTGGATGTGGGACTAGTGATCTTACTTTGGCAAATCAACCAATTCACCAAAGAAATCTTGAGAAGACAAACAGAGAAGATAGGGCAAAATTCTACAGTAGCGCGTCCTAAGAGATGCGAACGGACGAGTGACCTTGAGTTGACCAATCAGAAAAACGAGGGATTTTTGCACAAAAAATACGTATATTTACATAAAAAAAGCATAAAAACATTAAACAGTGTATTTTTCTCTAATATGAGATAAAAAATATGTCCCAGTTATAATGGGGAGTGTCAGCATTGAAATTAAGCCGATTCCTATACATGTATTCATCTAGGTGACTAAATAATAAACAACTTGGTTTGAGAGCCATTTATTGCTCTTATCCTACTTTTTTAATCTTCCCCAGAAACCTTCTATTCAATTAGTATGAGTACCGGTTCTGGGATCGACGAAATCATCAGAATGGTTAACTCGGTGGTAAATATATCCCAAACTGGATAATCGGTTATATCTTGCCCATTCATCTGTGTGTGCATGTTAGTGCCAGGTAAAACGAGTCTTTGAATAATAGGCAGAAGAGTGTCGGCGTTCCTGTCTTGAATAAGTTCAATAAATCCTCTCCGAATTTGATTGTCATAAATTCCCACTACCCAAACGTTATTTGCTCTAGCACGTCCCCGATTGTACTTCTTCTTTATAAGCACCGTTTCGTCGGTATGAGCAACAACATCGATTCCTCCCAACACTTGTGTAATAGAGTTCATTTTCCATGACGCCAAATCTCGACAAAATTGGAACCACTGCACAGCAGACATCAACGTATTATCTGTTTGAGCAGCAGTTAACCTCACACCGGACTTCAAAACCCAGTGATGGCATAGAAACAGTTTCGATTTAGCTAAGAAAGTTCCCAGAAGACAATTAACTGAGAGTGTCACTTACCAGTGCGAACACTTATTCGTTTCCTACACTCTGTAAATCTAAATATATATCCATGAATGACCTGTGAATACGGTTGCAGGTTCATTGAAGCTCCACAGCTACATATACGAGAATGTCTCATCAATCCATTATCCAGACAGTATTGAAATTACGTGATCTGGATAAAATTTGCACCTAAGCAGATGAACAGCGTTCATTTTCTCACTAGACTAATCGTAGGTTTCCTTTTTCATATAACTAAGACTTGTTGAGTGTTAGTTTTTTATACCAAACGAAACTTTACGGTTGGTTTTTATTTAAATTTTTTTATTCTTATTCATATATCAATCAGGCAATGACTCAATGCTTTGAACCACATCGTGAAATGCGTATGAATCCGAAAGCTATCACAGCTGCACAAATGTTTGGCCGATTAGATGTAGCCACAAATGATTGGACGGATGGTATATTCTCCACTCTGTGGCGTAGAACGCTGAAAGCCAAAAAAGGTGAACATATCTGGTTGGTGTTAGACGGTCCAGTCGATGCTTTATGGATTGAAAATTTGAATTCAGTACTGGATGATAGTAAACTTCTGACGCTGGCCAATGGGGATCGTATTCCAATGGCACCGTGTTGTAAGATTATTTTTGAAGTAGATAATGTTGACAATGCATCACCTGCAACTGTTTCAAGAAACGGTGAGTAGCAAACAAACTGATTCCCTTTTTCTTTTAACTTCTGTTATTATTGGGCAATCTATCATATCTAATATTGGGCATTTTAATTTCTAATTGTAATTCTGTTAATTTGACCCTTAATCGGAAATTATTCTGGAACTTTCCCATCCATTTGATAGAAATACACGAATGTACAGCCTAGATGATGACTTCGTCGAAAAGAAAGTTTTCTTCGCTGCAATTTTCTTCTTAATTACACCTATGGCATTTCAAAGTAATACATTATATTTGTCATACATTTTGCCGCGAGCAAACAAAACACGTAGTTAAGAGAAGAGTCTCTTTTTGGCGAATTCATTCACTTAGCTGTACAATCTCAATTATATATGATTTTTTAATGTGTAGATTACTTTTCTCAAACAAGAATAAAAATTCGTTAGTCTTGTTGCTTACGTCATCAAAATACTTCAAATTGTAACTGGGGTTGGGGGCAGGTGAAGATAAGTATGAAGGTAGTGGTTTTGAGTTATCAGTGCGTCGGTGGCACAGTGGTTAGGACTCTCGCCGACCATGTACATGGCCTGAGGTTCGATCCCCTGCCACTGACGCACACCTGATATCTACGGTCGGCCTGCAAAATTTGGGCTACCGATATCACATGCTGAAAATTCCATACTTGTATCAAAAATACAATGTGGAATCAATCTATAATCAATAATAATAATAAAAACACTATTCAGTAACTTTATGCATTTATTTCCCTTGGTGAATATTAATTAAGCAAGAACAACAGTGTGCTTTGTGCAGAATAATATGGTGCCATCATTGCTTATTTCGTCGGCTTCTCATCAGGTTTATGTTCAGGAAAGTTTTAACATACTCGCAAATGTTTCATGATATCAGTTGACAGAAGATTCCGTAATGAGTGAACAGTGCTCAGAAAGTTGCCCTTACAGAGTTTTACACAGACAGTTCAAGTTTAAACAAAATAAATGTATGTACACAAGGGTAAAGGAGTCACATAATAAAGGCGAGAGATGCTTAAGATGCTGAGTGACTAATAAATTAGGTAACAATTTACTGAGTTCAACTCAAATTATAGAAACAAGAGACAAGCAAAATTACAGATTATAAAAGGGAATGAGGTTAGAGACAAGATTACGTAATCAGATGAGAGAATAAAGACATTCAGTTACCAGTGCGAGGAAAGACTAATAACAGCTTCTCTATGAACACATAAATCTGGTTTCAAGCGTTTGATGGAAATTGCTTCGGCAAACTTGAGGAGAATCGAGCTCCTTCGTCTGTTGATAATTATAAAGGACTTCGCGATTTCCACCTGATGACCCGTATCGAGGAGATGTCTGGTAATAGCGCTACTATAAGAGCTTGTTCCTTTGAGACGTAGGCTTTTCGGCACATGTTCAGAAAATCGGATGTGTGCCCTTTTTTCTGTTCTCCGAATGTAACTGCTCCCGCAGATACTTGAACTGCCTTTGTAAAAACTATATAAGCACAATTTTATGAGCACTGTTCACCAATTGCGGCACATTCTGTCAACAGATATCATGAGAAATTTGCAAGTATGTCAAAACTTTTCTCTACATAAACCTCATAATTCATTTAGGCTGCAAGCAGCTGAGCTGATGAGAGGGCAACGAAAGAAATGATGGTACCATATTATTCTGCACAAACCACACTGGTGTTCTTGCTTCATTCAACTACTTTTCAATAATAAGGAGTTCATCACTGAGTCTTCCTTTCTAACAAAGTTTTCCCTTGAGTGAGGATAATGTCCTGACCAAGTAAAGGAAATGAATCGAATTGTTTTCAAATATATCTCTATAGTTTTCAATTTGGGGATGATGACTAGCAGTGGAATCTAGTCCAGGATAACTCGCATTTCGTCCTGCTTAAGACTCGTCAGCTAGCTGGATGTACTTGCATTCCACAGTGAGTGATGATGTTCCCACCGAGACTTGACCCCAGTGGAAATAGTTTCAAACACTAGCCAAAGCGTTTTCCTCTAGACTATTTGGGCCACAAGAGCCACGAGAGCTCTTGTGCAACGGGTCATATTAAACAATATATGGAGAATGCAGGTACATCCAGCTGGCGGTCATATGCATAGTAGTAGTATTTTGTCACTATAGTTGTAATATTTTACATTTTCAAAATTCTTGTTCTCTACCCCCACCCGTTTTAATTTCTACACTTCATTACCACTGTTATTGACTTGACCAACGCTTAATTTCTAGTCATCATCCAATTTATCTGCTCACTTTTCGTCCTAGTTTAAATGGCATTATTCTCCATCCCACCTCTACTTAGTCTCTCTCTACCTGCAATTACCTCTGTTGCTATCCTGACCTAGGTTGAAGCATCCAACCAACTAACTCAGTTTTACTTTGATTGCTCTTTAATTAACCTTGTTTTCACATATTAGTTCATAATAATAATTATAATAATAATAATAATAATAATAATAATAATGATTTACTTTATTCCAAAAACAGTACTTGTGATACAGAATGGAATTTTCAGCATTAATCACAATATTGCATCTAATTTCCTCAAATTATAAATAAAATTAATCACACAGAAAATTTTCCACATTTACAATAGAGGTAGTGTCAAAAACATGCAGCATATAAAATGGAAATAGCAATAATAATGATAACAGCTAGGGTAATAATAATAAGAATACAAGTGAAAATTGCCGTTGGCTTGTGTCACACAGTATTGGCAATGTGGTATAGAAATCCTAACATGTTTAAAAATATTGAATATAATGTTCTCTTTACATGATATGGTGAGGGGAAAAACAAAGATTACAGCCGTCATGGAGATAAGTTGGTGTTTGCAATTATGAGAGTAAAACAGAGAAGTAACAGGACCATAAATATAATAGAAGTAATAAAAGTAAAACTTGAAGGTATATAAGGATGGATGGAGGAAATTGTTTATTTACTAGATGAAAAAGGTTAGTTAATTCTTGCCTGACACTATTTTCATCACATAAAATACGTGCCAAGTATGGTATCATAGAATTCTTATACTTAGACGTGCGAGCATACAGTTTTCTGAAGTTACTCCTTGTTCTACCTGAGGAGATGCAAGGTGAAAGCTGAGGGTAAAGCGGATGCTCCAAGTCAGACAAAATCCCTTTAGCAAATTTATTGCACGAAGTCAAGTGCCTATCGACAACGACGTTAACTATGTGGTCCACTGGGACACCACTCACCCTACTGACAGTCTTCAGTATTCTACGAATTGTGACATAGTCTTTTTTAAGCAAACCAGGAAAGAATAAGGGTGAGCAATAAAGAAGAATAGGTAGGATGCAAGAGTTTACGAACTGTAGGATGAGGGGTTGAGTTATACCCGAGTGTCTTAACTTCTTAATGTAAAATGTCAAGCGGAATATTTTACTGGAGATTGCTAAGACATGGGAAGACCAGGAGAGATCAGAAGAGAGAATGAGTCCAAGATACTTAATTTCTGATTTGATTCCTATATCATTGTCGTCAATTTTACAAGTGTCATGAGAATCGATGACTTCTTTTAACTGTCGTTTACATCTTAAGCTGAAATCAACAGTTTGACACTTAGAAGGATTCAGTTTAAGACCGTTAGACTCAGACCATTTGCTGACTTCCGATAGAAAGCTATTTATTTTAGTACAATCTAGCTGGGAGTTAACAGCCATTGAAACCGTTAAATCATCAGCATACTTCACAAAGTTTATTTCATCAGAGTGAGGCAAGTCATGCAAGAAGAAAGAAAAAAGAAAAGGAGAAAGAACAGCACCTTGAGGGACACCAGCTTCAGTAGGCAATGAAGTGGAAGACTTCCCTTTATATACGGTGTACTGCTTTCTATCTGAGAAATAGGAATGCAACCAGTTAACAGCCCAACATTCTGTTTGACTAGCAGCAAGTTTATTTAATAAGATGTCCCTAGGGACCGAGTCGAAAGCAGATGTATAGTCTAGGAAGGCGCAACGAACAAATTTAGCCCCCTTGTCTAGACTGGAAGCAATGTTATGATATAAGACGGCAGCTGCATCTAAAGTGCTTCTACTGTGCTTATAGGCAAATTGTTTAGGGTCATTAAAGGATTTAAGCGAAGGTTCAAGACTAAGTAAAAGTAATTTCTCCATAGTTTTCAAAAAAGGAGACGTAATAGCAATGGGTCTAAATTTGACACATGCTCCAGTAGAAGATTTAGGTATGGGTACAACTTTAATGTCCTTCCAAACGGCAGGCACAATATTATCGGAAAAAGATTTGTTAAATAGATCAGTAAGAGGGTGACACAGAATATCAGAACATTTTTTAAAAATAATACTAGGTACATAATCGGGACCTAAGCTCTGGGAAGGGTTTAGAGACTTGAGGCACTTTTGAACATCATTTGTGTTAAAACCTGGAAAGGGGCTATTATTAACACAAGTGATGCTGGGAAGCATGGCATTTGAGGGAGAGTAAATAAAAGATTTGTTAAGAGTACATACATCAAAAGAATATGGAATATTGTTTATCTGCTTACCACCAGTGATTTCCTTAAATAGTTTCCACATATTAGAAGGATTTTTGCAGGACATGAATTTCTGGTTATATATTACATTCAACCTCTGCATTTCAGACTTAATTAAGAAGTTAGTTCTTTTTACACCAATTTTATCTTTGATTTTATATAGTTTTTCCTTCTCTCTACGAAGCTTTTTAAGTTGAGGCGAGGAGAAACGGTCAAATTTGACGAATAGTGTTTCTTTTGGACAACAGATTTCAAAACAGAATTTCAGATAGGATGTAATATTAGAGATATTGTCATTAAGTGAATCAACATTAAACAAATCCCATCTTGTGTCACTGAGCATGTTTCTAAGATGATGTACGTTCTCATTTGAGTAGCATCTGTGAACAACTTTCTTAGACAAGTTTGAGAGGGCTTTACTGTGTAACTTTCCGTAAATTTTGGGTAAGACTCGTACAATACAATGATCAGAATTGAAGAGCGGGGCTCTTTTACGAGCTTCGTATATTCCAGAATCATTTACAAATACTAAATCAAGTGAAGTATTTTGTCGAGTTGGGAAATTAACAACATTTTCATGGCCCAGCAATGTAATAAAACTGCAGTCGCTGGAGTTGAAGTCGCCGGTCACTATAGATAAGGAGTTACCAAACGAAGCAGCAGCAAAAATAGTGAATTCATCAGCGAAGATAGATAGTTCTGAGGGACTGCAACAAGGTGTGATATAGATATTTGTGACAAAAATGGAGCTGTACTTAGGTAAGTGTTTAGGTCGACATTTTACAGTTATACAGTCAATATTGTCATTTGAGAATTTGAAGCAGACGTTGTTGGCAGTAGACCACTGAGAATTAATAAAAGTGGCAACACCACCACCTCTCTTCTTCTTCGAGCTGCATCGGTCTTGTCTGTAGATTGTGAACCCACTTAAGGAGACTAAATTGTCGTCATATGAATCATGGAGCCAAGTCTCTTGAAGAGTGATTACACCAGTATTACAATATACATTTGAGTATAATAGAGAATGCAAGTAGTTAATCTTGTTCGATAATGACCTGCAATTTGTGCTCATAATCACAGGAACAGTCATCTGATGCATTGGAGTACACTTTAATGATCTCTGCCAACCTCCATGATGCTTTTTCTTAACGTTATTATATACTCGTAAATCAACGGGTTGAAGACATTTTAAATAATCGCGAGAGTAAGTAATGCGACTTGGATACATAATTGAATGATTAAAACAAAATAAATCCGAGGAAATAGATGCAATATGTAGGATGGAAATTTTGGTAGCCGTAAGTCATTCTTGTATCACCTGATTATTTATCTAAACTTGACAAACCTCAAGTACACACACACAAATAATTATATGTAAATGCGATTGTACAGCTAGCTATGTGAATGAATTCGCCGTGGAAAAGAGTCTTTTCGCTGAACGTCTTCTCTTTTTCATATCACTCAATGAGGTATCTTAGGCTAATTAAACAATATTTTGTAATCGGTTTCAGCCTAGCACGTTTGTCACACAAATACGACCAATGTGACCGACTCATCTCTCCCTACCCCCTTGTTGACTCATGTTTTCATAGTATTCTTATCTACTATCACACCTCTGGGAAAATAGACCAATCATATCATGTCTAATTCCCAGACAAGTCTGTATCAGTCATACTACATATTCAGTGTGAAACTTACTTGTCCGCTGATTGGTGGGTGTCAACATACTAACATCCAATGCAATCCATTATAATAAAGGTTTTTGTATTTCCCAATGAATGGAAAGCAATAGGACACTGTTTTTTTTATATGCTGGAACCACTAAGTAGAAAAATTCTAATGTGGTTGTGTTCTCTGAGCTGGACAGTTGATTTGCGAAGCTTTCATCACCCTACTAGGTGACATCTTCAGCGCATACTTCAATTTGAAGTATGAAGTATCAATTTGAAATACTTCAAATTGAAGTATGCGCTGAAGATGTCGCCTAGTAGAGTGATGAAAGCTTCGCAAATCAACTATCCAGCTCAGAGAACACAACCATATCAAAATCATCCCCATGAGCTACAAAGCTCTGTTATATCTACAAAAATTCTACAATACCCTCCCTATATAGCCCGTATTTTATGTGATGGAGACACTACACTGTTAGACGTGAAACATATAAGAAGTTACTATGTAATTAGCAAAGTAAATTGACCCTTTCATCATCGTTCGTTCATATTTCTGTAATTCATTTTATGGTGTCACACTTTCTATCGTTTAATTATAACTTAGTTATTTTTTTATTTTAGCTATTATTACTATAATTTTATACTTTATCCATATTTTTCTCCGTATTGCATACAGTAATATGCTACATAGCTCCTATAACAACTTCTTATTATTATTGTTATTATGTAATGCTTCTTTTTGTTGTTGCCGTTTTGAGTAAATTAGATCCAATATTGTACTGAATGCTGAAAATGCCTTGATGTATCATTAGAACTGTTTGTGAAATATAGCAAAGATTATTATTACTATTATTATTATTAAAAGAATTCTCACAAACTTAAACTCGATATAAAAAAAGATAATAGATTGGAGTACACACACACACACACAGAGAATAACACTAATATGTCTATCTTTGACCTATCGAATATCTCAAGGTAGAGCTACACCTCTCAAAACCCAATGATCCGTTGGCTTGTTAGGCGGACAACGTAAATACAACGAGGTGACATAAGTACGATCTGTTCTACACGGTTTTCTATACACTGGACACACATAGAAGTTTTTCAGCATCTCCTTGGGTATCTCTTTATCTTTCGCAATATCCATAGCTTGTATATGAATCACGGGCATTGACTGATATAATATTTTCGGTTTAGCCTCTGTGAGTCGTAGGTTCTTCTGATCGAATTCTGCACCTTCTAAAAATAGGCCATAGATATATGCACCTTCGGCTGGAGGACGTTGGGGAATATCATCTTTCATAAATCTGGTCACCTCATTCCATAGCACAACTGTATCTAATGCCCAGCCTTTATGCATACGTGTCACCTCTTGTCGTATGGCGGTAAGAAATCCTTGAGGGTTGAAGAATCCCGTCATCCAAAAGCAAGTAGGCCGGCCATTGTACAACCATTCGTGGAGTTGATGATTTCTTTCACTTAGCTCAGTAAACCAAAATCCTAACGTCAAGGATTCCCATGATAACTTCAGGATGGGGTTGCGGGGAGAAAGAGAAAAAGTGAACTAATGTACAACATTTTTAGATAAAGAGAAAATTCAAAGTCATACATGGATTCAAACAAATGTTTCTTTCTTTTCAAGTATTTTTTTTATTACAGCTTGATTCCATACTGTATTTTTGGTACAATTATGGAATTTTCAGCATGGATATCGGTAGCCCAAATTTTGCAGGCCGACCATAGATATCAGGTGTGCGTCAGTGGCAGGGGATCGAACCTCGGACCATGTACATGGTCGGCGAGAGTCCTAACCACTGTGCCACCGACGCACAGGGATTATTTGTTCGATTGCATGGAGGATTTCATCATGAGCTGACATCATTTAGAGAACCATTGGAAAACCTGTAGGGAATGCTGCCAGAAAGCTCTTTTGTCAGCCTAGTTTGGGACTCTTCAGCAGTACGTACCCACCCCAGTGGAGTTCCAACCAATGGACCTCCTTCTGGTTAAAAGACGAGCTGGCTCGTAGATCATTGAGCAGCCACTGGGACCCGATCCAATGGTCCTTGAAATCTAACTTCTGGCAATTCACACACACGACATCGCACGACCATTTCGCAATGTCTTCTTCGAATCCATGACCAGTAGGATAGAGCAGGTTGAAGATGAGGCAGTAACTCACTCATCGAAGAAGACATTGCTAAATGGTCTCTCTATGTCGTGTGTGAATTAGCAGAAGTCAGTATTCAAGGACCATTGGATCGGGTTCTAATGGCTCAGTGATCTACGAGCTAGCTCGCCTTGTATCCAGAAGGAGGTCCTGGGTTCGAACCCTGTGTGGTGGGTGCGTGCTGCTACAGGGTCCCAAACTAGGACAAAGCAGCTGTCTGACAGTATTCCCAGGTTTCTTTGTTGATATATTTATAATCAAAAGTAAAAGTAACGCAACGGACAGTTTACTCTGTTCCTACAGACGACTGGAAGTAAGTCACATATTTAATAATAATAATAACAGCTTTATTCCAAACAGTATTTGTGGTACAAGTATGGAATTTTCAGCGTGCATTACAACATATTGCATCTAATTAATCACCTCATAAATTTTATAAGATTTTAAAATCAAAATGTGACACCCCAAAAAAGACAAATTAAAAAAAAAGAAAAAAGAACAGCGTTGCGTTTACATTTTAAACAATGCACCACAGGATATGAAATATAAAATTACTGTGTAATAGAAGATGAGAACAACAGTGTAATAGTAACGAAGAAAGGAAAACAAAAGCTAATGGGACTATTTGTTCGAGTTCCGCAGTAAGTTGATTGTGTCATACCTAACGGATTTCTCATCACACATAATAGCTGTGCCAGATAAGGTATTGTGGAGATTTTGTACTTGATAGTCCTAGCATATAGCCAGCCTCCTATAGCTGCTTCTAGTCCTACCAGATGAAATGCAAGGAGACAGCTATGTATAGAGGGATGCTCGGCGTCTGACAATATAGTAGTATTCGCTAGTTTCTTACATGACATAATATGTCTATCCACAATAGTGTTAACCAGTTAGTTGGTTTAACGATATCCCACTTGCCCTCCCTACTAACGGCTTTTAGTGCCTGCCCTTCTCAGCAAAGCAAAATCTTTCTTAAGTAGTCCAGGAAAGATTAATGGGGAGCAGTAAACAGGGATGGGTAGAATACAAGAATTGACAAACTGAGAAAGCAAAGACTGTTTTATACCAGAATGCCTTAACTTCCTAACGTAGAACGTTAAGTGAAACATCTTTCTAGTAACTAGGAAGATGTGGGAGGACCAGGAAAGATCGGAGGAAATACTCAGTCCGAGGTAATTGACATTAGATGTAATTTCAACCTGTATGCCGTCAATGATAGTGGGGCCGTGTGAGCTAGCTAGTTGTTGTAGGTCACGTTTACGTCTGAAAGTAAAACTGGACTACCTGACATTTAGACGGATTCAGCTTAAGACCGTTTGAAGAGGACCACTGACTAATTTCCGTCAGAAAGTCTAGAAAGGGAGGGAGAAGCATAGTACACTAATGAACTGAACACTGAACTGATAATTAAAAAAAATGTTATTTTCTAAACACTTTCATCTTTGTTAACTGCATATCAGTCATGTAAATATCTAATTCGGAACTTATGATTATTATTATTATTATTATCAACACCTTTTATTTTTTTGTTAACTAGGTATGGTGTATATAAGTACAACCACACTGAACTGGTTACCCATACTTCAAGGCTGGTTAATGTCACGTAGCAACAAAACTGAAGCTGACCAATTATTACAGTTATTCAGTGCATCATTTGAAAGTGTCTACCAATATGCAACTAGACATTTAAATTTTAAAATGAATGTTCTCGAAGCTTTTGTTATTCGTCAAGCCTGCGATATATTGACTGGTATATTGCCCAAGCCAGAAGAAAAGGACAGCCCATCGGTAAGTGCATAATAATACACACTTTCTTTTGGGAATGTATATATGTTTATTTTGTGCAGTTTAAACTGAACTGAATTTACAAAAGAATGGATACTGAACAAAGAATAAATAATTCAATAATTCCCATTGTAGCATTAAGAACATAATATTCAGCGAAAAGACTCTTTTCAACAACGAATTTATTGTCAAGCTGTACAGTCGTATATATATGGTTCTTTTAAAAGAAATTATGTACGGTGAGGGAGGGAATTAGATCAAAGGTGTGAATACATGAAATAATAATAGAAGTATGAAATGCAATTAAAATATTTGTGATTATAATCATAGTTTAATGTCAAGTGGCACAATAATTAATGTCATCTATGGAATAATGCATAAGGTGTGTATAGATTTTGGAAAGGGGTACATAATTATAAGATTAGTAGACGAATATAAAATGTTACGTAACATGGTGTGTGACTAGGATGAAACAGCTGTCCAGTACTCCTTGCAGGTTTTCCAGTGGTTCTCTAACTGATGTCAGCTTATGATTAAATCCTCCATGCAATCAAACAAAATCCCTACAAAACCAATACTTGAAAATTTGATAAGATAGAATTTAATATTGTAAAAATAAAAAAATATAAGAATTAATAATTTTGGGTTTAAAGTGTCAGGTGGGTCAAGTGGAAAAGATTCAGAGTGAGAATAGCAATAATAATCGTAGTGATAAGGGAAACAAAATAAATAAATAAATGTCTATCCCCCTACGTCCAAGGCAGAAATAGGGATTGTACATACTTCACGTCGACTTCAGTCTCTCGGTGAACCCTGACCATGATTTCAAGATCATATATATAATCCACGCTAACTTCCTGGCCGCGTTTTCTTCGTTACAGACTTCTAAAGACAACTGAGGCCTTGGCAATTCATGACTTTAAGCCAGCCATACCTTTGTGTACAAAAGAAGTATGTACAATCCCTACTTCTGCCTTGGCCGTAGAGGGATAGACATTTATTTATTTTGCTTATTTAGTTATTCTATGTACTTTTCCCTCATTACTTCGATTATTTTGGCTATTACTGTTATTCTCACTATTCTCACTCTGAATCTTTTCCACTTGACCCACTTGACACTTTAAACCCAAAATTATTAATTCTTATATTTTTTTATTTTTACAATATTCAATTCTATCTTATCAAATTTCCCACACCATGTTATGTAACATTTTATATTCGTCTACTAATCTTATAATTATGTACCCCTTTCCAAAATCTATACACACCTTATGCATTATTCCATAGATGACATTAATTATTGTGCCACTTGACATTAAACTATGATTACAATCACGAATATTTTAATTGCATTTCATACTTCTATTATTATTTCATGTATTGACAGCTTTGATCTAATTCCCTCCCTCACCGTACATAATTTCTTTTAAAAAAACCATATATATACGACTGTACAACTTGACAATAAATTCATTGTTGAAAGGAGTCTCTTCGCTGAATATTGTGACAAGGGCAGTAGTAGTGGCTGGCCAGCTGGACTTGCTTCTTCTCCACACAGAACACTGGGTGTTACTCGCGAATCACGATATACTCTGCCGTTTGGAGCGTGCGATGATTCGATGCTTTTGGCAACTTAGTAAAGATCCTCAGCCCCCAAGTTAGAGCTATCTGCTCAGAGGAAGTAATTGAAGATGAATTAAGCATTGTAAATGACACGTTTAATCGAAAATAGCTATCCCGAAAAATTTATCAAGAAACACATAACAAAGAAAGCGGAGGAAAGAGGACTACTCACTCACTATCTGTAAACAAGAAGCCTCTTTAGATACGACTGCAATTCAAAGGTGATGGGATAGTTATGAATAAATTAAGAAAATCAGTTGAAAGAACTTTAAATTCTGGCGTACTACACGTCCTATTCGCTCCAAGACCGATGGTGATTCCTCTACTGAAAGATGAAGTGCCTAGACTAGCTGACCACTTCATAGTGTATCTACCAATTCATGTGCACTTGTGCTGGAGCGAGTTATATTGGCCGATGTTGCTCTAGGAACTTGATTTTTTGTGCTTTCTCGAGAACATCTCCCAGTATGGCTGAGTAAAGGTGTAATGAAAACCATTAACAAATAGTTCGATATTAGACCATCTGGTGCAAACCGGCCGGCTGGCCACAAATCCAGCCAGCCAGCTTGGGAGAATCCTTCTCTATCATCATCTACCGGGTGCCACGTAAATTGTCAAAATCATCGAAGCACCGAATGCTCCAAACACCAGAGGTTATTGCAAACAACCCCCTCAAACAACCAGTGCTCTGTGTGTGTGTGTGTGTGTGTGTGTGTGTGTGTGTGGAGAAGAAGTAAGTCCAGCCAGCTAGCCCCTACTACTTCCCTAACGTACCTTCATTAGAGACTATAAATTCATGAATTTGTGATATTATCTTTCCTAATTCAACTGACATTCAGTGTGTATTGTTATGTTGATGCTATTGAACTGTAATCCACTGGTATTATTATTATTACTGATTCGATGTTATTTAAAGAGCAACATGAATGTTGTTGATCATAACACTAATTCATTCATTCACTACAATGAATGGATATATAACTGTAGAGCCCGATGATGATGAAGGCGTTATCGAAAAGAGGATTTATTCTTTTGAAAATTTTAATGGGCATTTTTATTCACTTAAACTGAATTTGTCAGTTTAATAAGACATTTCAAGACATTAGTTGTCCCTCTAAAATAAAGGCTACTTTTCAGTCTTTGTGTTACCTTTGTTATGTCCACTTTTTTCCTCTCTCTCTGTTCGTTGCATTTCGTACCTATGCATATTGTAAAAATATTGTGCATTCTTGAAAATGTATATTTCTCACTAGTAGTTGCAGATCTAATGAGTACAAGTGATATTGCAACCCCACTGATTTTCGTTAGCAAAATATCAATTATTATAAATGAGTCGTCCTTCTTCAGGTGTCCGTTGACAATGTGAAAATAACAAGTTGAGGAGTTGGATAGGCTACTTTGCCGCCTCAAAGTATTGATCAGTAGCATTTATTTATTTGTTTATTTATCTTATATTTGAAATTGTTGTGTCTGTCACTTTCTCTCTTAGTCTTTCCGTATAACCCTTCCTTTAATGACTCCTGAATTACTTTGTATGCCAGCCTAACATCTGGGGGATCTAGGTGAATGGGGTTAGAGTTTCGCTAGCCGACAACTGGCTTGTGTATCTACCAATTGAACTGCTCCTGTGGAGTGAGTTAGTTACTTGCATATGCCGTACAATTAGGCGTGTTTCTCGTCGAATTTCCCAAAATCATCCTGAACAGTGGTTGGTTAAGTTGGTTAAGGACAAAGAAAATCTATTCACACCGCGCTATTCTATTTCACTCATCTTGTGGATACAGAACACACCACAAAACTGATTGATGTTAACCAGGCGGCTTTTAGGGTCATTCACCTACCGCATACCGACCAATGAATCTCAATTTTGCCTTAAGCGTAGTTCGACTACTAAATATTTCTGAAGCTGGCTGGCCAGCTGTTGGGATTCATATTAATAAGCCTAATCTGTGCATCTAAAAGAAGTTGGTTGGCCACCTAGGTTTGAATGATCCTGAATTTTTGTGGAATTTTCTTAATTTTAGTTGATATTCTATTTCCTACTATATCTTTATTATTATTAGTATTATTATTATTATTTAGGCATCTTTGATGAACTGTGGTGATTCCATTGTGATCTTACTTCACAAATCGATATTATTTAAAAAGCACACTAATATTGTTACTGACTACTACTAATCTAGAATATTCTATGTACATAAACATGCATATATAATTGTAGAGCCAGAAGAGGAGGAGTTTATCGAAAAGGCGATATTCTTTGTTGACTCAGTTGTGTTTTATACAGGGAATTTTCTAGACAGTACTAATAAAGCTTCCGTGGATAGTATGCATGAGTCTGTCACAGTCGTACCACAACTTTTAACTGATTAAGGAAGGCATCTCTGCTTTTATTAGACAGAAGTAGTCTTTATAATTCGACTGGTTACTTCTCCATCGTGTCTATTTTTTTTAGGCTAATCATCGATGTGCACAACAATGTCTTCCCAGTTTTTTATTTGTTATACTTTGGCTTGTATGAGAGGCTGCGAAAGCACCCAAATAATCTAAAGCTTTCCCCATTGATAATATTAATAATAGAAAATAAGCTGGATGAGAGAGAGAGAGAGTACGGAATCGCACACCATTTAACAACCTTCATTAGTTGATTTCATGACAATACTAACCATCCAGTAGCCAGAATTGCATCAATTTATTTGAGCAACTATGGACCGTAGTTCAACTGGGAAAATATAGACATTTTAAACAGTGAAAGTACTTAAAATGCCAGGGAATTTCTACAGACCTGATAGTCAAATCACGAAAGAATTACTTGGCAAAAAAGAGAATGCCAAAAAGGTTAAGTTATGGGTCAAGAAAATGATCGGCACAAATAGAAAAATCATTTATCCAAAAACAAAACTCATTTCATGCTGGGATTAGGTACCGAACGTTTTGTTTGAAACTGCGATGAAAGTTTAATGATTAAGACACCTAGTTAGGAGAGATCAACTGTGTTACAGAAAAATAATGTAAAGTCTACTTATCGACAGAGAACAACAAGCTACAGTCCTCTTCGATGAATCTTGTTTGTTTTTTTAATTTTGCGATCAGTCACTCAGTGTTAGTTGTATTCATCTCTAATGGCCTTCTAAAAGAGTTTTTCTTTAGTTGCTGGAATAAATTTATAGTCATTTGACGCGATTAAGACAAGCTGGCTGGCTGCCTACTATCGCCTCGAATGATTTTCCTGATTGCAGTAGATTGGATAATGCGACAGACAGTTAACGGGCAGCGAGGAAACAGGCATAAAATGGACTCACACAAAAAGAGACTTGGATGATCTGGACTTCACCGATGATGATATATGTCTGATTTCCCACAAACTGGAAGATATGCAAGTGAAAAGCAACAAGTTGGCAGAAGAAGCATCCAGAGAAGATAGGACTTCAGGTGAACATAGAGAAAACAGAGGTGATGAAGATTCCTGGCCAACACCAACACCAACAGCAACAACAACAGACAACAACCAGCCGGCAAAAATGGGAGGAACCTGAAAGAAACAATCTCCTTCACCTGCCTACCTTTGGAAGCATCGTTTCAACTACAGGGCGTAACTGACGAGGATATCAAAGCAACAATTCGGAAAGTAAGATAAGCTTTCATTACTGTCATTAAGTCTGTGTGGAGGAGATGAACAGCACTCAGCATGAAAAGTAAGATCAGGATTTTCAACTCCAATGTAAAGTCAGTCAGTGCTACTATACGGATCAGAGACTTTGCGCAAATAAACTGCAGACCTTCATCAACAGCTAGTTGTCTTCGCTCAATACCACTCAAGATCAGATGGCCGGCCAGAAAAGATCAGCAACAGGGATCTCTGGCAATGATCGAACCATTCCAGTAGGAACGGATTGTGCAACAAATAAGCACATACCCTCAGGAAACCATCAAGTAACATCACTAGACAAGCCCTCCAGCCGAACCCGAATGGTAAGCGGCGAGTTGGTCATCAGTGCGAGAATGACATGGAGGAGGTCATGTGAACAGAAGGAGATGAAAGCATGTGGTCAGACTTAGATCCAGGTGAAAACGCTAGCATAGAACCGAATGCAATGGAGACGTTGGGGCTGAAGGCCTGTGTTCCTGTAGGAATTAAAAGAAATCATAAAATAAATCCAAATAAATGTATCAGTGAAACATCACACGTTTCTATAATGTTATTTCTTTGCTCATCAGCTTGTTTTTTTTGTAGATAACTCCAAAACATTTGGAACGTATTTACATATTCGCACTACTCTGGAGTATCGGTGCATTTCTAGAAGGTGTTGATCGTGCAAAACTTGAAAGTTTTTTACGCAAACATGAAACAGTTAAATTTGATCTTCCTGAGTATCTTTCAGATTCGAATAATGACACAATATTTGACTATGTGGTAAGTGATTCAGGGGAATGGATTCACTGGAATACAAAAGTTGAGGAATTCCACTATCCAACTGACAGTACACCTGAATACTCATCATTACTTGTACCAAATGTAGACAATGTACGCACTGAATTCCTCATTGATTTAATTGCTAAACAACAAAAATGTGTACTACTGATCGGTGAACAAGTGAGTAGTGGTCATTGTAAATCTTTTCTTTCTTATTTTTAACTTCAAAAGTTGTTATTATGTTTAAACTGCAAGTTTTTATAGATGTTTTACTCTATTGTTAACAAATAGGGCAAGTTTATAATTATGGTTAATTAGGCGTGCTAGTGCAACAACAAAAGACAATGGCCAGTCAGGCAACAGATCGTTTATTAAGGAAATCAACACATATTTATAGATTTTCATATACATTATTATAGATTATTGTCAGCAAACAAACACAGTCTTCTGATTGGTGGTTGTTTCTCCCAGAAAGTTGACCTTGCATCACTTTGTGACTGTTTCATGAATGTTAGGTCATCTATATGTTAACTGTATCTGCCTACGCCAAGTCTGCTCTGAGTAGTTGTTGAATCAGTCTTGTTCATACTTTCTCACCACCGATATTTGGACACAAACATTGACGTAAATTAATTTCTACCAATCTGGCTACCGGCCTGCTCTCACCACACTAGTAGATAATAATAATAATACTCTATTCCAAAATCAGCACTGCTTATAATACAGAATGGAATTCTCAGTATTTGTCACAACACCTTGCATTTGATTTTCTCAAAATATAGATAAAATTAAAGCAAAATTAACCAGAGGAATTTGTCCACATTTACGATATAAAGTCAAAAATATTCGAAGCACGAATTGAGATTATTAAATATAATAATAATAATAAAACAATAAGAGCGAGTTTGTTTCAAACAGTATCGTCGATTCAGTTTGGAAATTCTAGCATGTTATTATTATAGAGGCATTGAATCTAATGTTCTGTTGATATAGCAGCATGGTGAGAGGAAATACAAAATTAGCAGTTATAACACAGCTTAAATGATGTTCGCACTTTTGAGAAAATAAACAAATAAAAACAAAAATAAATTGAGAGGATTATAAATATGAGAAATACAACAACAATAAAGTTTGGTACTGTAAGGGTGGAAGAGATGGTTTATTTAGTAGTGCAAAGAACGTTAGTTAGTTAGTTCATGCCTAACACTACTTTCATCACATAAAGTGCGTCCCAAATCAAATATGGTATAGTGGAATTGTCATACTTAGACGTACTTGCATAAAGTCTTCTGAAAAGACTTCTGGTTTAACCTGAGATGGAGACACAAGGTTGGTGCTTCGGGTGGTGTTGTGGATGCTCACAGCCTGACAAAATTCTTTTAGTAAATTTGTTGCATGAAATCAAGTGCCTGTCAATGACAATGTCAAGGGTATGGCCCAAGTAGATGCCACTTACCCTACTGACTGACTGACTGACACTCTTCAGACTTCTACGAAGTATGACATAGCCTTTTTTAAGCAATCCAGGAGAGAATAAGCAAGTGTGAACAGTAAAGAAGACTAGGTAAGATGCATGCACGAGTTGACAAACTGTAAGAGAAGGAGGGGTTGGGTTATTCCTGAGGAGTGCCTTAACTTCTTAATGTAAAAAGTCAGGCGAAATATTCTTTTAGAAATCGCTAAGACATGGGAAGATGAGTATCGGTCAGAAGAAAGAATTAACTGAAGATACTTAATTGCAGACTTGATTTCTATATCAGTATCACCAATTTTTCAATGGTCATATGAACCCAAACAGTTTCATTTAGCATTCTTTCAACGAATTCGCCGAAAAGAGACTCTTCGATAAATTTTGTCTATGTTGATGTGTCTATTGATTGATGATTCACTGGAATACCATGTAGGCTTCTAAAAATTATCTGGCTAGGAATGCTGGTGTTGTTTCCTATGTCTGATATTTGAACGTTGGTTGTCCCAGTCGAATTGATGTCCGTGGTTGTCTGTATGCAGTGAGGCGATATGAGTGAGGGATTAGATGTCATGTCTTTTGACGGCTAGTTTGTGTTTATGGATACGAAGACGAAGAGGACGTCCACTATGGTCAAAAGCCCCCAAGTAAAGCACTAAGAAAATCGTCTTACCACATATAAAGGACATCTTAGAAATTACTGCAAGACTCTTCAAACCTTTAGGAGTTGACGTCACACATAAACCAACAAAATCACTTCACTCAGTTCTATGTCAACCAAAAGACTCAACAACGAAAAAAGATAAAACCAACATCAGTATCTACAAAATAAATTGTAACAACCGCGAATAACACTAAATTGGCCAAATTAATAAGTTTTGAGTAGAGTTACGTAATACAAAAACGGTCAAGAAAATTGAATGTTAATGAAACTAGTTTAGTAACGAAGGTGATGAGTTGTCACAAACGGTTGTTAAAATTAGATACGTAATATTCCCAAGTATTGGTTTTGTAGGGAATGAGCTGACAGGAGCTAGAGAACCACTGGAAAACCTACAGGGAGTATTGGACAGCTGTTTCGTCCTAGTTTAGGACTCTTCGTCAGCCTGCACCCACCACAATGGGTTCGAACCCAGGACCTTCTGGTTACAAGGCGAGCTAGCTCGTAGACCATTGAACCACTAGGACCAGATCCAATGACCAGTGCATGAATTCGAACTCCCGGCAATCCACGACATACAGCGACCATTTTTCAGTGTCTGGCCTTGTAAGCAGAAGGTCCTGGGTTCGAACCCAAGTGGGGTGGGCGCTGAAGAGTCCCACACTAGGACGAAGCGTTTGTCCAGTACTCCTTGCAGGTTTCCAGTGGTTCTCTAACTGATGTCAGGTCAAGTTGAAATCATGCATCCAATCAAACAAAATCCCTACAAAACCAATACTTGAAAATTAATTTGGTACTCACTAGCGACTGGCCCTATTCAGGTAGACAGTAACCTGGGGTTCTAGTGGGAAGCCGTGACCATTAGGGTACAGAAGGTTGAAGGTGAGGCAGTAACTCATCGAAGAAGACATTGAGAAATTGTTGCTCTATAATAATATGTGTAGTCTTTTTAAATAATAATTTTTACTTTATTCCAAAAACAGTATTAATGATACATCAAGGAATTTTCAGCATTCAGTACAATATTGCATCTAATTTACTCAAAAAAAAAAATGACAAAAAAAATTAAATATACACATACGGAGAAAAATATGCACAAAGTATAAAGTTGTAGTAATAATAGTAATACCAACTAAAATGAAGTAACAGAGTTATGATTAAACGATAGAAAGTGTGACACCATAAAATACAGAAAGATGAACAATGAAAAGGTCGATTCACTGTGCTAATTACATAGTAACTTATAAGTTTCACGTCTAACAGAGTCTTCGTCACATAAAGTACGGGCTAAATAGGGTATTGTAGAATTTCTATACTTAGTGGTACGAGCATATAACTTTTTATATTGACTTCTCGTCCTACCTGATGAGATACAAGGGGACAGGTGTGAATAAAGGGAGTGCCTTTGCCTATTTTGTACAGGAATTTATATGCCTCTCGACTATAGTATTAGCGAGCTCATGCAGTGGCAGACCACAAGCTCTACTCACAGCATTTAATACTCTTCGTAATATGATATAATCTTTTTTGAGAAGCCCAGGAAAGATTAATGGAGAGCACTAGAGTACAATAGGTAAAATACAGGAGTTTAAAAATTGCAAAACTAAAGGTTGGTTGATACCTGATTGTCTTAACTTTTTAATGTAGAAGGTAAGACGAAACATTTTCTTAGAGATAGATAAGATATGGGATGACCATGAAAGGTCAGAGGAAAAAACTAATCCAAGGTATTTAATGCTTGATTTGGTTTCAATTTCCGTGCCATCTATGCTACAGGGATCATGCGAACTAACTAGTTCAAGTAAGTCACGTCGATGCTTGAAAGTAAAGTCAACTGCCTGACATTTGGAAGGATTTAATATAAGACCATTTGACTTGGACCAGTTGTTGATGTCCAACAGAAAGCTATTAAGTTTGGAGCTGTCAGACTCGGAAGTGATAGGCAGTGATACAGTCAGATCATCTGCATATTTGACAAAGTTAGTTTCGTTTGAATGAGGCAGGTCATGTAGGAAGAAAGAAAAAAGAAAAGGAGAGAGGACAGCACCTTGTGGAACACCGGATTTTGTAAGCGAGGTAGAAGAAGATTTGCCGTTATATACAGTATACTGCATTCTATCAGAAAAATAGGAATGCAACCAACTCTTAGCCCAGGATCCTGTTTGTGTCAATGATAGCTTATTTAACAAAAGGCCCCTAGGTACAGAGTCAAAAGCAGATGTGTAGTCTAAGAAAGCACTACGAACATATTTAGCACCTTTGTCTAAACAAGAGACAACATTGTGATATAAGACAACCGCAGCATCCAAGGTACTTCTACCATGTTTGTATGCAAATTGTTTAGGATCATTAAAAGGTTTCAAAGCGGGTTCAAGACGAAGTAAAAGTAATTTTTCCATCAATTTTAAAAAGGGGGAAGTAATTGCAATAGGCCGAAATTTAATATCAGAACCAGAAGATGGTTTTGGTATAGGGATAATTTTAATGTTTTTCCATGCAAAAGGTAGAACGTTACCGGAAAAAGAAGCATTAAAAATGTTAGTAAGAGGATAACACAAAATATCAGCACAATTCCTGAGGACAATGGCAGGTATGCCGTCAGGACCAAGGCTTTGAGAAGGCTTAAGAGACCGGAGACATTTAAGCACATCAAGGGTATTAAAACCACTAAAGTTATTGTCAATATGATTTGTATCATTTGGAAGGGTATCAACAGAAGAGCGTATGAAAGATTTATTAAGAGTGTCAACATTAAGAGATGGAACAGAAATACATCGCTTACCGTTAGTAATTTCTTTGAAAAGTTTCCATAAATTAGAAGGGGTTTTACATGACAAAAATCTTTGATTATATAAAACATTTAGTCTTTTTATTTCCAGTTTTATCAGAGTGTTTAACTTTTTTACACCAGGCTTATCATTAGTTTTGAACAACAGTTCTTTATTTCTACGTAGCTTTTTGAGATATGGCGAAGATAAGCGATCAAATCGAATGAATAATGTTTCTTTAGGACAACATATTTCGAAACAGAATTTAAGATAATCAGTAGTGTTTGTGATTGTTTCATCTAATGTTTGTTCTGTAAATAAGTCCCAGTTAGTGTCTTTCAACATGCATCTGAGCTTGTCTAGGTTGTCTTTTGAGTAGCATCTCCGTTGAACTTTACTGTAGAGGTGAGAGAGGACACCTTTGTGTGATTTGGAATATATTTTAGGCAGTACACGTATGATGCAGTGGTCAGAGTTAAGTAAAGGAGCACGTTTGCGAGCTTCATATATACCAACATCATTGATAAATACTAGATCCAGTTTTTTACCAAGACGGGTGGCAAAGTTAACAATATTGTCATGACCAAGTGATATAAGGAAGGAGTGATCGCATGAATTAAAATCACCAGTTACTATTGATAAAGAGTTCTCGAAGCAAGCTGCAGCAAAAGCGGTGAATTCATCGGCGAACATAGATAAATCCAATATGGTACAGCCAGGAGAGACATAAACATTAGAAATATAAATGAATTTGTATTTTGACAGGTGTTTCGGGCGACATCTCACAGTGATGCAATCAATGAAGTCATTCGAGAATTTGAAACAAACTTTGTTTGAAATGGACCATTTTGAGTGAATAAAAGTTGCAACACCTCCACCACATTTTTTCTTGGAACAAACACGGTCTTGTCGAAAAACATTGAAATTGTTTAGAGACACAATATTGTCATCGTATGAGTCATGGAGCCAGGTTTCTTGTAGAGTGACAATACCAGTATTGTGGTAGGTACTAGAAGACAACAGGGACTGAAAATCCAGAATTTTGTTAGGCAGGGACCGGCAGTTGGTACTAATGATAACTGGAACAGTGGTGTGATGTATGGGTGTAGATTTTAAGGCACGCTGCCAACCTCCATGGTGCTTTTTCTTGAGTTTATTGCAAATATGAAAGTTTTTGGGTTTAAAACGTTTTATAAAATCCCGGGAGTGAGTAATACGATTAGAATGCATAATGTGATATGTAAACACCAATAAAATACGAGTAAATAGATGCAAAATGTACATGGAATATGGTAGCCCGAAATGTTCAAACAGGCCGCCAAGGTCATTCATTGAGCTGTGCTCATGATACACATAGGAACAAAGCAGAGAATGCGGAATTATGAAAGCGTTCTAAATGAATATATATATATATATATATATATATATATATATATATATATATATATATATATATATATATATATATATATATATATATATATATATATATACAAGAGTTATAAGCAATTAAAGCAATAGGCAAACAAGCAAAATTAAATCATCAAAAATCAACACAGTTGTTACCATGACAGTAGAAGTGGTTGAGTAATTCTCATTTTTTGTATGCACAACTCCGGTTTTTGTATTTGAATGGCCAGAGCTTCAGCGATACAAAAAGGAGACGAAACAGCATCGCTTTTAGTAGGTTATTCTTGGCTCTTTAGATGATTTTGTAGTGGAGGGAGGCGTTTGTTGAGATAGAATGATCAGTGACTCTTCACTGAACGACGTTTTTTGTTTTCATCAATGCCTGGATGGGGATTATTCGTGAATAAAAACTTTTCAAAATATCAGTGCGTGCTAATTATCATGTGTAATAACATTCTGGTCATCGTTTACAGTGAGAGGATAAAATGATGGAGGAGATTTATACCTCAGGTGATTAATATTGAATTAATTCTGTTCTCTGAGCTGGTTGATGGTTTGTTTAACTGCGAAGTTTTCGTGGTCCTTCTAGGCAACTCCCCGCTTTAGCGCAGGCATAAGTATAAAATGGTTTTATTTAAATTACCCGTGAATGATGTAATCACTGTCGTAACTGGATGTTACTTTACGTCACCACTGTTCATGCTTTTATCGACTTGGAATTCAAACTTTCTTTTCATGTGATTTACTCGCAATTCTATCACTCATGGAAAAGATATTTAAATCAGTTCACTTTACGCTAAGCATTGCGCTCAAGGGGGATGTTGTCCAGCAGGGGGACAACAAAAGCTGCACAACTAAACCAAACAGTTCAGAGAACACTATTAGCTGCAAATCATTCACCTGAGCTACAAATCTTCTCTATTATGTGATTTACTTTTTATTAGCTGGTAAGTTTAGTCTATAATAATGTGTGTTTGTTAAGATGAAAACTAGATATGATAGAGAAGATTTGTAGCTCAGGTGGATGATTTTGATGTGGTTGTGTTCTCCGAGCAGCTGGATGCATGGTTTATTTGCGAAGCTTTCATCGCTCTACTAGGCAAGCGACATCTTCCTTCAGTGCATACACTTCAATTTGAATTGAAGTGAGCTTTTCGATTTCTCCACGAGTTTATTAATCATCTCTCCTGGTCGGTGACCATCTTGGACATCATCCGTTGTTTTCGTGTGTTTTCACACCCTCCAAGCTACTTGTATTGGAACTGATTGTTTCTTCAACTTGAGCTTTGACCCTTTGCGTGTGTGAGGTTTCTTTCTTATCGGTAGATAAAGCACCCATTGCAGCACTCCCACCTTAAGGAAAATTGAAGAAAAATATCTCATGGACGTCTTCTAAAAGAATGGATATCCACGGAATTTCATCAATAGACATATACCCCCAACCCAAACTATCAAACAAAAAGACCTCAAGGAAAGCACTAAGAAAATCGCCTTACCATTTATAAAGGATATTTCAGAAATCACTAGAAGACTCTTCAAATCTCTAAGAATTGACGTCACACATAAACCAAAAAAGTCACTTCACTCGGCTGGCTCTAAGTCAACCAAAACACTCAACATTGAAAGAAGATAAAACCGACATGATATACAAAATAAATTGTAATAACTGCGAAAAACACTACATTGGCCAAAGTGGACGTCCCAACTCTTCGTCTTCGTATCCACGAACATAAGCTAGCCGTCAAAACATATGACATCCATTCCCTCACTCATATCGCCTAACTGCATACAGACAACCATGGACATCAATCTGACTGGGACAACCAGCGTTGAAATAATATTAGACAGGGGATTTTTAGAAGGCTACCTGGTATTCCAGTGAATCATCAATCAATAGACACATCGAGATAGACAAAATTTATCAAGAGATAAGAAGGAAACCTCACACATACACAAAGGGTCAAAGTTCAGGTCGAAGAAACAGTCAGTTCCAATACAAGTAGCTTGGAGGGTGTGAAAACACACGAAAACAACGAATGATGTCCAAGATGGTCACCGACCAGGAGAGATGATTAATAAACTCGTGGAGAAATCGAAAAGCTCACTTCAATTCAAATTGAAGTGTAGGCGCTGAAGGAAGATGTCGCTTGCCTAGTAGAGCGATGAAAGCTTCGCAAATAAACTATGCATCCAGCTGCTCAGAGAACACAACCACATCAAAAAATGATGAAAACTCCACCCACAAGTGAAAGAAGTTTGAAGGACACCTTCTACCTGAAGGAACGGCATACCTTAACACTGACAAAGTTTAGTAAATATGTGAACCTAGATAAGCACGTCTATGTTGTCAACCCTTTATAAGAAAAACATGCACACCTTATTTTTTATTCTCATATGTTCAGTTTCTCATATATATGTATATATAACCCTTTTTCAAAACATTCTTTAATACACAATAGGGGACAGCTAAAACTGTAATTCTCAATAAATACTTAAGCAGTCACAATCCTGAAGTGCATATGTATAAAACGTTGAATTTTTCAAGTGTTACTACACCTTTGCTGTTTCAACGTGCCATCGAGAGCTTTGTTGATAAACGAATGGGTAGTACATATGGTCCACCAGCAGGTCGAAGAATGACAATCTTCATTGATGATATCAGTATGCCATTGATAAATGAATGGGGTGATCAGGTAAGTATTTATTACTATTATTTGTGATGTTATTTTATTTTATATTATTATTTATTAATTATTATTTCCTTTAGTTCTTAGAGGAACATAGGACATGTATTTGACCTGACAATCATTTCAGGCAGTAAGGGTATTAGATAGACCAAATTGTTTTGTTTTAAAGGCTCCACAGGATTGATCCTTCAACTGGCAAATTATTATTATATCTTTTAGTTCCTAGAGGAACATACGGCTTCAGCTGCGCACCTCCATTGCCTTCTGTTTTCTGCCAACTTTTTCACCCCGCTCCAAGTCTGTTCACATGCTTTCATCTCCTCCTCACATGACCTCCTCCAAGTAAAAACACCTTTGAAAAGACGACCAACTCGCCGTTTCCCTTTCGGAAAAGTTCCACTCGAGCAAAAGATGGTTTGTCTAGTGATGAAAATCACTTGATGGTTTCCTCAGTGTGTGGCCAATCCATCTCCATTTCTTCCCGCCTATTTGTTTCGCAATCGGTTCCTGGCTGGTTAGCTCAAAACCAGAGATCCTTGTTGCTGATCTTTTCTGAAAAGCCATCTGATCTTGAGTATTGAGCGAAGACAACTGTTAATGAAGGTCTGAAGTTTGTTTGAAATCCTCTTTGTGACGCGCTGGCCAAGTCTCTGTTCCGTAAAGTAGCACTGACTTCACATTAAGGTTGAAAATCCGGATGTTATTTTTGATGCTGAGTGATGTTGACCTCCACACAGACTTAAGGGTAATGAAAGCCTGTCTTGCTTTTCCGATTCTGGCTTTGATATCCTCGTCAGTTCCGCCTGTAGTTGAAACGATAATATATATATATATATATATATATATATATATATATATATATATGTACTCCTATGACAAGTCCGTGTGTGTGTGTGTGATGGATCAGATTGTTCGAAATGTGTGTTGCTCAAAAACAACATTACACACACGATTCAGATAAATTACGTCTTCCCTCTTATTGCTTTATCTAAATTCATAAAGCGAATTAATTGTTTGCAATACTTTTTCTCTCTCAAAAGAAGCTTGAAAAGAATTTAATATACAATTTGATTTTATGCATGGCGGTTAAGACGCTTGTCGACTATGCACATGGTGCAAATTTCAATCCCACTCCACCCCCCCCGCACCAGCCTACGCACACCTGATACCAATGGTCGGCCTACAAAATTTGCGGTACCGATATCAAATGCTGAAATTTCCAATAAAAAAAAATAAGTAACATATGTGTGTAAAAGTTGGGCACTGTGGTGGTGGTAGTAAGTAATTCCATATAAGTTTGTTTATTAGATGTATCACACACAGTCAGTGAGTAAAACAGCATTAGTATAACTTACTGGATGACAAAGTTTAGAACACAATTCACTTATTGCTGTTCATAATAATTTCACCATCAATTATAATCACACGACTTCGAAACTTGAGTTTTATAGTTTTCTTTGTACTCTCCTATTTGTCGTCGTCGTTGGTGTGGTAGTAGAATTTTCCAGATATCTGTGTGGACAGGTGTTAGTTGAATCATTCCTATTACACGTATTCCCCCGTTTCAGTTGATTCGATAAACAAAGCTTCCGTTGTTATCAATCTCTCCCTCTCTATACCCTGTGACATTATATTTCATAACTGTCATCCTATCCCATCCATCCTATTGTATGGTTGTGTGTGATTGCATGAAGTGAGTGGTATAGCTGAACTATTCTCTAGATTTTTAAATCTTATTGAGGTCAACCAATCTAGATTTCACTGCTAGGCGTTCATGTTCGGCTAGTCTGACTCAGTGACCCTGTTCTACTAGTTTGACCTATGTATTTAACCTGACAATCATTGCAGACAGGCAGGGTATTACATGAACTAAATTGTTTTGTTTAGAGGCTCCACAGGATCGATCCTTTAACCGACAAAGCTTGTTTCTAATTGAGTTTGTGGTTGATTTGAATTGCAGCCACTTTTATTCCTGCTCAGCTTGTTAAGAATTCTGCGTAAGGTGCTATCCGAGGTTCCTTCCTTGTATGGAATTATGTTATAGAATCTAAATCAACAGTAGTAATTCCATACGAAAGAGGAAGCTCGGAAATCCTATGGCGAATTTTTAACAATGCTAGCAGGAATAAAAGTGGCTGACATTCAAACCAACCACAAACTCAATTAGAAACAAGCTTTGTCAGGCTCCTTTACCTACCTGGGAAGATCAGATGGACAGCTGGAAAGAATTAGCAAGAAAGAGCTCTTTGAACAAACCAACCAACGGATTGGCCAATAAATATTACCGAAGAAATGGATGGAGATGGATTTGACTTTCGGGTGACATTGTACATCAGCTTCTCGAGTGGAACCTGAATGGGAATCTATTAGTTCAGCGTCCGAGGTTGAAATGGAGAGGAGATCATGTGATGAGAGGAGAAGATGACAACCTATTGGTAATCATGAGGACAGGAAGACCCATGTTCCACTCGAAACCCAAAGGAATAATAATAATAATTTAAAACAATTAGTTCCCTTTATGAATTTAAGTAAAACAATAAGAAGACTTAATTTGTCTGAATCGTGTAATGTTGCATTTGCGCAACACACATTTCGAACAGTCTGATCCATCACACACACACACACACGGACTTGTCATAGGAGTACATATATATATGAAACTAATAAAGAGTGAGTTAAGAGGTGGGTGAGAAAACAGACCTGACTTCTTAGGTTAAGTTAGCAGGAGGACATATTAAAGGTGAAAAAAACAATGAAGATGAGTGACTAAACCAAATAACAGAGGTGATATTACATTTGCCCTGGTTGGTATCAAAACAAAGTTTGCCAACAAGGAAGGTAGGTTTAATGTGATGAGGAATTGTTTTTGAACGCATAAAGGTGGTATATTAGTGGTCTATTATTGAGTTATTAGAGGTGGTGGGGCGAAGTGACATCGTTGATATAATTAATTACTCAGAAGTGGCTTTAGAAGTAAAGAAATAAAAGTTGTAAATTACATGGTACAAAGGACGGCACAAAGGAAGAAAGTGTTACAAATTTAGATAAGGTTAAAATTGTTAGTCAGTGAGTGAGTGAGTGAGTGAGTGAGTGAGTGAGTGAGAATAAAGCTGGTAGTTGAGTGTAAAGAGGGTGTGAAAATGTTCAACAGGGAATATATGAGAGTGATATAATAGTGAATTAATTGTTAAAGTAAAAGCAAACCAAAGGTAGGACTGAAAATTCAAAAAAAAAAGAAAAAATGTTTCCTACAAGGAGCGACTAGTGAAGAGGTTAAGACCAAGGTAGACTAAGAGACTGGAAAAACGTTTTCTGTATACGAATTGCCAGCGCCTCCCCAAATACAATTACTAACTTAACTCTCGAGCACTTGGTGAACTCAAGCCACGTAGCTACACTAGAGTCGTCTTTGAAGATCATCTACAAGGTGAGGGCAAATGGTACAAAGAGTGTCACATTTCGGCTTGTTTTTCAACACCACAGTTAAATCAGTTCTTCTATGGAGGACAGAAACTTCGTGCAGACTACTGCAGACCTTTATCAACAGTTATCTTTACTGACTCCATATTGAAGATCAGATGGACAGCTGGAAAGAATTAGCAAGAAAGAGCTCTTTGAACAAACCAACCAACGAATCAACCTATTGGCCAATAAATATTACCGAAGAAATGGATGGAGATGGATTTGACTTTCGGGTGACATTGTACATCAGCTTCTCGAGTGGAACCTGAATGGGAATCTATTAGTTCGGCGTCCGAGGTTGAAATGGAGAGGAGATCATGTGAGAGGAGAAGATGACAACCTATTGGTAATCGTGAGGACAGGAAGACCAATATTCCACTCGAAACCCAAAGGAATAATAATAACTAAAAACAATTAGTTCCCTTTATGAATTTAAGTAAAACAATAAGAAGACTTAATTTGTCTGAATCGTGTAATGTTGCATTTGCGCAACACACATTTCGAACAGTCTGATCCATCACACACACACACACACGGACTTGTCATAGGAGTACATATATATATGAAACTAATAAAGAGTGAGTTAAGAGGTGGGTGAGAAAATAGACTTGACTTCTTAGGTCAAGTTAAAAGGAGGACATACTGAAGGTCAAAATAACAATGAAGATCAATCACTAAACCAAATAACAGAGGCAATAGTACATCTACCTTGACTGGTGGCGATCAAAACAAAATTTACCAAGAAAAGTTTAGTGTGATGACGAATTGTTGCTTTGAATGCATAAAGGTGGCTTAAACTTTCTAATTGCTAGGGCTTCCACAAACTTTAGGATACGCCCTCACTCAAACACGTTTTATAGATAGGTTTAAAAGATCTGTTAATGTCAGTTTTATGTACTGTCTCCTCTATAATATGTTTCACAATAGAAGAGCTAGGTCTCTTGTTCTCACTACAAATAGGTTCTGAAGATTCCATTTGTTTCTGGAGCCATTTAGGAATATACTCTGAAGCCCTTACTTGCAGAGGAAAAGTAGTATTTTGATATATTTTTCTAAATCAATTGTTTTTTTTTGCCTTCCCAGGTAACAAATGAAATGGTACGTCAGTTAATTGAAATGAGAGGATTTTACAATCTAGAAAAACCGGGAGATTTCACCTCAATTGTTGATGTTCAATTCTCCGCGGCTATGATTCATCCAGGCTCTGGTCGGAATGATATACCGCATCGACTGAAACGACATTTTTGTATATTTAACTGTACACTGCCGAGTAATACATCGATCGATAAAATATTTAGTGCAATCGCTGAAGGACATTATTCTCCTGAAAGAGGATTTACTGATAACAGCAGTATAGTTGAAACAGTTAGACTACTTGTTCCGTTAACACGAATTCTCTGGCAGACGACTAAGCATAAAATGCTACCGACACCGGCTAAATTCCATTATATATTCAATTTACGTGATCTAAGTCGTATATGGCAAGGCATGATTGGCTCTGTAGCTGAAGTGATCAATAGTAAAGAACGCTTAATGATGCTATGGCGTCATGAATGTTTAAGAGTATTAGCAGACAGGTTAGTTTATTGCTAAATTTTATCTACTAAACCTTATTAAATTATTATTATTATTATGAATATGAATAACATTAGATTGGTTTTAGCATGTGAGTTCACATATATTTCCATGACTAGTTAATCTGGTCGTCTCATATCTTGATGATTTCCAAGAAAATATTCCGTCTTACCTTCTACAACAAGAAGTTAAGACATTCTGGAATAATCCAACCTTTACTCTTACGATCTGTTTACTCTTGCATCCTGCCTATTTTTCTCCATTTTTCCAACTTAGTTTTTCCAGGGCTGGCTACTGAAGAAAGACTAAATCCATTCTATGTATCTAACACACACCATCACTTCCTTCATTCACAACGCTTCCCTTATATCTCATCAGGCAGAAACAGAGGCCTATATAGAAAACTATATGCTCACAGTAGCAAGTATAAAAATTTCACCATACCCTACTTGGATCGTGTTCTGTGCGACAAAGAAGAAAGCATTAGGTGTGAAACTTATAACTTATTAAACAGTCAGTAGAACAATTGGATCTCGTCTTTCCAACTCATATCATTTATAGGTACAACGTTTTCTTTCTTTCTTTTCGTTTTCTCTCTTCCTTACAAGCTCTACTTAAAGCATTCTTCTTCGTTCTTTCACACTCTGCATATCTCGACCCTTTTGTTACCGCTTACGCCAGTAAGTACGCTAGTATATCTAATTTTCTAACACCTTCAAACATTCTGTTCACCTTTGGCTTTGCTACCGACCGATATGCTAATATGTTGTTGTCAAAATTAACTGAGACTACCCATAATCTACGTAGAATTTTATTTATTGTTAATGTACTAACTGGATGCAATACTGTAGTAAAATGCTGAGAATTCCATTCTGTATTACAAGCACTGTATTGGAATAAAGCAAATTATTATTATTTTTAATGTACAAATGCCAAAGTGCCATATACCCTGTGAATTTCACCTCCCAATATCCACAACACAGCCTAGGCGAATTTCAACAATAGCGTCCCAACAGTGCGAACGCTTCGATAGCCCTGAACGCATGCTAGTCTTTGGCTAACGACATCTGTCATTATCATAGCTGGAATATCAACGCTATTCACCACCAGCTAAACAGCAAATTTCACATTTTTAAGTACTGTTTCGACAATGTTTTAACAGGTCGTTAGGGTTAGTGTTAGAGTCAGGATTAAGGTTAGGGTTACGATTAGGGATAGATTTGTAGTTGATGTGGTTTATTTCAATTTATTTTATTATCCTCATTTTCGTGTTAAGTAGTCGTCAATCCTCTTACTGGGAACCATAGTAATTCAACCGAGGTCTTTGGAGAGGATTGAACAATAATATAGAGATGAACGATTCACAAAACATGTACAGAAACTAGTCTAACTGATACTCTTCATTATAACTGGGACGTATTTTTAAGTCATGTCAGAGAAAGATTACCCTGTTCAGTAATGTGTTTTCATGCATCTTTTTGTGAACATACGTCATTTCTTAGTGGAAAAATTCCTCATTTTTATTATTAGTTGGCTGAAGATCACTCGTGCGTTCGCATCCCTTGGGACAACGCTATTGCTGAACTTTGCCACAGCCTATAACGTTTCGCTTTTTTTCTTATAGTTTAAGTGAATTCCGGATATTATTTTAAGCGTCATACTTGACCCAAATTCTATCTGAAATGATTTTTCTCTTTGTGAGCTTGTTTCCAGACACGTGGTTTAATAAATAAGCCTTACTTCTGTGAGCTGATAATTATGGTAACTTTTTTTTCTTATCACATAGACGACTGTAATAAGCATTTCATGAAACGAAATTTCATTTTTTTCCTAGCTTCCCTTTCTGATATTTATTGCCAAGCTTTTCAGCCCTAGAAAGTTGTTTTTTTATCCAAAGTCTTTTAATTCTTCAAAAATTGTATTCAATCTTTGAAATAATAATCCAGTTGAAGTTGAAGTCCACACACTAAAATTATCTGCCTAGATAGAGAATCAAAACGTGGTAATTCGAGAGCACCCAGCATACATTCATATTTGTTGATGACTTTATCACTGCTCAGTAAACTGTCTTCAGAAGTCAGCTGCTGTGGTTTTATTCAAGTCAGTGTAAACTTCTGACGATTCCTTTGTAAAAAATTATTATGTCTGTAACATCTCAGTGAGATTGAAATGAGTAATTCCAACGTTTCATGCGTTCATCGCAATCTAGTCCGAACTTCTTCAGGAAAATTAATCGAAATTAACATAACTGAGGTTTATATATAAAAGGAACATCTTTTGTTTTTAAAAAAACTTTGTCCAATCGTGAGTCATAAAACAAGTATTAGCAAGTATATTAAACATAATTGTATGAGTTGTGAATAAAATTTGACCTCAGACTTTCAAATATTGATCTACCTTTGTTAAACACTTTAAATACAGTGTGTATGCGTGCGGATAAACAGTTGGAAAACAATGTCTTAACGTCTCCATAAGTAGATATAGACAGTCGGGAAGCTTTGACCTAGTATTATTAGTTAGTGATACATATCCATTCTTATTTATTAATCAGGATTTCCTATGCGTCATCTAACATCACACCTTCATGTCTGTTCAAACTGTTAGTATCTAGAATCTTATGATTAGATGTATTTTCAAAATTATGGTGTTTAGGATTAGAGTTTAGTTGAAGCACCCTGTCAAACTCATGACTTTGTCTTCTTTCCGAAAAATGAGCTGATTTATTCGACCTACTGGAGTTGTCAGGTGACTCGAAAGCTACGGATTCAGGGTACGCATTCTGTTGCAGACAACGGAGAGTGGAAACACGATGTTTGTGCCAATTACATATAGTTTCTTTGTTAATTTAATTCGACTGCAAAATAATTTAAATAAACTGTCGTCAAGATTTGACAGAATAGTTCTAAAATATTCAACTAAACTCTAATTATAAACACCATAACTTTGAAAATATACCTCTAATCATAAAATTCTAGATATTAACAGTTTGAAGAGATATGAATGTGTGATGCGTGTTAGCTGATGCATAGGAAATCCTGATTAATAAATAAGAATGGATATGTATCACTAATTAATTAATAATACTTGGTCAAAATTCCCGATTGTCGATATCTGTCTACTTATGGAGACGTTAAGAAATGTTTTACAACTGTTTACCCCCCGCCACACACACACATATATACACACTGTGTTTAAAGCTCAGGTGGATCATTTTGATGTAGTTGTGTGTTCTCTGAGCTAGCTGGATGGATGCTTTATATACGAAGCTTTGCATACTTCATTTTGTTGAAGTGAGCTTTTGGATTTCTCCACGAGTTTATTACAAGTCATCTCTCCTAGTGCCTAGTGACCTTGAACGTCATTGCTTGTATTTGTGTGTTTTATTTTCCTCCCTCTAGACTATTTGTATCGGTTTTGGTACAGGTACTGTTTCCTTTGACCTGAAGTTTGACCCTTTGTGTGTATGAGATTTCCTTCTTATCGACTGGTAAATTTTGTCTGTGACAGGGCATCTATTAATTGACGATTCACTGGAATACCAGATAGGCTTCTAAAAACTCTCTAAATTCTTGGTGTTTCCTCTGTCTAATATTGTTTCAACGCTGGTTGTCCCAGTCGAACTGATATCCGTGGTTGTCTACATGCAATGAGGCGATATGAGTGAGGGAGTGGATATCGTATCTTTTCACTGCCAGTTTATGTTCGCGGAGACGAAGACGAAAAGGATATCCATCTTGACTAGTGTGATGTTTTTAAAAGTCGTTGCCATTTATTTTGTAGATGATATTGGTTTTGTCTTCTTCCACTGTTGAGTCTCCTGGCTGACACAGAGCCAGCTGAACGGAGTGATTTTGTTGGTTTGCGTAAAACATCAATTCCTACAAGACTCCTTAAACCTTTAGGAATTGCCTAGTGGCGCAATGAAAGCTTCTCAGATAAACCAACCATCCGGCTCAGAGAACACAATGAGTAAAATTAAGTTTTTGATTGAGTTTTGTAGGTGAGTTTGGTAGATTACTAGAATGCTTACTCGGAGGCTGTTGGTTTGCATGTTTTACTAACGAAAATTTCATTTTTATTTCAAATCAGCAATCCTTGAAAATTTAAAAAAGAGTAGTTACAGCATACGAGTACTATTGTGTCAATTGAAGCAAGCAAACACTGAGCTGAACACTTCAAAAGACTTCTAAATCGACCACCATCTACAACGCGCACAATAATACCAACAGCAGAAGTAGAACTACCAGTGGACATCAACCCTCCAACGAAAACAGAAATTCTGAAGGCAATAAAGATGCTAAAAAAATGGAAAATCAGTAGTACCAGACGGAATCTCCGCAGAAGCATTGAAGATGGACCCAAAGATATCCTTGGACTTGATGACGCCATTACTGGAGAATATGTGGAAAGAGGGTAAGGCACCTGCGGGTTGGAAGAAAGGAGACTTAAGTCAATTCAAGAACTGGTGCGGAATTATGCTCCTGTCCATCCCAAGCAAAATACTTAGCCGCATCATCCTGGAGAGAATCAAACACGCCTTGGATGAATAGCTTCGACCGGAACAGACTGGATTCAGGAGGAACAAGTCATGCATAGATCGAATCACAACACTACATATCATCTTTGAAAAGAGTTGGGAATATCAGTCAAGTCCCTATCTCATTTTCATTGACTTTGAAAAGACGTTCAGCGGACGAAGTCGATCAAGAGGTGATTTGGAAATGACTTCGGTACTATAGTGTGCCGCCAACAATTATACATCTCATCCAACAGCTGTACGACAATACTGCGTGCCAAACAATTCACAATGGGAAACTCACGGAATCCTACGAAGTGAAGGCGGGAGTAAGACAAGGCTGGCAGCCTACTGTCTTCGGTGATTTTCCTGATCTCGGTAGACTGAATAATGCGACAGAAACACAGCGGTCAACGATGAGACAGGCATAAAATGGACCCAAACAAAAAACTTGGAGGATCTGGACTTCGCCAACGATAAATGTCTGATTTCCCCGTAAACTGGAAGATATGCAAATGAAAAGCAGCAAGTTGACAGAAGAACCATCCGAAGAAGATAGGGCTTCAGGTGAACATAGAGAAAACAGATATGCTGATGAAGATTTCTGGCCAACAGAAACAGCAATAACAACAACAGACAACAATCAGCATAAATGGGAGGAACTCGAAAGAAACAACCTCCTTCACCTGTCTACCTGGGAAGCATCGTTTCAACTACAGGCGGATGGAAGTGATGAGGATTTCAAAGCAAAGCAAGCTTTCACTACTCTCAAGTTCAGATTTTCCACTTCAATATGAAGTTTGTGCTACTCATTATACGGATCAGAGACTTGGCGCGTCATGAAGAGCAACTCAAACAAACCACAGACTTTCATTAACACCTATCTTCGCTTAATACCCCGCTCGCTGAAGATCAGATAGCCGGCCAGAAAAGACCAGCAACAGGCAGGGATCTCTGGGACTAAACTAACCCAGCAAGAACAAATTGTGCAGCATATATGCAGGGAGAAATGCAGGTGGATTGTATTGTATTGTCGCTATACTCTGAGTTGACAAACAAACTATCAAGTGAGTAGTGACATCACACAACAGACCATCACTCGAGTGGACGGGGAAGTGTAAGCGATGAGTTAGTTGGTGGTCAGTTCGAGGGTGACACGGAGGAGGAGAAGGAGGAGGTGATGTGAAGATGAGATGAAGGCGTGTGGGTGGAGGTGGAGTTAGGTGAAAAGGGTGATGGAGAACCAAAGGCAATGGAGATGTGCAGCTGAAGCCCTATGTTCCCCTAGGAACTAAAGGAAACAGTAATAATAGTAATTTACTAGACGGATAAATTTAATTCTTCTATCCGGTATAACTGTTCCTTAGTGTGAGTTTGACATAACGAAGCACAATAGTGAGAGAGAGAGAGAGAGGGATTGACAAGATATGAACGAACTGTCTATAAGCCTTATTTAATTCTTCTTTTTATTCTACAAATTTTTCTTATTTTACACCACTGTTTGTTTCAGATTTATTTCGGCTGAAGACCACCAATGGTTTGATACAATTATGAAACGTCTAGTTAGAGAGGAACTTGGTACTGAATACGTAACTATGGTGGCAAATGATCCGCCATACTTTGTTAATTTCTTACGGTAAGATATCATTTTTATTTTTTTAAATAAAATAATTTGACATATAATAAACCTATAAATGTTCTCTTGACATTTGTCTTTGCTAGACTATTTTAAATTTTCGAAGCATCTAATTTAAAAGTCGTTTGATAATTTCGTTTTTGAGAGACATAACCGTTTTTTTTTATTAAGACTTAATCAAGAGATGGCTCTAATCGGTTGTGATACGTTATGCAACAATCAAACTTTCAAGAGTTTGTTTGTTAGGATTCGGTTTGTTTTCACTAGTTTGACCAAGCACGGATTGATATCTGTTAGAGAACCATTTGAAAACCAGTCACAAGGATTACTGGACAGCTGTTTGATCAGACTAGTTTGGGAATCATTGACAGTACGCACCCACCCACCCACAAGCTTTGAGCTCAGTAGCTTTTTGTTACAAGGCAAGCTGGTATATCAGTGAAGTCCAACCAGTAGTCAAGTGTTAGGATGAACTTCCCACCGATTAGATTGGTTGGTGCCAGTCGGGCTAAATCACGAATTGGTAGAAGTTAGAATTCATGCACTGGCCGTTGAATTGGGTGGGTTGCAGTGAGTGGCTACTTGGTATGTAACCGGAAGTTCTTGGGTTCGAACTCGTTGTGGTGTACTGGTGATGACTCCCAATCAGTTAGAGAACCATTGAAAACCAACAGAGAGTACTGTCAGACAGCTATTTTATCAGACTAGTTTGGGAATCATCGGCAGTACACACCCACCCTCACCAGGGTTCGAATACAATACCTTCCGGTTACAAGGCAAGCTAGCTCGTATACCATTTAGCCACTCACCGGGACCCAATTCAATGGACAGTCCATGAATTCTAACTTCTACCAATTCGTGATTAGGCGCGACCCCAACCATTGTCGTTGGTGGGACATCCATCCACACAAGTGACACCTGGGTGCGTACTGCCGATGATTCCCAAACTAGGATGAAACCGCTATTCAGTGCTCCCTATGACTGGTTTTCAATGGTTCGCTAACTGATATCAATCTGTGCGTGGTCGAACTCGTAGAAACTCAAACTTTTGTTTAATGAATACCAGATGAGTTTGAATGTGTCTTTTCACAGGAATTTCAAGGATTTTGTAGAACATTTTCTGACTTCTTTTTTCATTATTTACCCAACTTTCAAATCAACTAGATGGTATTTGGGGGAAGCGCACATCTATTTGCCTACTATTATTATCATCACAAGAATGGTTACTGGACAAAGAATATTCCTTTTAGATAACTTCGTCATCAAGCTCTATAGTTGTATATACATTATATTGAATGAATGAATTAATGTTATTAACAATATTAATGCTTTTTAAATAACATCGAATCAATAATAATAATACCAGTGAATTACAGTTCAACAGCATCAACATAAAATAAACTGAATGTCAGTTGAATTAGGAAAGATAATAATACAAATTCATGAATTTGTAGTCTCCACCCACTGAAGGCCGGTCAGGGTAGTAGTAGGCACTGATTAGCTGGCTGGACTTGCTTCTTCTCCACATAGAGCACTGATTGTTTGAAGTGAATTGCAATAGCCTCTGGTGTTTGGAGGATTCGGTGCTTCTATGATGATTTTGTCAATTTAGTAAAGACCCTTGGCCACAGAGTTAGAGCTATATGCTACAGTCCTATAGGAGGTCATTCGTGAGCCCGAATAGCTCAGTGGTAACGTCTCTGACTGCAGTACTCACTGGGTGATGCGGATTCGAATCTCAGAGGGGACATGAGTTCCTTCAGTATGGTTGCAGATACGCCTTGCTGACTGGTGAGTTCCAACTAGCAGCACGAAACCTAGGTCTAGACAAGGCTTCCTCTGGCCGATTACCTCCAACCATCTAATATCATCAAATCAATGTGTGCACCGTGATGGCAAGCTACCTATTGGCATGGTGGCCACATTGCAAACCTGACTGACTGACTGATAGAATTTAGTCTGCACCAATGAGACGACTAGACACATCACACTAGTTACTAGTGTCATATCAAAATAGATGTATACTGTTGTCTGATGGATGACTCGATGATTTATGCGTTTTCTTATTTTAATATGGGGAAACTGTTTCAGGGTAACAGACCACAAACAAACAAAATATTGAAACTATTTACACTACACCTTTGTCTAATATAGCATCCAAAGTCTGTTGGTGAATAAAACTCAACTCAAATTTGTTTGTGCAACCATACTACAGTAAATAGTTTTTCGAAGTTAATAACACAAGTTTAAATATTTTTCCAGTCGACAGTTCCCCTCCCTCCCCCCCGTCCACACACACACACGGCTAAGTAATTTCCTCTCTTTCTTCCTTATTTAATTAAAGCGATCCACCTGAAGCAACTGGTGATGAACCTGATGATTATGTTGTCGAAGTACCCAGAATTTATGAACCGGTAAGTTCAAATGTGTAATCAGTTATCAACTGATCTTATGACATGTCAGTTAACTGTCACACTATTTTTATATGGAATTTACCAAAGTCCTATGACACAGGTCATACACCTAGGTGGTATGTTTATCGTTCAGTTGTTGTTCTTGTTGTCATTGTCAGTTATTCATGCAATTTTAAAAGACAAAATCAGCCAAGAAAATTTTCTGTATACAGTGGTATATTAGTGGTCTATTATTGAGTTATTAGAGGTGGTGGGGCTTACTTTACTTTACTTTACTTCGGCTATCTCCCACGGGAGGATGAGCCGGCTTCATGAACATCGCGAATCATCGCTGCCTAGGCGCGACAATCTGATGCAAGGTTTTGCCACAGGGTTATCCAATTCTTGTTCTACAGACCGAGTCCGTAGACGGTTTGTAGCCCCAGCCCAGTCACTCCATATCAGCCTTGACTGACTGTACCAAGCCATGTTTTCAGCTGCCCACCCCTGCGACATCGCCAAGATAGAAATGGCGAGGGATTTAGAACTGATTTGACCAGATTGTCATATGGTCGACCCAGAACATGGCCAAACCACCGAAGGCGAAGTTGTTGGACCAGTACTGGTTGATGTTGTAGCAACGAGAGTTGATGAAGTTTCATGGGAATTAGGTTCGAGTGATGTCCCCAGAATCGCTCGGCCTTTTATTTGAGAGTGCAGCTCTAGCCTTTACACAACCAAGTGTGACCTACGAGGCAGTAGGAGTGGAGTAGGGAGTCGACTATCCATTGTCAGCCAGCCGGTGACCGGAGTCCGGTTCATACGCCTTTTTGAATGGGGCCAGACATGCACCAGTGCATCCAATAAGCCGTTTGTCCATACGTCTGCCTAACGGTGAGCTCCGGTGAGCTTCATACGCCAGTCGTTGGAGGTTTGGAATCAGGGTTTAGCCATCTGCCCTAGACTGTAATCCAATGGACAGTCAACCCGGTGAAGAGCGCCGGGAATCCGCTTTGCCCTCTCACTTCGGTGAAAAACACCTCCACCACGTGAAGGCAGTGAGTAGGACTTCCTCAGGAGAGGCTATGTAAGACACTCGGTCATATGGGAGCATTTCAAGAGGTGTACGGAGGGGTGGCCAACCCGCAGTGCAAGGCACCCACTCCCAACCATCCTGAGGCTTTGGAGGTGGGGGGGCGAAGTGACATCGTTGATATAATTAATTACTCAGAAGTGGCTTTAGAAGTAAAGAAATAAAAGTTGTAAATTACTTGGTACAAAGGACGGCACAAAGGAAGAAAGTGTTACAAATTTAGATAAGGTTAAAATTGTTAATCAGTGAGTGAGTGAGCGAGAATAAAGCTGGTAGTTGAGTGTAAAGAGGGTGTGAAAATGTTCAACAGGGAATATATGAGAGTGATATAATAGTGAAGTAATTGTTAAAGTAAAAGCAAACCAAAGGTAGGACTGAGAATTCAAAAAAAAGAAAAAAATGTTTCCTAGAAGGAGCGACTAGTGAAGAGGTTAAGACCAAGGTAGACTAAGAGACTGGACAAACGTTTTCTGTATACAGAGTTCGAGGTTGAATTGACGAATTGCCAGCGCCTCCCCAATTACAATTACTAACTTAACTCTCGAGCACTTGGTGAACTCAAGCCACGTAGCTAAACTAAAGTCGTCTTTGAAGATCATCTACAAGGTGAGGGCAAATGGTACAAAGAGTGTCACATTTCGGCTTGTTTTTCAACACCACAGTTAAATCAGTTCTTCTATGGATGACAGAAACTTCGTGCAGACTACTGCAGACCCTTATCAACTATTACCTTTACTGACTCCATATTGAAGATCAGATGGACAGCTGGAAAGAGTTAGCAAGAAAGAGCTCTTTGAACAAACCCACCAACGAACCAACGGATTGGCCAATAAATATTACCGAAGAAATGGATGGAGATAGACTTGACTTTCGGGTGACATTGTACATCAGCTTCTCGAGTGGAACCTGAATGGGAATCTATTAGTTCGGCGTCCGAGGTTGAAATGGAGAGGAGATCATGTGAGAGGAGAAGATGACAACCTATTGGTAATCGTGAGGACAGGAAGACCAATATTCCACTCGAAACCCAAAGGAATAATAATAATTTAAAACAATTAGTTCCCTTTATGAATTTAAGTGAAACAATAAGAAGACTTAATTTGTCTGAATCGTGTAATGTTGCATTTGCGCGCAACACACATTTCGAACAGTCTGATCCATCACACACACACACACGGACTTGTCATAGGAGTACATATATATATGAAACTAATAAAGAGTGAGTTAAGAGGTGGGTGAGAAAATAGACTTGACTTCTTAGGTCAAGTTAAAAGGAGGACATACTGAAGTTCAAAATAACAATGAAGATCAATCACTAAACCAAATAACAGAGGGAATAGTACACATAAACGCTGCTATTAAAACTTTTTATGCAGCTAATATCATAATATTCTGTAGTTTGGTTTGTAAGGGTTAGTTAGGTTTTTAAGAGTTGATCACGGATTGAAGTTAGAATTCATAAACCATTGAATCGGGTCCCACTGGCTGAATGGTATACGAGTTAGCTTGCTTTGTAACCGGAAGGTCCTGGGTTCGAACCCCGGTGCAGTGCGTGCGTACTACCGATGATTCCGAATCTAGGATGAAACAGCAGCTGTCCAGTACTCCCTGGTTTTCACTGCTTCTCTAACTGATAACAATCCATGATCAACTCGTAATATCATAATAATTGAGAATGTGAAGCCAATATATATTCAACACTCTTAGCCCTTTGAACATGCGTAAAATGATGTCACAGCCTACTGTATTTACCAATTTGAATGTACTTGTGGCCACACACACATACATAGAGAGGACTCATCGATCTCTGTAAGTAAGGGCTGGCCGGCTTCAGAGCATATTCCTAAATGGCTCCAGAAACAAATAGAATCTTCAAAACGCATTAATGGTGAGAACAGATGACAACCTTGCTCCTCTATTGCGAAACATGTTACACAGGAGACAGGACATAAAATTGACGTTAACACATCTTTTAAACCTATCTATAAAAGTGTGTTTATGGGGTGGGCGTATCCTAAAGTTTGTAGGAGCTAGCCCTAGCTGGCAATCAGAAAGTTTAAACCACCTTTATGCGATCAAAGCAACAATTCGTTATCACACTAAACCTTTTTTGGCAAATTTTGTTTTGATACCAACCAGGGTAGGCAGATGTAATATTACCTCTGTTATTTGGTTTAGTGATTGATCTTCATTGCTATTTTGACCTTCAATATGTCCTCCTTTTAACTTGACCTGAGTAGTTTATTTTCTCACCTCTTACCTCTATTACTTTCGCGTATATATTCTTATGAGAAGTCTGTGTGTGTGATGGATCAGGTTGTTGGAAATGTGTTGTGCACAAATACAACATTACACGATTCAGACAAATTACGTATTCTAATTGCTTTATCTAAATAATAATAATAATAATTTAATAAATCTCTACAGTCAATTTTATGTGGTATTTTAGGTGTCTTTTCTCTATATAAATGCTTTTGTTGAATGTCAATGAGAATTTCCATCATCATTCCTTTTGATTTTGAGCAGTTGAACACTGTTTTATTTTATTTCCTTTCATATCATAATTTAGATTGAATCATTTCAACAGCTATCTGAACGTTTAGAGATGTTTCTACGTCAGTATAATGAATCTATCCGTGGGGCACGAATGAATTTAGTCCTATTTCAAGATACGCTAACACAAATTGTACGTATAGCTAGAATTTTATATATGCCACGTGGTAATGCTTTACTCGTCGGAGTTGGTGGGTCTGGTAAACAATCATTTACAAAACTAGCATCCTACATTGCTGGTTATCAAACATTTCAAATCACATTGACACGGTAAGATGGCGGATATCAGGCTGAGTATTAGTTGTTTTCAACTTTTACAAATATATATATATATATATTTTCAAGTGTTGGTTTTGTATGATTAAATCCTCCATACAATATATATATATATATATATATATATATATATATATTCCCTTGACAGCCAAACATCACCATTGTACCTCTCGGTCGACGGAATCGAATGCCACCTTCAGGTGAAGAAATATTAACGATTATTGTTGTTTTAACCTCAAGTAGGAATGGAGGACCTGTGTTTACAACCCTTTTTAGGGAGGTGTTGGATGCTAGGTAAGTTGAGAGTGGCTGTAGGCCAGTTGAATTGCTCCTAAAATGTTCCCTCCAACTTTTCAGTCGTCTATCCTAAGAGCTAATTACGGTGCCATTTTTGTCGGAGATTGTTTCACTTATCATTTGCCTTTTACCACCTGCTTCTCTGATAAGTCTAAATAGTGTTGTCTGGTGTTACCTATCGCCGATGCCTTCCTTCTCTATCTCTTTCGCTATTGTCGCTCACCAGTGTTCACGGTCGCTGTGAAGACTTCTTGTTAGTTTGCGTTTCAGCGGCCTTCGCTCCTCATCATAGATCAGTGTTAGTCCCTCCCCCCACCCACTCTCATCTAATATTGTTCCACATACAAGCAGACAAGAGTAAAGTATCAAAGAGTAGTGAAACAGGTATTCAAGATTAGAGAGCTAGCTACAATCCAATCAGATCCAAACTAGTAGATTTAAAGAAGTGTTCTTGCATGACTACCATCCAGTAATCCCTACACTTATTAATATAAAATCAATAACTATTTCCACAAGGTCGAACCAGTTACAGGATCATTGGAAAATTTAAATTTAAATCCTTCTAACAGTGACAAACCAAGTTACAATTTCCAAAGAGCACTGAAAGCCATCACATCTTAAGCAAAGCATACTGTTATCAAACACTTCAGATCTTAAATTAGCATAGATATATGAGAAAGCAAAGATACGTGTCTGAGTCTATTATTAAAAAAAAGATGAATTTCCAGAAGTTTCATGGATTTCCAGTTGCTTTTTAACAGTTCAGAATGTAAAAAGACAGTTTCAGCGAGGAAGAAAATTTTCTTTTCGACGAAGTCATCATCAACTAGAGAGCTGTACATTCGTGCATTTATAATAAATGGGTAGGAAAGTTCCAGAGTGATTTCTGGTCAAGGGTCAGATTAGTAGAATTGCAGTTAGGAATTAAAATGACGTAATAAACAGGGCGGTGGGACAGATAAAACTCAAACAAAGTAGCATCATAATTATTGGGAAGATCGACATAGATCTTGCAATTAGGGGTTATAAATGTAGAAATAACAAAATAGATAGACAGAATGTTTGGATAAAAACAAAATCTAGTGGGATCATAACTAATGTAACGAATAATTGTATATGCAATCAAGGATTAAAAATGTAGCAATAATAAAATGACAAAATAGACAGGAAGTTCGGATATGAAAATACGATAGTGTAAATAGTGGAGGGATTAAGAAAAACTTAAAAATAACATGAATAAACAGGAAGTTTGGTTAAGAAAGTCAATGGAATAGTCACTGTTAGATGAATTACCTGTTTATGATGGCCATGGCAGGGATAGGGGTTGAACGTATTTCTTTTGGATATATAGCGTGGGTTTGAGCTTTTGGATAACTAGTGCCTCGACTACACCCAGATGTCTTAATTTTACTCCCTTTGATAAGTTTGATCGAATCTTGTGTACTATTTTGAAGGATTTTTCGAATGACGCTGAATGTCCTGAATTGACCAGATGTTCTGTCACTGAACTATATACACGTTTTTGTTCTCCTTTTCCTAGTCAGGTTGGATAGTGTTCACGAGTGCGTTATTAAAGTTGATGCATGGTACGGCCGATGTACTCAGCTACGCCAGAGAGCAAGTAAACTGGTATATACACGTTGAGGCGGTCCAATGCGACAGCTTGTCTTTTGCGTTCTGGCTGAACAGTTTTTTGCAGAAAAACGTTAGTCGTAAACTCGCGGCGAAGTATGCTTTCCTCAGATATTTGGAAAGGCGTTTACGAAGAATTTCTGCTTCAATGTCACCTTCAAACTCTAGATTAGGCAGAAGTATCTTCTTCGGGATTGATTGGACTTGTTCGTAAGTCTTCTTTAATTTGAGGTTCTTGTGTATGAACCTGGGCGGAAAACCGTTTTCCATCAGGGTTCTTCGGAGATTACTCAGTTCTTCATCAATAACACCCTTGCGGCATATCTTCCGAATCCTCAAGGAAAGAGCGTATATAAGGTTCCATGTGGGCTTTTTTGTATATGGACCTTTACAGAGAGTTGTTGGCGTTTCTTGTCAGATGGACATCGAGGAAGTGGAACATTCCGTCGGATTCGGCTTCAAGAGTAAAGTCAATGTGTTTGGTGAGCATTGTTGAATGTATGAAGTGAGTTTTCAGTGTCCAGGTTCTCATCACAAATGATGTAAGTATCATCAATGTATCTTTTGTAGAGATGGAGGTCGTCGATAGGTGATGGTAAGGGGTTGTTTTCGAGGCTGGCCATAAAAACAGTCGGCTAGGAGGGGTTGGAGTGCAGAGCGCATTGCTACGCCATCTGTTCGCCTGTAGATTTCATCGTAGAATCTGAAGTAGACGTTGAAGGTACAACGTAGTAACTACTCCTTTAGATAGTGAATCGGTATGCCAAAATCTATTCTTTGTTTAATTCCACATAGTAACGAAGGTGATAATAATTTTCAACTTGATATGAAAGTTTGAAGGTACGAATATAGATTACAAGGGGCTTAGAGACAAGATTTCATAGGATGCGAAAATAGTTACAACGTATGCGAAAATTAATATTTGATAACTGGAGAAATAATTTTAAGTCAAATAGAAGGTGATAATTGTTTTCAACTTGATTTGAATTACAAGAGGCTTAGGAACGCGGGGATAGAACGAATTACAGGTGTGGACAAAATGATGACTTGTTTCGATGTTAATTTTCTCCAGTTATCAAATATTAATTTTCGCATCTTATGAAATCTTGTCTCTAAGCCCCTTGTAATCTATATTCGTACCTTCAAACTTTCATATCAAGTTGAAAATTATTATCACCTTCGTTACTATGTCGAATTAAACAAACAATAATTGTGTCTTTGTAAAATAATATATATATAAATGCGATTCTACAGCTTTTGAGAATGAAATCACCGAAAAGATATCTTTGCTAAACTTCTTCTATTCTTTCTAATTTCCACGAACATCTATTCTGTTGCATTGGATGAAGTTGCACGGAAAATATATAGTTTCTGTCAGTGGAACATTGGGGAGACCATCTTTTTATTTGCGAGGTTGGCATTTTAATTTGAGTCAACGAAATCTAATGTGTCGCCGAGGTTGTATCTCGACAGCTTTTCTTTCGTTGGTCCAAGAATTTCTACCAGCCACTTCATGATTAGATGATATGTATATGATTGCATATACAATTATTCGTTACATTAGTTATGATCCCACTAGATTTTGTTTTTATCCAAACATCCTGTCTATCTATTGTTGTTATTTCTACATTTCTAACCCCTAATTGCAAAATCTATGTCGATCTTCCCAATAATTATGATGCTACTTTGTTTGAGTTTTATCCGTCTCACCACCCTGTTTATTATGTCATTTTAATTCCTAACTGCAATTCTACTAATCTGACCCTTGACCAGAAATCACTCTGGAACTTTCCTACCCATTTATTATAAATGCACGAATGTACAGCTCTCTAGTTGACGATGACTTCGTCGGAAAGAAAATTTTCTTCTCTGCAACCGTCTTTTTAACAATATATGTATATATTACGAATTTAATTGAGATCTACTCAAACTTTTTGAGAGGACTAAGGGTAGAATTGCATTAACGGGTAGAAGGTGAACCTATATTCCTCAGAAAACTGATTACTCCACATGGATTGAGTACAACCTCCTACGATTATCTTCCAAAACACTTTGGAGTACCCTCATAAACGCAGCATAACCTAGAGTTAGCAGTCACATCAAAACTAACGTTCATCCTAGGCATAATATTATTACATTAAAAGAATAGCAAAACTCACACAATTCACTACTGAGCAGTTATGATGCCGCAGATTCGCAGCTCAGGTGGTTGTGATTTCTGAGATGGATAGTTAATTTGCAAAGCCTTCATTGCCCTCCCACCATGCAACATCTTCCTTCAGCGCATACGCTTCAATTTGAAGTGAAGTGAAGACTTCTCCACGAGTTCACTATTAATCATCTCTCCTAGTCGGTGACCTCCGACGTCATTGGTTGCTTTTTGTGTGTTTTCACTCCCTCTAGGCTACCTGTGTCGATATTGGAACTGATTGTTTCTTTGACTTGAGCTGTGAACCTTTGTGTGTGTGTGTGACGTTTCCTTCTTATCGGTTGGTAAATTTTGTCTATCTCGATGTGTCTATTGATTGGTGATTCAGTGGAATATCAGGCAGCCTTCTACGCATTCTCGGTGTTGTTTCCTCTGTCTAATATTTGAACGTTGTCCCAATCGGATGTCCGTGGTTGTTTCTATGCTGTATATATATATATATATATATATATATATATAGGAAACTTTCTGCAATAGTAGTGTGAGTAATTCCAAGGCTATATATATACAGAATTCAGATAGTTCTTGTTCAGGTCTTGTCATCAGTACACCAATTCTTGGATGTGTTCAGCATGAACACCGTCAACATGTTTACTATTATTGCTCCGTTTCTCCTTACTCTATGTTTCCTTTCCCAGCATAAATTCTGAAATGTACTTATTACATTGGAACACGGAGTAGAAGGCGTAGAATATGACAGTTGAAGCTATTACTTAAACAATGTGATTCATGAGTAGAATAGTGTTTTGATGGATCGGTTTTTCGTTTACCATTCTGATTTTTCTCCAAAACCACTCCTGTCTTGCATTCGGAAGTATAAGACAAACTACCTCATTTCGCCTCCTCTTCCATGTGTGTGTATCTACCAATTGAACTGCTCCTGTGGAGTCAGCCAGTTACTTGACTGCATAGTCCGTACAATTAGGCGTGTTTCTCGTCGAATTTCCGAACATCACCCTACACAGTGGTGGTTAAGTAAAGGACAAATAGAATCTATTCTCAGCGCTATTCTATCTATCCCACTCATCTTGTGGATGCAGAACACAAGATTGATTCATGTTCACAAGGCGGTTTTCAGAGTCATTTACCTACCTCACACCAACCAACGAACCTCAATTTTATTCGCCTTAGGAGTTCGACTAGTAAATATTCATGAGGCTGGCTGGCCGGCCGTTGGGATCCATATTAACAAGCCTAATTTGTGCATCCAAAAGAAGTTGGTTGGTTGAGACATTATCGTTACCGGCTGGCCATTTAGGTTTGAATGATCCTGAATTTTTGTGGAATTTTCCTAATTCTAGTTGATACTCTATTTCCTACTATATCTTTATTATTATTATTATTATTATTATTATTTAAGCATCTTTAATGAACTGTGGTAATTCCGTTGTGATCTTACTTTACAAATCGATATTATTTAAGAAACACTAATATTGTTATTGACTACTAATCGGGAATATTCTGTGTATATAGACATATATAGGTGTAATTGTAGAGCGAGAAGCGGAGGAGGAATTTATCGAAAAGGGGATGTTCTTTGCTGGCTCAATTATTCTGCGTTCTATAGATCTCTGAATGAATATTTCTGCTACATTGTGATTGTGTTTTTTTCCTCCTCTGTACGCCATTTTAGTTAGTGGCGTCGGTGGCACAGTGGTCCGGGGTTCGAGCCCACGCTGACGCACACCTGATATCTATGGTCGGCCTGCAAAATTTGGGCTACCGATATCCATGCTGAAAATTCCATACTTGTACCAAAAATGCAGTGTGGAATCAAGCTGTAAGTCAAAAATAAAAAAATAAAATAAATAAGTTAATAAAGTAGTTATTCGGTTATTTTGAGCCCGAATAGCTCAGTGCTGGTAACGTCTCTGATTGCAGCACCCGGTGGTGACACAAGTTCGAATCTCAGAAGTGACATAAGCTTCCTGAAGGTAGTAGGTACACCCTTCTGACTGGTGTGCCAACTAGCACGAAACGTAGGTCAAGGTAGGAAGGCTTCCTACTGATTACCTCCAACCATCTACTATCATCAAAGCGATCTGTGCACCGTGATGGTGAGCTACCTACAAGGCATTGTGGCCACACTGAAAACCTGACTGAATGACTGATAGAATTCAATTCTGTACTAAAGAAATTACTAGACACATTGCATTAGTTTTTTAACAAGTGTCCAATCAAAATTCAGAGTGGTGTTAATTTTCTCTGAAACAGATAACCTGTTTGACTAACTAACATTTCCGCTTCATACTTCTTTACAATATTCAAATGTAAGGGTGACTGACAATCATCATCCTCACACCATGATTTCCCTGAATGCAAAACTCCAGTGAACCTTAAATCAGTTCGCTTAGCAGGAATCATATATTCTAGTGGTCCGCATTTGACGCTTTAGAATACTAGTGTAACAACAGAAGACAAGGGCCAGAAAACAGATAGTTTATTTACGAAATCAACAGATATTTATAGATTTTCATGTACATTATTATAGATTATTGTGAGCAAAAAAACAGTCTTCTGATTGATTGGTGGTTGTTTCTCACTGAACGTAAGTTAACCTTTCATCTCTTTGTGGCTGTTTCTTGAATGTCAGATCATCTATATGTTAGCTGTATCCGCCTACGCAAAGCCTTTCTTCGCATTTTGCTCACCACCAATATTGGGGACATAAACATTGACGTAAATTACTGTCTACCAATTTTCGGCTAGCAGCCAGCTCTCACCACAATATAATCTCCCTTTTTTCCCTACTATTCACTGCTTAGATCATATAATACTTCAAATCTGATCGAGGATCTAAAATTTCTGTATCGTACAGCTGGACAAAAAGGTCGTGGCATCACATTCATTTTCACAGATCAAGAAATCAAAGACGAGGCATTTCTAGAATACCTAAATAATGTCCTGTCCTCCGGGATTATCTCAAATCTATTCACCCGTGATGAAATGGATGAAATCCTGCAAGATTTAATCCCATGCATGAAAAAAGAGCATCCACGATTATCACCGACAAATGAGAATTTGAATGATTATTTTCTCAGTCGAACTCGGAAAAATCTTCATGTGGTTTTGTGTTTTTCACCAGTTGGTGAGAAGTTTCGAGCAAGATCGTTGAAATTTCCTGGATTAATATCCGGTTGTACAATCAACTGGTTTCATCGTTGGCCAAGGGAGGCTTTAGTCGCTGTGGCTAATCACTATCTCACGGACTTCCCAATTGTTTGTAGCAGTCAAACTAAAAGTGTTTTAATTAATACAATGGGTGTAGTACACGATGGAATTGCTGAGGCGTGCACAGATTACTTTGCAAGGTGAGTTTATTTTCAATTAATACGTTTTTTAATTTGTATCATTCTGTTTATAATGCATTAATAGTTAATAATAACAATAATTTGCTTTATTCGAATACAGTACTTGTGATACACAGAATGGAATTCTCAGCATTTTACTACAGTATTGCATCCAGTTAGTACATTAACAATAAATAAAATTCTACATAGACTAAAGGTAGTCTCCGTTAATTTTGACAACAACATGTTAGTATGTCGGTCGGTAGCAAACCAAAAGTGAACAGAATGTTTGAACGTGCTTAGAAGAGTAGATACTAGCATATTCACTGGCGTAACAAAAGGAAACAAAAAGGACCAGATATACAGAGTGTGAAAGAACGAAGACGAATGCTTTATGTAGATTTTGTAAGACAGAGAGGAAAAAAACAGCACAGAAACAAAAAAGAGAAAAGGATAAGAAAGAAAGAAAACGTTGTACCTATAAATGCTATGAGTTGGAAAGACGAGATCCAATTGTTCTGCTGACTATTTAATAAGTTATAAGTTTCACCCCTAGTGCTTTCTTCTTCGTCGCACAGAACACGATCCAAGTAGGGTATGGTGGAGTTTTTATACTTGCCAGTGCGAGCATATAGTTTTCTATATATAGGCTTCTGCTCTGCCTGCCTGATGAGATACAAGGGGAGCGTTGTGAATGAAGGAAGTGATGGTGTGAGTTAGACAGATAAAATGGATTCAGCCCATTTCTCACATGAGTCCAAGTGCCTGTCGACCAGAATATTAGCAAGCTGGTTGGTTAAGTGGCACGTTGCTTACCCTGCTGACAACCTTTAACATCCTACGTAATTAGATATAGTCCTTCTTCAGTAGCCAGCCCTGGAAAAACTAACAGGGAGTAGTGGAGAATAATAGGCAGAATGCGAGAGTTAACGAATCGTAAGAGTAAGGGTTGGGTTGGGTTATTCCAGAATGTCGCAACTTCTTGATGTAGAAAGTAAGACGGAATATTTTTTTAGTAATCAACAATATATGAGACGACCAGGAAGGAAAGATTAGCGGATAGAATGACGCCAAGATATTTAATTTCCGACTTGGTCTGTGTCTATTTCAGTGCCATCTATGTTGCACACCTCATGAGTGGTAACAGGTTTTTTTAGGTCAGATTTATGCCTAAAGGTAAAATTGACTGTTTGACATTTAGAGGGATTTAAGGTTAGACCGTTTTCCTTGGACCACTGGCTGATTTCTGACAAAAAGCCATTTAGTTTGGAGCAGCCATTTTGACACTTGACAGGCAAAGATACAGTCAGGTCGTCAGAATATTTAACAAAATTAATGTCATTTGAATATGGTAAGTCATGTAGAAAGAAAGAAAAGAGGAGTTGGGAGAGTACAGCACCTTAGGTGACACCAGCTTCAGTGAGCACAGTGTACTACATTCTGTTTGAGGAGTAGGAATGCAACTAGTTTGTGACCCAGATCTCAATTTGTCCCATCGAGAGCTTATTTAGCAAGAGACATCTAGGTATAGAGTCGAAAGCAGAAGTGAAGTCGAGAAACGTGCAGCCGACGTATTTGGCAGCTTTATCTAATGATGAAACGATACTGTTGTGTAAGATGGCTGCAGCGTCTAAAGTGCTCCTACCCTGTCTATAGGCGAATTGTTTGGGGTCTTCAAAGCTTTTAAGGCAGGGTTCAAGTTTAAGAAGTACTAGTTTTTCCATAAGCTTTAGAAACAGGGAAGTGATGGCAATGGGTCTGAATTTTACATTCTTGCTATTTTCAGGTTTAGGGATAAGGACTATTTTAATGTTTTTCCATGGAACAGGTACAATGTTTTTTGAAAAAGAAACATTTATGATGTTAGTAAGTGGAGAACATAAAGCATCTGCACATTATTTTAGAACATAAGCAGGTAGACCATTAGGGCCAAGGCTATGTGGAGGCTTAAGTTTTTTAAGATATTTTAGAACATTGAGAGTATTAAAGTCATGAAAGTTATCAACTGAGTGATTTGTAACACTAAAAGTTATTATAGTAGAAGGAGAGTGTATAAAAGACTGATTATTTATTTTTTTTTAATTTTTGATTACAGCTTGATTTCACACCGTATTTTTGGTACAAGTATGGAATTTTCAGCATGGATATCGGTCACCCAAATTTTGCAGGCCGAGCACAGATATCAGGGTTGCGTCGGCAGGGGATCGAACCTCGGAGCATGTGCATAGTCGGCGAGAGTCCTGACCACTGTGCCACGGACGCACATCATAAGAGGGAAAAACATTACATCGCTTACCAATGTCAGTAATTTCGTTGAAAAGTTTTCACTTGCTGGTAGGAGATTTACAAGATAGAAGTGTATGATTGTACATAGTACTGAGTTTGCTGATGCTTATATACATGTAGGGCTCCAGGCTATCAAGCTTCAAAACGGTGAAGAGGTTACTAGCGTCACTCACAATCATCCCTCCTTTGCGGGTTAGTAATCGGCTGGTAAACTAAGTGAAATGTAGAAGTGCGTTGGGAACTGAAAGCTGGGAATCGAACCCGCATGACATGCGTAGTTGGAGAGCGTTCTATCCATGTAATCATCCATATATATCTATATATGCACACGTCAAGGGTGTCAGATGTTTCAACCAATTTGATCTTGCTGGGAAGCACTACTGATTGATGTCGGTTGTGTCCAGATCCAGATGTCAGTCAATCAACATTATATGGAGTCATGCGTCAACGCTCATTTTATTGATTACCATTTTTGTGGCATCAAACACTTGTGATCTGATCAGTTTCTATTTCCAAAGGAAACTATGGTGAAATGTCACCACCACCACCACCACCACCTTCACCACCTTGAACTGTGCTATTTGAAAACGGTGAATTAGTTCGCTAAAATTGAGAACTTGTATCAAAGTATGACCTTAGTCTTATATCCTACGTTAGTAAAGAGTCGTCCTATTTGGGACTCTTCCGCCAGGTGGATGTACCTGCATTCTGCAGTCGATCAATCAATCAATCGATGGGAAAATCTAAAACTGAATAAAATAATTAATATGACCCGTTGCACAAGAGGTGGCTATCGTGGCTAAAGTGGTCCAGTGGATAACGCTTTGGCTGGCATTTGAAACTACTGGCACTGGTTTCGAGCTTCGGTGGGAACATCATCACTGACTCACTGAGGAGAATTTAGGTACATCCAGTTGGTGGAAGAGTCCCGAATAGGACGAAATGCGTGTTATTCTCGTTCTGGATTCCACTGCTAGTCACCATCCATCAATCAACTTCTGATGGGAAGAATTACCATATTTTTAATTTCAAAAGTTCATGCATCTTTATTGATTGAAACCGAAATATAGAAACACCAATTGTTCGAGATAGGGGGGAAATTTGTGAAATGAACAAATCACTAAATCTCCATTGAATTAAACTTATCGGTATGAGTTCTTTTGAAGCATTGACTCTGATAAACGTACGCCATGCTGTTGAGTGGAACTCGAATACGAAGCGAAGGGTTGTGCGTTATAATATGGTAAAAATATTCATTCAGAGATCTATAAAACAGAAAATAATCGGGCAAAGAAAATTCTTTTCGATAAATTCCTCCTCTTCTGGCTCTGCAATTATATACATACACTTTTATATAAATAGAATATTCTAGATTAGTTGTCAATTACAATATTAGTGTTTTTTTTAAATAATATCGACTTGTAAAGTATGATCACAATGGAATTACCACAGTTCATTAAAGATGCTTAAATTATAACAGTAATAATAATAATAAAGATATAATAGCGAATAAAATATCAACTAAAATTAGGGACATTCCACAAAAATTGAGGATAATTCAAACCTAGATGGCCAAGATAATGATAATGTCTGAACTAACTAACTAACTAACTTCTTTTGGATGCACAAATTAGGCTTGTTAATATGGATCCCAACGACCAGCCAGCCAGCCTCAGGAATATTTACTAGTCGAGCTCTTAAGGCGAATATAATTAAGATTAGTTGGTTGGTGTGAGGTAGGTAAATGACTCTGAAAGCCGCCTTGTGAACATGTATCAATCTTGTGTTCTGTATCCACAAGATGAGTGGGATAGATAGAATAGTGCTGAGAATAGATTTTATTTGTCCTTTACTTAACCACCACTGTGTAGGGTGATGTTCGGAAACTCGACGAGAAACACGCCTAATTGTACGGACTATGCAGTCAAGTAACTGGCTGACTCCACAGGAGCAGTTCAACTGGTAGATACACACACATGGAAGAGGAGGCGAAATGAGGCAGTTTGTCTTTTACTCCCGAACGAATGCAAAAGATGAGCGGTTTAAAAGACGCAGCTATTTGCTACTATATCTTTGTTATTATTATTATTATAATTCAAGCACCTTCAATGAACTGTGGTAATTCCATTGTGATCTTACTTACCAAATCGATATTATTTGAAAAACACACTAATATTGTTATTGACTACTACTAATCTAGAGTATTCTATGTATATAAACATGAATATATAGATATAGTTGTAGAGCGAGAAGCGGAGGATGAATTCATCGAAAAGGGGATATTCTTTGCTGGTTCAATTATCTTGTATTTTATAATACGGTGACATGAAGAAGTGAAAGCTTTTGGATACTCGTGGAGCAGGTCAGCTGAAAGTAATGCCGATTAAGTGAATGGAGTGCAGAGATTTCTGTGAAGCTCTTCGTTGCACCTCAAACACAAGGAATTAATCCATTATAATAGAGGTTTTTTGTATTTCCCAATGAATGAAAAAACAAAACGAGATTGTTTTTACTGACGTTTCGCTATTTAATGCTAATAGCTTCCTCAAAGTATTATTAAACCGGAATTTACAAAATCCACTCAGCATATATATAACAAAGAGTTAGGGGGTGAGAAAAAGATACATAGACTTAGTTCAACTTAAAAGGACATATTGAAAGTTAAAATAACAATGAAGATCGTTCAAACCAAATATCAAAGGTAATAGTATATCTGTTATTATATCAAAATAAAGTTTACTAACTTGATCATCGTTCGTTAGTCTGGGGTCGTTTTTTGTTGTCAAGTTGGCGAATGGGTAAAGATAACAAAATCAGGTGTAGATTGTTGGATTTTGTCAGTGTGTAGAATTATGAAAGTAGTGTGTGTTTACATAGTGAATTTGCTCATCACATTTGCGTTGATTTTGCTACTTCAAAATTGATTTTGACAATATTGAAATAATCCAGAAAAAGCATTTCAGAAATCACAAAGAACGTCTCATATCATCAGAAGCACTTCATATCATCAAGTGGGATCCAAATTGTCTGAAATGAATAGGAATGATGGACTAAAACAGAATCTGACCTGGTTACAACAACCCCCTCCCCTATGAAGTAGCAAAATCAACACAAATGTGATAAGCAAGTTCAATATGTAAACACACACTACTTTCATAATTCTACACACTGACAAAATCCAACAATCTACACTTGGTTTTGTTATCTTCACCAATTCGCCAACTCGACAACAAAAAACGACCCAGACTGACGAACCATAATAAAGTATTTCACAATCTACACTTATTCTTCTTTATAATTAAGGTTTTTGTATTTCCCAATGAATGAAAAAACAATATCGTTTTGTTTTTCATTCATTGGGAAATACAAAAACCTTTATTATTATGAATATCATATACCCAATGCCCAAATTTTTTCAAACCGTTAAAAGTGAACTTGGACATATACAAGGAATTAATGATAATGATGATAATAATAGTAACGCCAATCAAAGTATACCCTGACGGACAACACTAACCAGCCACATCTTTCTCTCTCTCTCTCTCTCCCTATCTACTTATTGCCCCACTAATTTCAGATATCGACGTCAAACACACGTCACACCGAAATCCTATTTATCATTTCTACAAAGTTACAAATCAGTTTATACACAACAACATGGGCATTTTGCAAATCTAGCTCAACGTATGGATGGTGGCCTGCAAAAGTTGGTTGAAGCTCAAGACAATGTCGCCCAACTGAGTAAAGAGTTGGCTGTTAAAGAAAAGGATCTTGAAGTGGCGAATAAAGAAGCTGAAGAAGTACTTCTCACAGTGAGTAACTATTTTTCTTTTAGCCCGAAAACTCTTCTTCTTCTTTTCATCTCTCTCTTCTTTCTCTGGATGAAATCGAATCATCAGTGAAGTCTTCATGTGGACAACCTTTCTTACAGTCTTATTGATATAAGTATAAAACCTACCCACTGTGGTGTGGTAGAGTATAACTACTCCATTATGGATAAGATTTGATTTTGATAAACTGTCACACAGTGCAGTGTAGTGTTTGTTATACAGTAAGTAATATTAACTGATGTGACCACACGCCATTTCGAGCACAATTTATTATTATTCCCATTCATAATCATCATATCAAGTCACTCACTCACTCAAACAACTTTCTTGTTTCCTTCATTTATATACATGAGTGGAATTCATGATTAGACATTTGAATACAAATCAGTAATATAGGATAATGTACATTCAGAAATAATAATCATAATAATATGAGTGTTATGAGTGATCAATTACAATCAGATGGGAAATGAGACGAGTATTTTATTTTATTTCTTATAGTCATAATAAGTAACTTGTTAGAATATTGTGATGTGCTTGAATTGAATTGAAATCGCATACAATTAAAAATTATTTTTTAAAAACTTCATGCAATTCTTCCCATTAATAAACTTGAATAAAGCAAGAACAACAATTGTACCAGGATAATATGAGTTCATCTTTTATTATTATTTCGAGGATTCTTCTCAACTGGTTACAACTTTTCCACGATCACAAGGAGTAGTAATTGGTTGGTAGGAAGTAAAAGTAACATTAGTCCGGAATGTTTAAGCTGATTAGGAATTACAAACACTGACTATTTATAGAATAATTAGACAATTAGGTTTGGAAACAAAAAACGGTTGCGTATATATATGTGTGTATATAGAAACAAGGTTAAGCTACTTGATCTTGTATGTGTTTATCAAGCAACTAGCTGTTTGATACAATCAAAAGTGGGCAAATACCCACCTCATGTTACCTCCAACGTGTGTCTACCAATTTACAAGTTGTGCATGCCAAAGCACATACATTGGAAGAACAGAGAGAGAAGGGTTATTGTCCACATCTCTGAACACATACACCAAAAAGAACCTGAGACTGAAAGGTCCACAAGCATTAAACAGTGCGATTGCGCGACTGTTATCTATTGGACACTGGTCATATTGTAGAAGTCAACCTGAAGTCGTTCAAAATAATCAACAAGCAAAAGAAACCTAGCTTGCTACACTTTGCTAAAACAATTGCTATCAAACGACTTAAACTAAATCCATGTAGGCAGAAAGAGACAATGGTGAATCTAGAACTGCCCTGGTGATAACAAAAAATGTACAACTTTTATGAGTCATTCCTTTTCTATACTCTCTCATCTAAAAATGACTCACCCTACCTTTTTTTTGTCTTTCTTTTTTTCTATTGGCTATTAGATAAGACGTTTTCTTTAGTTATGAAATCTACTTTTTGTTATGCTCTTTCTAGCTAAACCTTGTTTCTATACACACACAAGTATACGCGACTCTGTTTTTCGTTACCAAGCCTAATTGTCTAATTATTCTATAAATAGTCAGTGTGTCAGTAACTCTTAATCAGTTAAATCATTTCGGAGTAATGTTACTTTTACTTCCTACCAACCAATGGAAAAAGTATGTTCAAAATCAATAATGTAATTCATATATATTTTTTATCGTTCAGGTTGTAACCCCAGTTGAGAAGAATCCTCGAAATAATAATAAAAGATGAGCTCATATTATCCTGGTGAAATTGTTGTTCTTGCTTTATTCAAGTTTATTAATGGGAAGAATTGAATGAAATTTTTAAATTTAATTATATTTAAGAACACAGTGTTCATCGAAGAGACTGCTTTCAACAACGAATTTATTATCAAGCTGTACGGTCGTATATATGTGGTATCTCTAAGAAATTATATCCGGTGACGAAGGGAATTAGATCGAAGATGTGAATACAGGAAATAATAATAGAAGTATGAAATGCAATTAAAATATTCGTGATTATAATCATAGTTTAATGTCAAGTGGCACAATAATTAATGTCATATATAGAATAATGCATAAGGTGTGTATAGATTTTGGAAAGGGGTACATAATTATAAGATTAGTAGACTAATATAAAGTCTGTAACGAAGAAAACCAGGGAAGTTAGTATGAATTGTATATATGATCTTGAAATCATCGTCAGGGTTGACCGAGTGACAGAAGTCGATCAGGTATTCCAGAATAGAGCACTTCGCACACATTTCCTTTCTCCCTTGTAAAACCAAGCTGGAATATGTTCTCGTATCCTTGTGGAGAGCGTTCTCTGACTACGGTCAATGTACCTTGCTCCACAAGAGCAGGTGAACTGGTAGATGCACATGTAGGCGGTCAGACAGAGGAGCTTATGTTTTACACAGAGGTAGAGAACAATTTGCTGCTGGTGAACGTCATATGTAATTTAGCTGCAGGGAACGTCTTACTGACTAATTTAGAGAGACGATTTTTGAGCATATCTGAAGCTTGATCACCTTTGAATTTCAAGTTCATGAATAAAGTTTTCTTTGGGACTGAGTCGGTGACCAGTTTATACTGCTTATCTTTCATGTTGCTGTCAATAAATCAGTTAGGGTAACCGTTGTCAGCGAGTGTGGCTTTTAAGGAGTCAAGTTCTGAGTCAGCGCAATCAGAACTACAAATTTTCCTTATCCTAAAACAGAGTGAATGAATTAGGCTCCTTTTCCTGGAAATAGGCACCCAACTGTAAAAATTAGTTAGTTGTCTGTTCCATTTACGTTTCCGGTGGATCGATCTTTTGAGAGATCCGTCATTACATCTGCTGAGGCACACATCAAGAAACGGAATACTTAGTTTGGATTCCTTTTCTATCGTGAAGGATGGTAGTTGTTGAAAGTAAACAAGACATCATCAAGAACTACGCTATTATCACAGATGACGAAAGTGTCGTCTACGTATCTTTTTATAAATGTCAAAATGACCGATGGTTTGACTAAGTTTAGAATTTTCCAGCTTTGCCATAAAACAATCAGCCAACAGGGGACCCAGTGGTGACCCCATGGCAATGCCATCTCTCTGTCTATAGATCTCAGTGTTGAAGGTGAACTGAACATTCAACGTACATCTCAATAAAAGTTCTTTGAGGTAGATTGTTGGCGAATCTATTTCTCAACTATGTGTATCAGTATAATCACATAAATAGCAAACAGTTTCCATGAGAGGAACATTGGTAAATAGCGACGTGATATCTAATGAGAATAGGACTTTTTCTGAGACATTAAAATCTTTAATACTATCAATAAATTTAAACGTATCATCAATGGAAAACTTAGACGCTTGCCTTCTGACTGGTTCCAGTATTTCAGCTAGCCATTGAGCGATTCCGTGATAAGGAGAACCCGCCATATCAAGGATTGGACGGAGGGGTAATCCTGTCTTATGAATTTCCGGCAGTCCATACACACGTTGTATAATGGAGCCTACTGGTCGGATGCTTTCATATATTTCTGACGAGATGACTGACTTATTCCTCATGTTCTTTAAGACATCAGTCAGTTGATTTTCAATTAGATGTGTCTTGTTCTTTTCACCATCAAGTTTGGCAAATTTCGTTTGGTCAGAAAGGATTGCTGAGATTTTATCATTATAATCTTGGCGATTCATAAGATTGAGCAGCGAACAAATATTTACTTTTCAATGAGATCCTCATCTCACTCTGGTTCTACTCTACTCTAATATACACGTATACAGCATTTTTACTACAATACACAACAACAATTTACCAATCAGGTAGTGGCACTGATATGTTTGTTTGTTAACAATAATTAGTCAGTCAGTGTCAACATGTCAAGCAGTGGGGTCATAATTAACGAAGGAAATCAATACACCTTCATAAGGTAGAAATGGTTAGAATAAATTAATTTTACAAGGATAACACGTGATTATTAAAGATGAAGTGGTCAAAATAAATAAAATTAAAATATTCAAGTGATGGTTTGTAGAGATTTAATTTGTTTCAGGATTTCATCATGAGCTGACATTAGTTACAGAACCATTGGAAAACCTGGGAGTACTGGACAGCTGTTTCGTCCTAGTTTGGGACTCTTCAGCGATACGCACCCACCGGGATTCGAACCCAGGACCTTCTGGTTACAAGACGAGTTCGTATACGATTAAGCCACTGGGACCATTGGATCGGGTCCCAGTGGCTTAATGGTATACGAGCTGTCCGGTACTCCTTGCAGGTTTTCCAATGGTTCTCTAACTAATGCCAGCTCATGATGAAATCCTGAAAATTAAAATAATTTGGACAATTATAACTATTAGCTATCAGCATTAAATAGCGAAACGTCAGTAAAAACAATCTCGTTTTGTTTTTCATTTATTGGGCGATACAAAAAACTTTATTATGATGAATTATAACTTAGATTTGAACAAAGAAAGAAGAAACATTGGCGCAGAATAATCTGGATCCATTTTATTTAGTCTGTTCTCATCAGCTGCGCACGACGTAAATTCTTTAATAAAATTAAAAAGTGTACAAATTTAACAAACTTTTGTCCACAGCGTATTGCGATTTCCAAGGTGTCTAAAGTGTTACGACATATATATATATATATATATATATATCTTGTTAGAGAGAAGTTTCTTGAAGAAAAAATTAATTAACAGTTGTGTTGTTGGGGTGGTAACAAAATACAATTAGTAATAGTTACGTAATTAGACAAGATAAGATCAAAATTTCGGTGCTCATTAGGTCAAATGAGAATTTGATAATATAATACAGTGAGCAGAACTCAGAAGATCAAGAAAAATTATCCCTTAAGAGAGTCAAGCGAAAAATAAAACGAGGGGTGGGGAGTGAAAAGATAAGTTAACAAAATTAGAAAACAAAGAGAATTACTAAGAAATGATTCACCAAGGTAATTGATGTGCAACAACGGATTTCTTTTGGACACATGAGTTAGACTTCAATCGTTTTATTGCTATAGCTTCAGAAAAACTGAGAAGACTTGAGGTACTTTGTCTGTTAGTTATTTTGAATGATTCCAGCCCATCTATTCAGTGTCCTGTGTCAATCAGGTGTTTGGCGGCGATTGAAGGGCTTAAACAATTCGGTCCCTTTAACCGAAGGCTCACTCCTTGGTACATGTTCGCAGAATCTGACATAGGCCTTCCTCTCTGTTCTTCCAATGTAACTGCTCCCGCAGATACATGTGAATTGGTATACATAATTTTATGATTTTTATAGTTTTAAAGGTTTAGGGGAAGGGGGGTGAAGTAGTCCGGCTTGGTTTATACATTCATGTAATGATGATGGCCAAAGTGAGGAAATCGGCTGTACAAATTTCTTCTGAACACACACACACAGGTTTGGCTTCTTCTTTAGGTGGATTCCTATTGCTTCAGCTGTCGTATGTGGAAGACGAAATGGTAGAGCAAAATTAAGGTTAGTAGGAATGCGATAAATAATTTTAAATGCAGTATTAACGTCCACCTTTTGCTCACTATCTACAAGGTGTGCCAAAATAGAGCTGCTACGAATGGATCTTGTTTTTTTTCTATATTGGAACCATAAATTTATCGTTTTTCTTTCATTCCCTTAATTTTTTTAGGTTACCATTCAACAAAACGCTGCAACTGAAGTGCGAAATAAAGTCCAGCTTGTTAAAGATAAAGCACAAGCCATTGTTGACGATATAGACCGAGAGAAGATTTTAGCCGCAGCGAAATTAGAAGCGGCAAAACCCGCCCTCCAAGAAGCTGAAGACGCCCTGAACACCATAAAACCAGGTGATATAGCAACTGTGCGTAGATTAGGCAAACCACCACACCTCATCATGCGCATCATGGATTGTGTCCTCCTATTGTTTCAACGTCATTTAGAAATTTATCAACCTGATCCAGAACGTGCATGTCCAAAGCCAAATTGGAGTGAATCGCTGAAGTTAATGACAAACACAAGTTTTTTAGCTATGCTAATGTCTTTCCCCAAGGATACAATTAATGAAGAGACCGTGGAACTGTTGGAGCCATATTTAAATATGGACGATTATACGCTAGAGGTCGGGAAAAAGGTATGCGGTAATGTCGCTGGCTTGCTCTCCTGGACGAAAGCGATGGTTTACTTCTATGCTATTAATAAGGATGTTTTACCGATGAAAGATAACCTGGTGAAACAAGAAGCTCGGCTGGCTAAAGCTATGAATGATTTAAATGTAAGTTGAAAAAAAGTGCTTTTTTATTTACTATTTATACAAGTTATACTTTTATAACAACAGAAGACAAGGGCCAGCCAGGTAACAGGTCGTTCATTTACGAAATCGACAAAATTCTACAATAGCGTCCCAAGGGATGCGAACGCACAAGTGACCTTCACCCGACCAATCAGAAAATTGGAGGATTTTTGCATAAAAGTTTACGTATATTTACACAAAAAAAGCATGGAAAAAAAACATTATACAGGATATTTTTGTCTAATATGGGATAAAAAGATTTCCCAATTGTATTGAGTAGTTTCAGTATTTAAATTAAACCGATTTCTATACATATATTCATCCAGATGATTAAAAATAACTTGGTTTTGAGAGCCGTTTATAGCTCTGATTGTATTTCTTAGTCTTCCCCAGAAACCTCCGATTGAATTAGTATGAGTACACTGGTTCTGGGATCGACGAAGTCGATTATATCCTGCCCATTCATCCGTATGAATGGTAGTGCCTGGCAAAACCAGCCTTTAAATAATAGAGAGGAGTGTATCAGCACTCCTATCTGGAATAAGTTCAATAAATCCTTACCGAATCTGGGTGTCGTAAATTCCCAGAACCCAAACGTTATTTGTCCTAGCACGTATTCGATTGTACTTCTTCTTTGTAAGCACTGTTTCGTCGGTATGAACAACAAAACTGATTCCTCCCAACACTTGTGTAATAGAGTTCATTTTCCATGACGCCAAATCTCGAAAAAATTGGAACCATTGCACAGTAGATGTTAACGTATTATCTGTCTGAGCGGCAGTTGATTTCATCCCGGTCTGTAAAATCCAGTAATGGCACAGAAACAGGATATTGATCAACGAAAGTTTCGATTTTTCAAAGAAAGTTCCTAAAAGACAATTAACTGAAATTTTCACTTGCCAGTACAAACACTAGTTCGCTTCCTACACTGTGTACATCTAAATATCTATCTATCATTGACCTGGGAATACGGCTGCAGGATCATAGAAGCACCCCAACTACATATCCGAGTACATCCTATTAATCCATTATCTAGGCAGTATTGAAATACGTGATCTGGGTGAAATTTGCATCTGAACAGATGAACAGGGGTCATTTTCGCGTTAGAATAATGGTAAGTTTCCTCAACCGACCAACGACTAGCAAGCGTTCAAGGTTATTTGAGCGTTCGCACTCCTGGGACGCTATTCTTGAACTTCGCCACGAAATCAACACATATTTATAGATTTTCATGTACATTATTATAGATTATTGTGAGCAAACAAACACAGTCCTCTGATTGGTGGTTGTTTCTCACTGAACCTAAGTTAACCTTTCATCTCTTTGTAGCTGTTTCTTGAATGTCAGATCATTTATATGTTAACTGTACCCGCCTACGCAAAGCCTTTCTTCTCATTTTTCTTACGACTGATACTACAGACGTAAACAGTGACGTAAATTACTGCCTAGCAATTTCGGCTAGCGGCCAGCTCTCACCACACTCGCTCCTCCGTCAAAAACTTCCGGCTGAAGTTGGTTCAGTCTTCTTGGTTCTAGGGGTTTTGTTCGTTTGTCTAGCTGTCTGGAATCTCGACGCTCGCTGATGTTCACCTCTCTCTCTCTTTGTTTACCATTGTGATTGTGTCTGCATAACCCCATCATCTCAAAAGTGACCATATGTGGTCCTTCCCACTTACTCTGGAAACTGTTTTCCTGACCGCGTCGAACATTCATCGGTATTCCGCCTCATGCTTTCGTATGCTACTTTCTCCCAACCTACCAGAAGCGTCCCATGTAGCAGCCTCATCACCGACAGATCTTGGACTCCACTCAACTTCGCCGAAGCCACGAAGTCCTTCCCGATGATCCATATGTCTCCATCAAAAACTTCAGGGCTTCTGCATAGGTTCTCCATTTGTCGGTAGGCAGTGACACCAAATGTAACAATAGAAGGCAAGAGTCAGGCAACAGATCGTTTATTAAGGAAATCAACATGTATTTATAGATTTTCATGTACATTATTATTATTAGCGTTATTCTTAGCAGAAAAACACAGTCCTCTGATTGATGGTTGTTTCTCACTGAAAGTTAACCTTTCATCTCTTTGTGGCTGTTTCTTGAATGTCGGATCATTTATATGTTAACTGTATCCACCTACGCAAAGCATTTCTTCTCATTTTGCTCATGACCAATATTGGGGACATAAACATTGACGTAAATTACTATCCACCAATGTTGACTAACAGCCAGCTGTCACCACACTTTCACCGTATTTTTCTCGGAACAGGGTGTATTCAATGGCAAAGAAAGGAGTCACTTTCTGAGTGCTTATAGAAGGACATATAGTCTAGCAGCTGTCTTGCGAACGATGTCTTCAGCAGATATATATATATATATATATATATATCACCGAAAATACCAATTCAGTCATGAAGAAAATAGACAATTCGTCAGCGAAGAAAATGCTTCTTTCTCTATCGATGAAATCATCTCCACAGGCTGGCTTGGCTATACAGTCGTATTTATACTCACCAAAAATATATAGTGGTCTATGATTAAGTAATAGCGGTGGGGGTGACATAATTGATAGAATCACTCAGAAGTGGCTTTAGAAGTAAAAAACGACAAAAGTTGTAAATTACGTGGTACTCAACGGAACAAACATCGAAATTGGATAAGGTTAAGATTGTTATTGAGTGAGAACAAAGGTGGCAGTTAAGTGTCAATTTAACAAGTGTGAAGAGGGAACATATGAGAGTGATAATAGTGAACTAATTATTAAAGCAAAAGCAAACTAAAAGGAAAATTAAAAAAGGAAAAGAAAAAATCAAAGTGTTTTTACAGTGGACGACTAGTGAAGAGGTTAAGACCAAGGCAAAATAAGAGACTGGACAAACGTTTTCTGTATAGAGAGTTCGGCGTTGGACTGACGGTTTGCCAGCGCCTCCGCCATACACAAAAGCCGAAACCTGACGCCCTTTGTACTATTTGGCCTCACCTTGTAGATGATCTTGAAAGACGACTCTGGTAGAGCTACGTGGCCTAAGTTCAACAAATGCTCGAGAATTGAGCTAGTAAGTGTCTCGCATTGTCCCTTTGCTAACCATGCGTTTGGAAAGTGTTCGCCAAGTTGTCCGGGCTGTCAATATAACTAGCTCTACAGGAGCAAGTGAATTTATAAACACACATTGAGGTGGCCCAAAGCGGCAGTTTATCTTTCACATATCCACTGATCATTTGTCGGCTGTAGAAATTGATACGTAGCTCAGCCACAAAGAAGGCTTTCCTCAGTGATCTGCATAAGCAGTTCACCAAATGCTCGAGAATCATCCAGCATGGTTAGCAAAGGGACAAGGCAAGATAATTACTAGCTCAATTCCCGAACGCTTGGTGAATTCAGGCCACGCAGCTCCAACGGAGTCATCTAGGAGGTGAGGCCAAATGCTACAAAGGGCGTCAGGTTTCGGCTTTTGTGTATGGCAGAGGTACTGGTCATTCTTTAACACAACCCCGAACTTTTTATACAGAAAAGGTTGGTCCAGTCTCTTATTCTACCATAGTGTTAATCTCTTCACTAGTCGTTGCCTGTAAAAATTTAATTTTTTTCAATCTCCAATTGTACTTTTAGTTTGCTTTTGCTTTCATAATTAATTCACTACTATCACTCGCAAATCTTCCTTGTTGTACATTTTCACACCCTCTTCACACTTGTGAAATTGACACTCAACTACCACCTTTATTCTCACTCACTCAATAGCAATTTTAACCTTATCAAATTAGTGATAATAATAATAATAGTGTCTAAGTTAAACTTTAAGCACAACTCACTACCAATGGTATGCGACTGCGCACCAATGACCTTGAAACGCTCGCTAAGCAAGTTGGTGAAATCCAGCAAATAATATTGCCATCACCAATTACATATCCTCATCGAAGTTTTCCGTCATTTAAATGGGATATCTAGCAAGTTACAGCTTAGGTTTGGGAGTGATTAAGTTACGCTTTAAGCCATCGACAAGTTTAGAGACAGGTTAACTTAACAAAGGTGACATTAGGATTGGTTCGAGTTAGATTACAATTAGGATTAGGGATATTTTCATGTCAAGATCAGGTTCATAATCAACTTGATGTGATGATTATGAGTGGCAATGATAATCAATTGTGCTCGAAATGGCGTGTGGTCGCATCAGTTAATATTACTGTATTACAGTACACTATGTGACAGTTTATCAAAATAAAATCTTATCCATAATGGTGGAGCGTATTTCACTTTTTTTATTTCAGTAAAATATCTAGCAGTGTGTTTGTGTGTGTGCTGGTTAATTGCTTATTCGTGTGGTTCACACGTTTTTTCTTCTAGGATGCTCAAGCCATACTTGACGAGAAAGAAAGTGAATTGGCTAAAGTTCAAGCAGTGTATGAAGAAGCATTACGCAAAAAGAATGCCTTACTTGAAGACGCTGAATTATGTCGACGTAAAATGAATACAGCTTCAAAGCTTATCGGAAGTTTGGGAGATGAACAGACTCGGTGGACAGAAGAAAGTCAAGCGTTCAAGGAGCATATTGAATGGTTAGTTTAATCTTCTTTGTGTATATGTAAACCTTGGACACTGTGGTGGTTGTAAGCAATTCCATATTAGTTTGTTTATTAGATGTATCACACAGTCAGTCAGTGAAATAGTAATAGTATTACTTACTGGATGACAAAGTTTCGAACAAAATTCATTATTGCTGTTCATAATCATTTCATCAATTGTCAATAATCACACGACTTCGAAACTTGAGTTTTATAGTTTTCTTCGTCTTCTCCTATTTGTCGTCGTAGGCGTGTTAGTAGAATTTTCCAGATATCTGGCTGGACAGGTGTTGAATCATTCCTATTACGCATATTCACCATCTCAGTTGATTCGATGAACAAAGCTTCTGTTGTTATCAATCTCTCCCTCCCTAAACCTCGTAACATTAGATTTTGAAACTGTCATCTTATCCCATCCAGCCTATTGTATGGTTGTGTGTAATTGCATGAAGTGAGTGGTATAGCTGAACTATTCTCTAGATTTCTTATCTTATTCGGGTCAATCAATCTAGCGTGAGTTCATTCTTGAAATAATCACCAGCTTATGAAAACCAATTAACATACATTTAGTTAACTGTCACTTACTATAGTACCTTATCACCGTTACAGAAAACTTGTAGATTTCTGTATAATTTGTTGTTTCAACAGCTGTATGACAATGCTACATCCCAAATGATCCCAAACGGAAAACTCAATGAAGTGAAGACAGTAATAAGACAACACTGCCTGCCTACTATTATTATTTCCTTTAATTCCTAGAGGAACATAGGACTTCCGCTACACGTCTCCATTGCGTCCGGTTCTCTGCTAAAGTTTTCACCTGGCTCCAAGTCTGCCCTCATGCTTTCGTCTCCCCCCCCTTGACATGACATCCTCCAAGTCACCCTCACGCTGACGACCAACTCGCCGCTTCCCTTTCGGGTCCCACTCGAGCAGTGGCTTGTCTAGTGATGTCACTTGATGGTTTGTTTTCTTAGAGTATGGCCAATCCACTTCCATTTCTTCGTGGATACATTTGTTTTGCCCAGTCGGTTCATGCTGTGTTGGTTCACTCATTGCCAGAGATCCCACCCTTTTGCTGATCTTTTCTGGCCGGCCGGCCATCCGATCTTGAGTATTGAGCGAAGACAGCTAGCTGTTAATGAAGGTCTGTAGTTTGTTTGAGGTGCTTTTCATGACGCGCTAGCCAAGTCTCCAATCACATTGGAGTTGAAAATCCGGATCTTATTTTCATTTTCATGCTGAGTGATGTCTGTTGATTTTGATGTGGTTTTGTTCTCTGAGCTGGATGGTTAGTTTGCGAAGCTTTCATCACCTTACTGGGTGACATCTTCAGCGCATACTTCAATTTGAAGTGAGCTTTTAGATTTCTCCACGAGTTTATTAATCATCCCTCCTGGTGACCTTGGACGTGATTGGTTGTTTATGTGTGTGTTCACACCTTCTAGGTTACTTGTATTGGAACTGATTGTTTCTTCGACTTGAACTTTGACCCTTTGTGTGTGAAGTTTTTTTCTTATTGGTTGATAAATTTTGTCTATCTCGATGTGTCTATTGATTGATGATTCACTGGAATGCCAAGCTTCTAAAAATTCTCTAGCATTCTTGTTATTTCCTTTGTCTAATATTTGAACGTTGTCCCAGTCGAATTGATGTCCGTGGTTGTCTGTGTGTAGTGAAATGAGGGAGTGGATATCATGTCTTTTGACGGCTAGCTTATGTTCGTGGATACGAAGACGAAGGGGACGTCCACTTTGGCCGATGTAGTGTTTTTCGCAGTTGTTACAGTTTATTTTGTAGATGATGTTGGTTTTATCTTCTTTCGCTGTTGAGTCTTTTGGTTGACATAGAATTGAGTGAAGCGACTTTGTTGGTTTGTGTACGACGTCAATTCCTAAAGGTTTGAAGAGTCTTGTAGTGATTTCTGAGATATCCTTTATATATGGTAAGGCGATTTTCTTTGTGCTTTCCTTGGTGGCTTTTGCTTTGGTAGGTTGGCTTGGGGGTATATGTCTCTTGATGAAATTCCGTGGATATCCATTCTTTTGGAAGACGTCCATGAGATACTTTTCTTCAATTTTTCTTAAGGTGGGAGTGCTGCAGTGAGTCCTTGCTCTCTTGAATAGTGTTTGTATGCAATTCCTTTTGTGTGTTATTGGGTTGTTGCTGTTGTAATTCAGTATTTGGTCTGTGTGAGTTGATTTCCTATAAACTTGAGTTTCTAATTCTCCTGTAGTTGTTCGCCTGACTAAGACGTCCAAAAATGGTATTTTGTTCTCGGATTCCTCTTCTCTTGTGAATTTGATGTCGTTGAAGACGTTGTTTATTAAGTTGTGAGTTTTATCTAATTCGTTTCTTTTGATTATTACAAATGTGTCGTCGACGTAGCGTATCCAAATCTTGGGTTTGATCTTTGGTAGAATTATGTTTTCGAGTCTTTGCATCACTGCTTCTGCAATCAAACCTGATATTGGCGATCCCATGGGTGTTCCTTTGACTTGTTCATATATTTGGCCGTTGAATTGGAAGTATGTTGTTAGGCATAGATTTATGCATTCCATCCAGCTTGTGTGTTGCATTTTTGATTGTTGTGGAGTTGTTCGTCGTTGCTAAGTAATTGCTCCATGGTTTCTTTTGCTAGTTTTTGTCCGATAGAGGTATATAATGCTGTCACGTCGAAGGATACCATTATTTCTTGTTCATCTATTTGGATGCCTCTGATTTTCTCTAGGAATTGGATAGCAGAGTTGATGGAGTGATCACAGATTCCGTTAGGTGTTTTAGTTTTCTGTATAATTCTTTGGATAAATTATATGTTGGAGTTCCTGGGAGTGATACAATTGGTCGTAACGGGATATTTGCCTTGTGTATTTTGGGTCTGCCGTAGAATCGAGGTAGGACTGGTCCATTGGATTTCATTCGCCATTGGTCTTGTTTTGTGATCTGTCCAGTTTTGCTGAGCTTGTTTAAGGTCCTTTGGATGCGGTTGTCCAATGTTTGTATGGGATTTGTTGATATACATCTTCATCTTTGAGTAGTTCTTCAGCTTTCTTGGTGTATTCTTCTCTGTCCATGACTACTGTTGTTCTTCCTTTGTCGGCTGGTAAAATGACGATGTCCTTCCTATTTTTCAGCTTTTTGAGGGCCTTTAGTTCTTGAGAGTTGAGTTGTGTGTGTTGTCTTTTCTGTTTGACCATTGGTACAATTGTTTGGCGTATCTCTTCCTGTGTTTCCTCGTTCAAGTTTGATGATTTGAGTAATGATTCAAGGCAGCGAAGAAATCAGTTTTTGAAGCATCTCCGGTGTTGTAGTTTAATCCTTTTTGTAGTAGTTGTTGTTCCATTTTTGATGTCTGTTGACCTCCACACAGACTTGAAAGTAATGAAAGCTTGCCTTGCTTTCCCGATCCTCGCTGCCTTGTTATCCTCGTCAGTTCCGTCTGCCTGTAGTTTAAACGATGCTTCCCAGGTAGGTGGATGGTTAAAGGATGTTGTTTCTTTCGAGTTTCTCCCATTTATGCTGGCTGATTGTTGTCCGTGTTTGTTGTTGTTGCTGTGGGTGTTGGCCAGGAATCTTCATCACTTCTGTTTTCTCTATGTTTACCTGGAGTTCTATCTTCTCTGGATGCTTGTTCTGCCAACTTGTTGCTTTTCCTTTGCATATCTTCCAGTTTGTGGGAAATCAGACAAATATCATCATCGGCGAAGTCCAGATCTTCCAAGTTTTTTTATTTGTGCACTATGGTCTGTGCCTGCCTACTATCATTGATGATCTTCCTTATCGTGGCAGACTGGATCATACAAAGATACATTGGGCTGTGGGAAGTGTAAAGACAGGGGTTTTTGCTGTATCCCCGATAAGAAAACGCTAGATGATCTAGATTTCGCGGATGACCTATGTCTGCTTCCACACAAACTCGAAACCAACAAGTTGGTTGAAAAAAGTGGCGAGGACAAGTGAAGACTTCAAGTGAACAACATTTAGCAGGTGAAACTGATGCAATTAACCAGTCAACAATCACTATCAACAGAGAACAGATTTGAAAGAGGCCACTTTCTGCATCTTCACTCTAGGCGGAATCGTTTAAAGCTACCACTACAGGCGGTACTATTACAATACATAAACCAGGTTACCCCATAGGACCAATAGTAGATTTCAGGAATACTCGTACTTATGATTTATCAAAACACTTCGCTCTAATAATAGTATGTCCCATTAGAAATTGTTTAAACTCTAGACCAACTGACTAATTCAAATGAGATGAAAAGGGAACTAAATGATGTTCAACTAGAGAATGATGAAACAATGGTTGGTGTTGATATAACTGGTCTTTATACTAATAATATACCAACCAGTATGCCCGCCATAGAAGCAGTTAAAAAAAGAATTAACTTCAGATCCTGGACTCACTCATAGGACAAAGCTGCCCATTGAAGAAATTATTTTAGGAATTCAGTTATGTCTCACATCTACTATCTTTAAATTCCAAGGTAAAATATATAGACAAACTAAAGGTGTAGCAATGGGATCACCAATATCCCCTATCGTAGCAGATATCTTTATGGACAGCTGGGAAAATATGGCTCTTAATACGTTTAATCCTACTCCAAAAATATGGTGGAGATATGTAGATGAGACCTTCACACACAGTTTTAAAAAACAGAACATATCTCTCTCTAGCTTTTTGACCTATAAAAACTCACTAGTAGAGGGAATAAAATTCACATCTGAATCAGAGAATGAACAAGGAGAATTAACTGTGATGTTAGATTGTAAAATAAACCGAATAGAATAAGGAAAATTGCACACTAGTGTTTATAAAAAACCAACGCATTCTGCTAATAGATATTTAGACCTCCTTAATTCATCTCATCCGTTAACTGTCTGTGAAGGCAGGCTCAGTTAAGCGAAGTGTCTAACAAACCGAGCAGTAGCACTAAGTAGCACAAGTAAAGACCTAAATGATGAAATAAAACATATAGAAGAAGCGTTGGTATGAAATAACTAACTATCCTATAAAATTCATTATGCGTCGGTGGCATGGTGGTTAGGACTCTCGCCGACCATTCACATGGTCCGGGGTTCGAGCCCACGCCGACGCACACCTGATATCTATGGTCGGCCTGCAAAATTTGGGCTACCGATATCCATGCTGAAAATTCCATGCTTGTACCAAGAGTACAGTGTGGAATCAAGCTGTAAATCAAAAAAAAAGGCCAGAAGCAAAAGAATAATAATAATAAAAATAATTGTGAAACTAGTAATGATAACATATATTCTCTCTTATTTAATTCATCTACTTGCAACGTTTGAGTAGCTTGAAAATCCCCATTGAGTCATATGAAAAAGAGAAGACGTTCAGTGAAGAGACTCTTTTCGACGGTGAATTCATTCACATAGCTAGCTGTACAATAGCATTTATATATAATTATTTGTGTGTGTGTGTGTGTTTGTGTACATGAGGTTTGTCAAGTTTAGATAATTGATCAGGTAATACAAGAATGATCTAATATAGAAACAAGGGTAATTAGACAGCAAACTAAGTTGAAACATTTTCTAACTTACTAACTCAATCTTACTTTGATTGCTCTCTAATTAACCTTGTTTCTATATTAGATCATTCTTGTATCACCTGATTAATTATCTAAACTTGACAAACCTCATGTACACAAACACACACACACACAAATAATTATATATAAATGCAATTGTACAGCTAGCTATGTGAATGAATTCGCCATCGAAAAGAGTCTCTTCGCTGAACGTCTTCTCTTTTTTCATAAGTCATCTACTATTATACCATATAAGAAGTAGACATCCGAGATCCTACGTAGGATTCTAAATAAAGCAGGAATTAGAATGGCATTTCAACCTGCAAACTCACTCAGTTAGGGCAAGCTCTGTAGGTTAAAGGATCCTGTCGGTTGACCCAATTAAACAAAATTATGTAATTTACAAAATATCCTGCAATGACTGTGAGGTCAACTATAAAGGTCAAACTAGTAGATCAGGGGCAGTGAAATCTCCAGCGAGAACATAAGAATTTAGCTAAGGTATGAATGGTTGACCCAACCCGAGAAGATAAGTAATTTAGAAAAAAGCTCACCACTACATTCCACTGCATCCATGCATTAACACACAACCACGCAATAGCATGGTGGGAGAGGGTTAAAATTCTAAGAAGTAATCTGTGTAGATGGAGAGCGAGAGAAGTTGATTACTGCATCCTGTCTAGTTCATCGAGTCTACACCCGATAGGAATGACTCATCACTCATTCTGGAAATATGGAGAATACCACTACTACCAATCAAGTCAAGCGATGAAAATTGAGGGAATCATATAAACGAAGTTAGAAAGTTGGGTGTGAGTAGTGCCTTGATATGATTATGAGCAGTATTGAAAATTGTGCTAGAAACTTGGTCATCAGTAAACATTACTGTATAACACCACTGTGAGACATGATCAAAATAAATATTACCCATAATGGAATTATACTCTACCACCACAATGTACAAGTTTTATTCTTATATCAATTGTGAACATCAATCTCAGGAAGAATTAGTAATAACAGCAAAGCGAACCAACCAAGAATCCGTTCATCAACAAGCATCACGAAGAAAGTGGGACAGGTGACATCGCGCGCCATACGTTCGAGTGGAGCCCCAAGGGGAAACGAAAAGTTGGGCATCGGTTCGAAGGTTCGAGATGTGCTATTGAAGCCGTATGTTCCACTTGGAGCCACAGGGCATCAAAGAAATATCATCTAAGTTACATTCATTCTTTTATGGAACACTCATCAAATATGCGAAGGAGTGAGTGAAACAAAGACGATATATTAATTGGTGATTTTGGTATGCATTCATTTTAACCTCAAGGAAATGTAAATCTCCATAGATGACTAGTTTACATTAGTGTATATTTATTGAAATGAAGGTGTCGAATCAGGCCAACATGAACCATTCAGTCAACTGTTAGCCAGCTATGTGTAATGCGTAATCACAAAAATATTCTTTTAATAAATGTCAAAATCAAGCGGTTTATTTATTGAACAGTCTACTAATGGTTATTTTTTTAGCGCGATAGTATATACTACTGATTGGGTGGTAAGAGTAGCTACTAGGTGATACCTTAAAAACTAAGTATGAAATACGGTAACTGTGATGACGACTCTTATGGATGGCAAAAAAACATTTCGGTAGCCCAGTGATTTAATCGGGCCACCAGACATGTAGGTGGAACATACACGTCAAACAGAGGTTCTTCACCTTCAGTTGTGCAATTTGCAATCGACACATTCGATTTTAAATGCGGGTTTACTTGACTTTTTACCATTATTGTTTCCTTTAGTTCTTAGAGGAACGCACGTCTCCATTGCGTTCAGATCTCCACCAACGTTTTCACCTCGCTCCACGTCTGATCACATGCTTTCATCTCCTCTTGACACCACCTCCTTCTCTTTCATGTCACCCTCCACTGACCACCAAATAGATCACCACTTCCCCTTCGCCTTCCAATAGAGTGATGATCTGGCGTGTGATGTCACTACTCACTTGATGGTTTGTTTGTTTTCTCAGAGTATGGCTAATGCAATCCAATCCACCCCCATTTCTTCCTGCATATTTGCTGCACAATTGGTTCCTACTGAGTTGGGTTGGGTTGTTTCGTTGGTTCGTCGATCCGATTATTGCCAGAGATCCCTCCATGTTGGTGATGTTTTCTGGCCGGCTGGGCGGCCATCTGATCTTCAGCGAGTGAGGTATTGAGTGAAGACAGCTTTTGATGAAAGTCTGTAGTTTGTTTGAGGTACACTTCGTGAGGCGGCGCGGCGCCAAATCTCTGATCCGTATAGTAGTACTGACTGACTTCACATCAGAGTTGAAAATCCGGATCCTATTTTTCATGCTGAGTGCTGTTCATCTCCTCTACACAGACTTGAGAGAAATGAAAGACTGCATTTCTTACTCAGTCCTCGCCTTGATGACATCCTCGTCAGTTCCATCTGTAGTTTACTTAACTTATATAACTGTTATTATTTTTAACATTCGCAGTAGTTCGGCCTAAATTGTCACAATCTACGAAATTCACAGTTGTGTGTGTGTGTGTACAGAATTCATTTGAAAACATCCACCTTCCATTTTTAGACTCTATGTTGCCTTCTCCTCGTTTTTACTGGCTCATGTGTATTTTTTTTAATGTTAATTTTTTTTTTCCTGTCAAGCTCCATTTTCCCCATATCTATGTACATTTATTTCACAGTTTGGTCGGTGATGTCCTTATCGCCACTGGATTTCTGTCTTACTGTGGTCCATTTAACCAAGAATTTAGACAAATGCTTTACCAATCTTGGCAACGATTATTAAGGCAGTGTAAAATACCCGGGTCAACAATTGTCAACTTAATTTCTATGTTAACTCAACCGACTCAGGTTAGTCAGTATATATAACTGTAAACTTTCAGTTGGTTAAAAACAATTTTAGATCAATTTGAACGTTTATTTTATTGATTGATTCATTCATTAAAATCAATATTGATTTATAAGTCAATCTGAATGAAGAAAATTTTCTTTTCAATAATTTCTCCTATTCAGGTTCTTACAATTATAAAATATAATATTTGTTGTCGTTACAATAATGGCCAGTTATGCGGTGGATACATTTTCTCTTAACGTAGAATAACAGATTAGGTCATACGAGACATTCTAAGCGAGAACGGATATCCAGAGAAGTTCATTAAAGCCAACATAGGTTATAATAGTCGTAAACATGAACTGACAACTGTGGAGAAAAAGCCTTTGTTTTTACGTCTCCAATTCAAGGGAGATACTCCTGCGGAGATTCTATCCCAACGTTTAACCAGGGCGATCAAGAAAACTTTCTACTGTGCACGTCTGTGTCTAGCCTTCAGTAGATGTCCAATATTCACCCAGAAACTCAAAGATGTCTTACCTAACCTTAGCTGTTCTTCATGCATATACCATTTCAACTGTTCATGTGGTTCAAGTTATTTATATAGGGCGCACGATTAGGCAGGTTCATCTACGGGGCTGATAACATTTACCAGCTTAGTTCAGCATGGGTTGGGGTAGAGGGAATTAAGTGCATAAAAAGCTCGATCCTGTCCTACTTCGTCGAGACTACTGAACACCGCATCAATGTCAACACAGCTTTCAGGGTAATCTGCCGATACCGAATTCCGAAGTCGTTATCTCGTACAGTTAGCTTACGTCTCCTACACATAGCTGAAGCTGTTCCACTAAGTTCGACTAGAGCGGAAGTTTGTATTCAAAAAGAACACATCCAGACGCTGTCCCTACCGTGACAAAACTTGGATTGATGATTCTTCTTCTCACCAAGGGTGCTCCTTCCCCTTAACCCGCTTGGTTTTTCTAAATATTGCTTGACATTATTATTCGTCATAATTTTTAACCCTAATACAAACATTCTCTCAATGCTGTCGAATTTTCCATTTATACTATCCGGACTTATTATTAGTAGTAGTGATATTATCACTTTTCTCAATATATGCCTCCACCTGTTTCTTCATTTCACACATTCTTCATTTCATTATGAGCCACCTCTCATTGCAGTCATAGTATCTCCTGTTTAATACATGCCACTTTGTACTACCCAGTAACCCACTCACCTGACACCTTTTATAACACTGAACTGACTTACTTGTCAATTTTCCTACCTCACACTCCACAGATCTGTTATGACTAATCACCGCCACCACCACCACTGTCTCCCATTTCACCGAAATATTTTGTAATCGATTTCAGCGCAGAGAACTTTTGTCACATTCAAATACGACTGCGCATTTTGATACCCCATAACTGCTAATCTGTTGTTATTCTACGTTAAAAATAAATGTATCCGCGGCAGAACTAACTGGTCATTATTATTGTAATGACAACAAATATTATTACAACTGCGAAAAACACTACATCGGCCAAAGTGGACGTCCCCTTCGTCTTCGTATCCACGAACATAAGCTAGCCGTCAAAAGACATGATATACACTCCCTCATTTCACTGCACACAGACAACTACGGACATCGATTCGACTGGGACAACGTTCAAATATTAGACAAAGGAAATAACAAGAATGCTAGAGAATTTTTAGAAGCTTGGCATTCCAGTGGATCATCAATCAATAGACACATCGAGATAGGCTAAATTTATCAACCAATAAGAAAGAAACTTCACACACAAAGGGTCAAAATTCAAGTCAAAGAAACGGTCAGTTCCAATACAAGTAACCTAGAAGATGTGAAAACACACATAAACAACCAATCACGTCGAAGGTCACCGACCAGGAGAGATGATTAATAAACTCGTGGAGAAATCTAAAAGCTCACTTCAAATTGAAGTATGCGCTGAAGATGTCACCCAGTAGGGTGATGAAAGCTTCGCAAACTAACCATCCAGCTCAGAGAACAAAACCACATCAAAATCATCCACCTGAGCTACAAATCTTCTCTATAATATCTAAATATTATACTATATTTTATATTTAAAAGAACCTGAATAGGAGAAATTATTGAAAAGAATATTCTTCTTCGTTCAGATTGACTTTTAATTCATTCGATATGGGAATATTTCACACAATATTGATTTGTATGTGTGTGTTTGTTGTGTCGCCTCACTTAAATCTGTCTTAACGTTTCAACAGATATACCCATATCCGATCATCGTCATCATCGTTTTTATTCATTCGTACTGAAAATTGACTGATGCTAATTAACACCTATAACCTTTGAGACTTCATGCCTATTGTGATTCTGGGTTTAGTTACCGTTATCGCTGGTGTGCTGTGGGCACTGATTTGTTTGAGCCGGTTTAGGCACATTTTCGTATGTACTTTAATTTCCGATCATCTATATCACACTTGTGCATTGAACTTTAAAAGTCAATCTGAACGAGGCACATTCCCCTCAATAATTTCTCCTATTCAGGTTTTTACAATTATAAAATGTATTATAATATAATATGATATTTATTGTCGTTACAATAATAATGACCAGTTAGTTCTGCCGCGGATACATTTATTTTTAACGTAGAATAACAACAGATTAGCAGTTATGGGGTATCAAAATGCGCAGTCGTATTTGAATGTGACAAAAGTTCTCTGCGCTGAAATCGATTACAAAATATTTCGGTGAAATGGGAGACAGTGGTGGTGGTGGCGGTGATTAGTCATAACAGATCTGTGGAGTGTGAGGTAGGAAAATTGACAAGTAAGTCAGTTCAGTGTTATAAAAGGTGTCAGGTGAGTGGGTTACTGGGTAGTACAAAGTGGCATGTATTAAACAGGAGATACTATGACTGCAATGAGAGGTGGCTCATAATGAAATGAAGAATGTGTGAAATGAAGAAACAGGTGGAGGCATATATTGAGAAAAGTGATAATATCACTACTACTAATAATAAGTCCGGATAGTATAAATGGAAAATTCGACAGCATTGAGAGAATGTTTGTATTAGGGTTAAAAATTATGACGAATAATAATGTCAAGTAATAATTTAAAAAACCAAGGGGGTCAAAAATTGAATTCAATAATTAATATGACCCTTTGTACAAAAGGTGGCTCTCGTGGCCCTAGTGGTCTAGTGGATAACTCTTTGGCGTTTGAAACTATGGGCACTGGGTTCGAGTCTCGGTGTGAACATCATGACTCACTGAGAAATGTAGGTACATCCAGTTGACGAATGCCAAATATGACGAAATGCGCATCCTGGATTCTACTGCTAGCCACCATCCACCAATTGTATGCGTACATATAATTGTGGATCCAGAGGAGGAGAAATTTATCGAGAAGAATATTCTTTGCTCGATTATTTTTTGTTTTATTTGTTTAAATGTTCGCAATCAAATCAAAGTGTACAGTTTCTCTAAACAGTATTAATAAATTATTTCTTTAAATAATAATAAGCAAAGAAATTTTTTCAGGTTTCTCTTAATAGGATGGAGGATTTCATCATGAGCTGACATCAGTTAGACAACTCCTGGGAAACCCGCAAGGAGTACTGGACAGCCAGATATTCTGTCAGCCTACTTTGGGACTCTTGAGAAGTACGTACCCAACACAACGTGTTCCAGCTCAGGACCACATTCTAGTGAGAAGGTAAGCAAGCTAGTAGACCATTGGCTACTGGGACCCGATCAAATGCCGAGCCAGCCTATGAATTCTAACTTCTGCCAATTCACTCATGATATAGCGTGACCATTTCGCAGTGTCTACTTCGATGAGTTACAACCTCATCTTCAACCTGATCCATTGGATCAAAGCTCGCTAGACTTCTAACCAGAAGGTCGTAGATTAGAACCGCGGTGGGTGCGTACTGCTGAGGAGTCCCAAACTAGGGGGACGAAACAGCTGTCCAGTACTCTCCTAGAAGGTTTTCCAGTGGTTTTCTAACTGATATCAGCTCATGATGAAATCCTCCAGCCAATGAGAATTATATATATATATATATTTACATGTAAAGCTCACAAATAATATACGTGGGATATATTGTACTTTGAATTCTTTGGTGCCCATCGACTACGATATTGTCATTGACTAGATTTACAGTCTCGATATTTTGCATTATATTTTTTTTTGTTTTGTATATTTGTTCTACAGCTTGGTGAATGGAAAATTCAAGGTTTACCCAGTGATGAATTATCCATACAAAATGGGATTATTGTCGATCAGGCTAGTCGTTACCCACTCCTGGTTGATCCACAAGGTCAAGGCAAAGCATGGATAAAAAATCGTGAAGAAAAATTCGATTTAATTATTACTACATTGGGAAATAAATATTTTAGACAAAATTTAGAAGATGCCTTATCCACTGGACGTCCACTGCTGATTGAAGATATTGGCGAAGACTTAGATCCAGCATTGGACAATATACTTGAGAAGAATTTCATAAAACAAGGTTCAATTCAAAAGGTTAGTTAGTGTGTAAGAAAATTGTTCTAGGATATATTCCAAATTTTCTTGGAATGAGATCTAATTATATATATATATATGATAGTAAACTGTCCCGAACAATGGAAACTTTTCAGCATTACGTATCCAGATGAAAGAGAGACGAAAGTGTCCAGTTACCAGGCAGGGCAAAGAAACACCGATAACCGCTTCTTTCTGGACGCACAAATCACGTTTCAGGCGCTTGATGCAAATGGCTTCAGAATTGAGCTCTTTTGCCTATTGATAATTTGGAATGACATTTCGACGTCCACTTCATGACCAAACTGTGTCAAGGAGATGCCTGGCGATGGATGGCACTGTTTCAAGCATTTGTTCCCAGATGCAGATATAAGCGTTTTGGTACACGTTCAGAAAATTGTAGATATGCCCTTCTTCATTCTGTTTATTCCAATGTAACTGCTCCCTCAGATACATGTAAATTTGTATATACAGTTGGAAATTCAATATTAGTTTGTTTATTAGATGTATCATACAGGCAAACAGTATTTTTTGCTCGATGACGTTTCGAACAAAATTTATTGTTGTTCAAAATCATTTCATCAATTATAATCACACGAATTCGAAACATGGATTTTATAGTTTTCTTTATTTTCTCCTATTTGTCGTCATCATTGAGGTGGTAGAATTTTCCAAATATCTCGGTGAACAGGTGTTAGTTGAATCATTCCTATTACATGTATTCCCTCGTTTCAGTTGATTCGATAAACAAAGCTACTATTGTTATCAATCTCTCCCTCTCTATACCCTGTGACATTATATTTCATAACTGTCATCCTATCCCATCCAGCCTATTATATGGTTGTGTGTGATTGCATGAAGTGAGTGGTATGGCTGAACTATGCTCTAGATTTCTCATCTTATTCGGGTCAACTACTCTAAATTTTGCTGCTAGGACTGCATGTTCGGCTAGTCTGACTCACTGACTGACCCTTTTCTACTACTTTGTCGTATGTATTTGACCTGACAATCATTCCAGCTGGAAGGGTTTGAAAGGCTACACTGTCAGGATTGATCCTTTAACCGATAAAGCTTGTTTCTAACTGAGTTTGTGGTTGGTTTGAATTTCAGTTGCTTTTATTCCTGCCTGCCTTGTTAAGAATTCTGTGTAAGGTGGTTTCCGAGGTTCCTTCCTTGTATGGAATTACTAGTGATGATTTAGATTCCTTATTGTTGGAGTCGTCAATAACAATATTATTATTACCCGGATAAATTATTCAGGAAATATATAACGAAATGTAAAAATAAAATAAGTAATTATAGTAGCGATAGTGATAATAATAATTATAACAATAATAATGATAATAATAATAGTGATGATAATAATACTAATGATAATTTTAATGACGACTCCAACAATAAGGAATCTAAATCATCAGTAGTAGTTCCAGGAACCTCGGGAACCACGTTACTCAGAATTCTTAACAATGCTGGAGGGAATAAAAGTAATTGGAATTCAACCCCTCCCCACAAACTCAACTAGAAACAAGCTTTATCGGTTAAAGGATCAATCCTGACAGTGTAGCCTTTCAAACCCTTCCAGCTGGAATGATTGTCAGGTCAAATACATACGACAAAGTAGTGGAAAAGGGTCAGTCAGTGAGTCAGACTAGCCGAACATGCAGTCCTAGCAGCAAAATTTAGAGTAGTTGACCCGAATAAGATGAGAAATCTAGAGCATAGTTCAGCCATACCACTCACTTCATGCAATCACACACAACCATATAATAGGCTGGATGGGATAGGATGACAGTTATGAAATATAATGTCACAGGGTATAGAGAGGGAGAGATTGATAACAATAGTAGCTTTGTTTATCGAATCAACTGAAACGAGGGAATACATGTAATAGGAATGATTCAACTAACACCTGTTCACCGAGATATTTGGAAAATTCTACCACCTCAATGATGACGACAAATAGGAGAAAATAAAGAAAACTATAAAATCCATGTTTCGAATTCGTGTGATTATAATTGATGAAATGATTATGAACAGCAATAATGAATTTTGTTCGAAACTTTGTCATCCAGTAAGTAATACTAATACTGTTTCACTGACTGACTGTGTGATACATCTAATAAGCAAACTAATGTGGAATTACTTACTACCACCATTGCGCCCAAGTCTTTCACATATATTAATATACAGTTGGAGTTGTTAACATGAGAAGGATGGATATCTGTCGATTTTTAATCGCACCAGAGAAGAACAAGTTGTTCGATTTACGCGGACGAGCTTAGCTGCAGGATAGGCTCTGGTTAGTGACGTACTCAGCCTTGTGTTGATGAATGAATGTTTTACAGTTTTGTATGCATATAAATGCATATTATAACATTTCACTTTTATATATAGGTTAAAGTTGCCGATAAAGAAGTTGACGTACTCTCCGGTTTTCGACTATACATCACAACTAAACTGGCTAATCCATCCTATACACCTGAAATATCCGCTAGAACATCAATTATCGATTTCACTGTAACAATGAAAGGCTTAGAAGAACAATTACTTGGCCGGGTAATTGTAAGTGAACGCTATGAGTTGGAAGCTCAACGTGTCCAATTAATGCATGATGTACAATTGAATAAGACAAAAATTAAACAGCTGGAAGACAACTTATTATCACGTTTAGCAAGCGTTCAAGGTTCACTGGTCGATGATGCTGATCTCATTGATGTGTTAAGCTCGACAAAATCAACAGCTAGTGAGGTATCAAGGAAGCTGGAAATTGCCTCTGAAACTGAAATGCAGATAACAGCTGCCAGGGAAGAGTACAGACGATTGCTACACGTGGTTCAGTGTTATACTTTCTGATTGTTGAAATGAGTCTAGTCAACTGTATGTATCAAACATCATTACGACAATTCTTAGCTTTGTTCGATCAGTCTTTAGCACGGTGAGTAATGATGTTTAATTAATAGTGTACTATTTTCTATTTGACAATATATATGGAGGATTTAATTATGAGCTGACATCAGTTAGAGAACCATCGGAGAACCTGATGTTTCGCCAGCCTGGTTTGTGGCTTTTCAGCAGTACACTCCAACCGGTGTTCCAACCCAGGACTACGTTCTGTTTACAAGGCGAGAGAGCGAGTGAGCTCGTAGACCATTAAACAGCAGCCACCGGGACCCAATCTAATGGCCAGCTACTGCATAAATTCTAACTTCTACCAATTCACCATATTTTGTTTTATAATCTTTTTGAGCAATTTATCTCTCTGTGTGTGTGGGGGTCAAATTATGTTTATATTTTTTTTTAGATCTGAAAAATCACCAGTCACTTCAAAACGTATCACCAATGTGATCGATTATATGACATACGATGTCTGGCGGTATGTGATTCGTGGTCTTTATGAAGTGGACAAGTCAACCTTTTCCCTTCTGTTGGCTCTGAAGATTGATATGCAAGCTGGAAGAGTTAGACACGAGGAATTTCAGTATTTTATCAAAGGTACTTATTCTCTCTTTTTTTGTAATAATAGTCGTCATTTTCAAGTATTGGTTTTGTTGGGATTTTGTTTGATTTTATGGTGGATTTCATCATGAGCTGACATCAGTTGGTTAGAGAACCACTGGAAAACCTGCAAGGAGTACTGGAGGTCTGTTTCGTCCCCCTAGTTTGGGACTCTTCAGCGGTACTCACCCACCATGGTTCACGAGCTCACCTTGTAGCCAGAAGGTGTTGGGTTCGAACCCCGGTTGAGTGAGTACTGTTGAAGAGTCCCAAAGTAGGGTGACGAAACAGCCGGCTGTCCAGTACTCCCTGCAGGTTCTTCAGTGGTTCTCTAACCAACTGATGTCAGCTCATGATGAAATCCTCCTTACACAATCAAATAGATGTTATTCTTGAATCAAATAATTATCCTAAATACCTTCATAAAAAGATACTTAAAAAATGTGAGCATAAGGATAAGGCGTTGAAATTCACATTCGAAGAAGAGTTCCAAAATAGAATAGCCTTCCTCGATCCCTGTTCTCCTTAGAAGAAATATTGTAAATATTGTAGTGAATGCTGAAAATTCTGTGCTGTATCATTATTACTGTTTTTGGAATCAAGCAAAAATTATTATTATTATTAAAACAATTAGTCCCTTTGATAAATTTAAATAAGGCATTAAGAAGACAAATTTCGCAGTGAGATGATATCGTCATTTCGTAGTTTCTTTACAACCGCTTTACAACTAACATGGTTAACAATGATAAAATAAAGTTCATGAAAATTACTCAGTTAAATAAAAACAAAAGTGCATACTAATGACCAATCATCACATTTAGATAGGTCATGTAGTCTAGGGTAGGCGACCATACTAGTTAACCATGTTAGTTGTAAAGCGGTTGTAAAGAAACTACGAAATGACGATATCATCTCACTGCGAAATTTGTCTTCTTAATGCCTTATTCATTATCATTATTGCCAAAACTATAACTATATAATAAAAAATGCAATTAAAATATTTGTGTTTACAATCATAGTTTAATGTCAAGTGGCACAATAATTAATGCTACATGTATATAGAATAATACGTAAGGTGTACAGATTTTGGAAAGGGGTACATAATTATAAGATTAGTAGACGAATATAAAATGTTACATAAGATGGTGTGGGAAATTTGATAAGATAGAATTCAGTATTGTAAAAATAAAAAATATAAAAATTAATAATTTTGGGTTTAGAATGACAAGTGGGTCAAGTGAAAAAGATTCAGAGTGAGAATAGTGATAATAATAATAATCGAAGTAATTAGGGAAAAGTACATAGAATAACTAAATAAACAAAATAAATAAATGTCTATCCCTCTACAGTCAAGTCAGGAGTTGGGGATTGTACATACTTCTTTTGTACACAAAGGTATGGCTGGCTTAAAGTCATGAATTACCAAGCTGTCTTTAGAAGTCTGTAACGAAGAAAACGCGGCCAGCAAGTTAGCATGGATTCCATATATGATATTGAAGTCATGGTCAGGGTTGACCGAGTGACAGAAGTCGATCAGGTGTTCGAGAATAGAGCACTTCGCACACACTTCCTTTCTCCCTTGTAAGACCAAGCTGGAATATGTTCTCGTATCCATGTGGAAAGCGTCCTGTGACTACGGCCAATATACCTTGCTCCACAAGAGCAGGTAAACTGGTAGATGCACATGGAGGCGGCCATTCGAGGGAGCTTATCTTTTACACAGAGGTAGAGAACAATTTGCGGCTCGTGAACGTTATATACAATTTTGCATATTGACAGCAACATGAAAGATAAACAGTCTAAACTGGTCACCGATTCAGTTCTAAAGAAAACCTTATTCATGAACTTGGAATTCACAGATGATCAAACTTCAGATAATCTCAGAAATCCTCTCTCTAAATCAGTCAGTAAGGCGTTCTTTGCAGCAAAATTTTATATGACGTTCACGCTTTCCACACGGATACGAGAACATATTCCAGCTTGGTTTTACAAGGGAGAAAGGAAGTGTGTGCGATGTGCTCTATTCTCGAACACCTGATCGACTTCTGTCACTCGGTCAACCCTGACGATGATTTCAAGATCATATATACAATTCATACTAACTTCCCTGGTTTTCTTCGTTACAGACTTTATATTCGTCTACTAAGCTTATTATTATGTACCCCTTTCCAACAACATCTATACGCCTAATGTATTATTATTCTATATATGACATTAATTATTGTGCCACTTGACATTAAACTATGATCATAATCACAAATATTTTAATTGCATTTCATACTTCTATTATTATTTCATGTATTCACACCTTCGATCTAATTCCCTTCGTCGCCGGATATAATTTCTTAAGAACCATATATACATATTCGATTGTACAGCTTGATAATAAATTCGTTGTTGAAAAGAGTCTCTTCGCTGAATATTGTGTTCTTAAAACTATAACTAACGACCTTGCAACAGTAGACTAGGCAATACCGTTTAGGATGCACCGATTTCCTACGAGTGAATTCGCGAAAAACAAATGCAGAATGAAGCTGGGTTAAAGGGGGATACTAACTATCTAAATCTATTCACTTTGCACACAGAAACTCACCAAATGTGTCAAGAACCTACTCGAATTAATTAGAACAAACTTTTACCAACAGCAAACCAAAAAAACCATTTCTATGTCTGTCAGTGATTGAGTCAGTGAAGTATATACACTTATCTGGTTAAATCTTCTCATGCAAGCTGAAAGCAAGAGGCCATTTGAAAAGAAAAATAAATAATTATATGAGGATTAGTGAAAATTGCAAAATCCCTACAAAACCAATACTTGAAGATTAGTGAAAAGGCCATATAGTATCTAAAGTCCTACGCTCAATAATATTGCGTAGACTAAGTGGTGCTCGGGAGGCACAAACACGAGAGAACAGACAGGCAGGCTTTAGACCAGGAAGAGAGTGTACTGGCTGATCATATCTTCACCCTCCGCAAGATTCTCGAACGTCAACATTCTTACCGGAGTCCAACAATCATTATATTTCTTGACCTAAAGGCGGAATTCGATTCCGTCGACCGAGAGATTCTCTGGCGATGCTTGACTGTAAAGAGAATGCTGGGTAAATACATTGCACTGATCAAGTCACTCACTCTACTCAAACTCATGCAGTCAGCCAGCCAGGTGAGAGCTTACGGCGAGTTGTTATCTGAAGTGGTGACAATTAGTGGTGTCCGTCAGGGATGCCCACTATCCCCATTTCTATTCAATTTCATCATAGATGTAATAATGGACTTAACTCTAAGTGACTTCAGAGACTCAGGGATTGACATTTATTATTTTTATTTTTGATTACAGCTTTATTCCACACTGTATTTTTGGTACATGTATGGAATTTTCAGCATGGTTATCGGTAGCCCAAATTTTGTAGGCCGACCACAGGTGTGCGTCGTTAGGTGATCGAACCTCGGAACATGTGCATGGTCGGCGAGAGTCCTAACCATTGTGCCACCAACGCTACCACCAAGAAATAATCTCGTTGACTTAGAATATGCAGATGATATAGTCCTTCTAGGCGAGGACGCTGGAAAAATACAGAGTTTTCTGAACACCTTGAGCTGCAATTTACGAATGTCTGGCATCCGATTCGCTCCCGCCAAATGTAAGATGATGTTGCAGGACTGAGAGGACTACACTGACTCCAAATTTAGAAATAGCGCATGAAGTGGTTGGTGGAGCGCCTTGACCGCTTAACTTATATGGGAAGTACCATCGGTCAGCCCAAAAAGGTTCGTCTCTGACGAAAACTCAGCTGAGTATGCATACAGAGGGCTAGTTTCTCATATACCGGCCAGTTTACGCCGTCTCTGGCTTAGTAGACGTGATATCCGGCTGGCTGGTTGGCTGGTTGTCGACCAAACAGCGGGTGTACTGCTCACCGGTCCGCTCCGTCCTCTTTTATGGCCAGCTGTGAGACCTGACCATTGAGAGTGGAAGACATGAAAAGATTAGCTGTCTTTGATCATAGGTGTCTACGCTCTATCCACTGTGAGTGCTAAGTGGTATAATAAAGTGAGAAATATTCAGGTTAGGCGTTGGTCGAATTCTAGGTAGGTGGGAGAGGAAATCAATCGACGAAGCTGTGAAGCAGTTACATCGACTGAGATGGTTAGGACATGTGTTACGAATGAATGCCTAGTCATCGCCCCTTCCTCGACAATGGGCAATGTTAGCTGGCTGACATAGGATTGGTCAGGCTGGAAAAGAGCTGGTGGCGGTCAAACCAAAACATGGCTTCATCATCAGTCAATGAAATCCACAACAGTTAGTTTAAGCCAGTCAGCCAGCCAATCAGCCACGTAGGAAGGTGTAGACTATTTTCCTGACTGGTTGGGGTCCTCGGGACGGTAAAAGCCAATGAAGGCTGGAAACAATTGGTGATACGGCTCAAAGCGATCGTTCTCAATGGCTGGCTGGCTGGCTGGCGAAGAAGGATCCACTCCTTGTGATTTACACTTTCCAATGAAACTATATTGTTCTTCGTTCGTCATTACTATTCCTTTGTTGTCTCACACCTCTGTTTACTGTCTCTCTCTCTCTCTCTATTATGCATTTCTTTTACTATCTTCTGTTGCTTTGTGTGCTACAAGGAGGGAGCGTGAGGGGACTTGAACTGTTGCACATCGGTGTAAAGTGGTTCTATGTCGAAAACAGACAGACAAACCGACAGACAGAAAAGAGCATATTTCTAAATGGCTCCAGAAACAAATAGAATCTTCAGAGCGCATTAATGGTGAGAACAGACGACAACCTTGCTCCTATATTGCGAAACATATTACAGAGGAGACAGGACATAAAATTGACGTTGGCACATCTTTTAAACCTATCTATAAAAGCGTGTTTATGGGGCAGGGTGTATCCTAAAATTTGTGGAAGCTAGCCCTAGTTGGCATTTAGGAAGTTTAAACCACTTTTATGCGTTCAAAGCAACAATTCGTTATCACACTAAATCACCTTCCTTGGTAAACTTTATTTTGATACCAACGAGGGTAGGCAGATGTAATATTACCTCTGCTATTTGGTTTAGTCATTCATCTTTATTGTTATTTTCACCTTCAGTATGTCCTCCTTTTAACTTGGCTTATTAGTTTACTTTCTCACCCACCTCTTAACTCTATTAATTTCCTATTTGACAATTTCCTTTGACAAATCCGTGTGTGTTGGATCAGAGTGTTCGAAATGTATTGTGCGCAAATACAACATTACACACAATTCAGACAGACAAATTACGTCTTCTAATTGTTTAACCTCTAAGAATTGTGTTCAATTTCCTAATGGAAGATCCGTTGGCAGGTTGGTTGACACCCTTCAAATAAACACGAAATCGTTAGTTTCATATGTGTGATTTCCAGCCTCTGCCTACAATGTTCTTAGTATGTTTTAGTATTCATCGCAAGGCTCCACAGTCTTGCCTGTGTGTTTTATCGCCTAATAAGACAGTAGTAAGACAGTTTGTCAGAAACCATCAATTTTTGCAAAGAGTTTGAATCCGACGAGAATGATTTGGCGTTCTGGATTGTTTAGTAACAGGAAAACTAGACGGCAAATTTAAAGTAGTCATATTCAGAAATCCGACAAATTTGGACAGATACCTAGACCACTATTCAGCCAAATATCTAGTTACTGAGCAGGAAGAGATTAGCAAGGAACTAAAATTGGTTCAATCAACTCTCTTAAATCTAATAATTATCCTAAAGCCTTCATAAAAAGATATTTAAAATGTGAAGACAAGGATGAATCGAAACCTGCTGCTAAGAATTGGGTTAGTACAGCGGTGGTTCCTTATCGCAAAGAAACATCCGATGAAATAAAGTGAATCCTTAACGAACATAACATAAGAGTGTACTTTCGTGCATCTAACACCTTACGCTCATTACTGGTGAAGGTTAAGGATAAAATAGAACAAGAAGACTACCAGCAGAATTGTGTATACCAGATCAATTGTGAGATTGTAACAATAAAGAATTTATTTATTTATATATAAGAGAAGTCTGATCCACTCCTTATCCTAAATAATAAGAAGGATATGTCCCAGTGATGCAATCGACAGGGAACTGGAGAGGCTCAAACAAGTCCTCATAGTGAATGGATATCCTCCAAGATTTATCGAGAAAAACATGAAGTTAAGCAAAAACCTAAAAGAATCGAGACGATGCTGAATAAACCGCTATTTATGAGTGTTGAATTAAGAGGTGATAGAGCTGCTGAGATCCTGAAGAACCGCATATCCATATCACCAAGAAAGGCTTCTTACCAGTGAGCTACGGATCAGCCTGTACAACCAATAAAATGATCAGTGGATGTGGTAAGGATGAACTGCCGCTTAGAATGGTCCACTTCAGTGTGTGTTTATAAATTCACCTGCTCGTGTGGAGCTAGTGATATTGACCGAAAAACTTGGCGAACACCTTCCAAACGCATCTCTGAACACTATCAGGCATGGTTAGCAAAGGGACAAAACAAGACAATTACTAGCTCAATTCTCGAGCACTTGGTGAACTCAAACCACGTAGCTCCACCAGAGTCATCTTTCAAGATCATCTACAAAGTCAAGGCAAATGGCGGGCGTCAGGTTTCGGCTTTTGTGTATGGCGGAGGTGCTGGCAATTCGTCAATACAACCTCGAACTCCGTATACATAGAAAGTTTGTCCAGTCTCTTATTCTACCTTGGCCTTTACCTCTTCACTAGTCGTTGCTTGTTAAAAATTTTTTATTTTTAAAAATTTTCAATTCTACTTTAAGTTGGCTTTCACTTTATTAATTAGTTCACTATTATCACTTTCATATGTTCCTTGTTGTACATTTTCACACCATCTTCACACTTGTTAAATTGACATTCAACTACCACCTTTATTCTCTCTCACTCAATAGCAATTTTAACCTTCCTTATCAAATTTCTATCTTTGTGCAGTTGAATACCACGTAATTTACAACTTTTATTTTTTACTTCTAAAGCCACTTCTGAGTAATTATATCAACGATGTCACTACACTTCATCAGCACCTCTATTACTCAATAGTAGACTAATATACATTTTTTGTAAATATAAATGCGACTGTACAGCCAAGCCAGCCTGTAAAGATGATTTCGTCGATAAAGGAAATTTTCGATTGCATGGAGGATTTCATCATGAGCTGACATCAGTTAGAGAACCACTGGAAAACCTGGAAGTACTGGACAGCCGTTTCGTCAGCCTAGTTTGGGACTCTTCATCAGTACTCACCCATCGGGGTTCGAACCCAGTAACTCACCGAAGAAGACATTGCGAAGTGGTTACGCTATGTCGTGAATTTGCAGAAGTTAGGGATCGGGGACCATTCGATCGGGTCCCCGTCGCTCAATGGTCTACGAGCTCGCTAGCCTTGTTACCGGAGGGTCATGGGTTCGAACCCCGGTAGGTGCGTATTGCTGAAGAGTCCCAAACTGGGCTGACGAAACAGCTGGCTGTCCAGTACTCCCAGGTGGGTTTTGCAGTGGTTCTCTAACTGATGTCAGCTCATGAAGAAATCATCCATGCAATCAAACAAATCCCTACAAAACCACTACTTGGAAAAGGAAATTTTCTTCTCTGAATTTGTCTTTTATTTTTTATTCACTCCGAGAGTTTAAACGTATGTTGAATTTGCTTCTGTTTTTTAAGGTGGTGCATCACTGGACATGAATACAGTGAAACCAAAACCATTCAAATGGATTACGGACATGACCTGGTTAAATTTAGTGGCTTTATCAAATCTGAATCAATTCGCCAGTATCTTAGATCAAGTTGTAAACAATGAACGTGGTTGGCGTCAATGGATTGAAAAATCTTCACCAGAATTAGAAACCCTCCCGGATGGTTATCAGTCACGTGCAGATACACTGAGACGCCTATTGCTTATTCGAGCCTGGTGTCCAGATCGTATTATGAACCAGGCGAATATCTACGTTGGTGATACTTTAGGCAAAAAGTTTGCTGAAGGCTTTGTCCTGGATTTGGATGGCGTGTATCAAGAGTCTACACCACTTTGGCCTATGGTTGGATTATTAAGCACTGGGTCAGATCCAACGCCACAAATAGAACTGTTAGCCAAAAAGTACAGAGTAGGTTTCTGATTTATATTGCCACCGTTTTAGCTTTAACCTTGTATTGTTAATTTTTTTTCAATGTCGTATGAAGAAAACACAGGAAGACAGCAGACAATTTTTTATTTTTTTTAACTTCTAATCAGGTGATGTTTCTCTGTTTTCGACATAGAACCACTTTACACCGATGTGCAACAGTTCAAGTCGCCACACTCCCTCCATGTAGCACACAAAGCAACAGAAGATAGTAAAAGAAATGCATAATAGAGGGAGAGAGAGAGAGAGAGACAGTAAACAGAGGTGTGAGACAACAAAGGAATAGTAATGACGAACGAAGAACAATATAGTTTCATTGGAAAGTGTAAGTCACAAGGAGTGGATCCATCTTCGCCAGCCAGCCAGCCAGCCATTGAGAACGATCGCTTTGAGCCATATCACCAATTGTTTCCAGCCTTCATTGGTGTTTACCATCCCGAGGACCCCAACCAGTCAGGAAGATAGTCTGCACCTTCCTACGTGGCTGATTGGCTGGCTGACTGGCTTAAACTAACTGTTGTGGATTTCATTGACTGATGATGAAGCCATGTTTTGGTTTGACCGCCACTAGCTCTTTTCCAGCCTGACCAATCCTATGTCAGCCAGCTAACATTGCCCATTGTCGAGGAAGGGGCGATGACTAGGCATTCATTCGTAACACATGTCCTAACCATCTCAGTCGATGTAACTGCTTCACAGCTTCGTCGATTGGTTTCCTCTCCCACCTACCTAGAATACGACCGACGCCTAACCTGAATATTTCTCACCTTATTATACCACTTAGCACTCACAGTGGATAGAGCGTAGACACCTATGATCAAAGACAGCTAATCTTTTCATGTCTTCCACTCTCGATGGTCAGGTCTCACAGCTGGCCATAAAGGAGGACGGAGCGGACTGGTGAGCAGTACATCCGCTGTTTGGTCGACAACCAGCGAGCCAGCCAGTTAGCCAACCAGCTACCCGGATATCACGTCTACTAAGCCAGAGACGGCGTAAACTGGCCGGTATATGAGAAACTAGCCCTCTGTATGCATACTCAGCTGAGATTTCGTCAGAGATATCAACCCGTTGGGGTGATACGCTCTGAGAAGTGGATTCGTTACAATTTTGTTACATTTTGTGTGTTAATCAGACCTTATAGTTTCTTTTGCTCACTTTGTTTTGCTAGTTCTTTTGTGAAATGTTTTGTTTGCTGGTCACTAGTTGAAGCTGTGGGCGCACATACTCACAAACAGTCTTATTATTATTATTATAATAAGATTGGTAAGTCTAATCGCCTTACTTGCATTTGCTTTAGTAATTTATTCCTTTGTCCCTACTACCTTCAGTTATTGGGGCTAAGACGAATAGAAGGTCAATACATCAAATAAGAAACCAAGGACTCATTTGAAAAAAAGGAAAATCCTATTTTCGACGCTACCACGTCTCAACACTCTGGATCGACGCTTTTACACTCAATAGGGAATCAACTAGAACTAAAGCGAATAATAATAACAATGTGTTCTGCACAAAAATTACATTTAGAAAATCAAAACAAGTGGTGATCCATTCAGCGAAGAGTTTCCTTTCAACAACGAATTTATCATCAAGCTGTACAATCGTATATATATATATATATCACACGCAGGTCTGAGTGAATGCATAAAATAATAATAGTAGTATGAAATGCAATCAAAAACTAAAATGTTTGTGATTACAATCATAGTTAAAAGTCAAGTGGTAAATTAATCAATGTCATACATAGAATAATTCATAGGATGGATAGAACTTGGAAGGGATGTGCAATTATAGAATTAGTAGACAAATCGAATAAAATAAAAAAGAACGTTAAGTAATATTGTGTGAAATTTGTAAGTAATGTAAGCTATTTAACTGTAGTTTTCAAATTTAGAGAACCAAAAGGTACTGAGTTCGAACCTGCTGTGGTGGGTGCGTACCACCAATGAAGCAGCTGTCTAGCAGTACTCGCCTATGGCTGGTTTCCAATGCTTCTCCAACTAATAACAAACGGTGAGTGTTGAAACTCGTAAAAACATGACTAATCCTTGCAAATCAAACTATAGAAAATCTAATGCATGTATTGTTTACACGTCTGCATCCCTATTCTTTACTATCACCACCGAATCTGAGTCATTAATGAGCAATTAAAAATTGCATATATCCGTGAATATGGTAGTTTTACTAAACTCACGGTCACTTGTTCTACATTGTAGGACCACAGTCAACCTTTTCAGCGGATTAATGCATAACAGTAATCTTTTCCAGGTCAAAAACTGGATTTATGAAGTACACCCATTAGTTTTTGAACTAGGAGATTAGACTAGAATCGAATGAACCGAGGCCATACATACTGATCCTATCAGTCAACCGAAAAACAAAAACAAACAGATCAGCTGATCTACGTGTTTTGTTTTCATTTTTGCCTGGATGGATATGATCCATGAATTGAAACCTAGCAAGGACCCCTCGACAGTCAAGGAACTCAATGGGTTTCTACGGTACACTGTCAAGCTTGCTGTGGGGAAAGCGGAAATTGGTTTTTTCGAGGATTGCGTCGCTAATCATAAGTATCCAAAGTGTTTCTGGAAAGCACTGCAACGCAATCATATATATCCAAATATGAAGTCTTTTCAACGTCATGCAATGAATTGTGCTGATTCTATCAGATCACGTATGCCCGAACTGTAACGGAATATTAATCAAACATCCTCTGGCCTATACGAATCGACTCCGGACGAATGTCAAAGATTCATTGAATACATCAACTTAGTTGTAAATAAACGGTCGCAGTCTGCCGTAACCCAGCTCAACAACAGCCTTAAGCAGATGAAACCTCAAGGCGAATTTCCTGACAAACCCACAAAATTTGTATTCAATTATTCCTCAGTACCTTTAACCGACGTGTAACTGGAAGTCCTATCTCTGAGCCCAAAACTCGGCGATATCAATTTCAACGCCGAAAAACTTCGTACTCAGGTCCAGTTTGAAAATCTAATCAGTCAAACGAACGATCTCAGCCCAACTTCTGAAGACGAATTACAGAGATTCAAGTCAACAATCATGGACTGCTGCCACCAATACTTGAATACAAAATCAAAAGTCTGCGACTACTTAACAAAGCAGCAGTACGCACCCACTAGGACGAAACAGCTGTCCAGTACTCCCAGGTTTTCCAATGGTTCTCTAACTAATGTCAGCTCATGATGAAATCCTAAAATGAATTCAATTTACGCAAAATGTTTTGACTTTGTATTTTAATTATATATGTCCAAAGCAAGTTCACTTTTAACGGTTTGAAAAAATTTGGGCATTGCGTATATGATTTTCATTATAATAAAGGTTTTTTTGTATTTCCCAATGAATGAAAAAACAAAACGATATTGTTGCTCTTACTGACGTTTCGCTATTTAATGCCGATAATAGCTTTCTCAAAGTATTATTAAACCGGAATTTACAAAATCTCAGCATATATATAACAAAGAGTTAGGGGGTGAGAAAAAGATACATAGACTTAGTTCAACTTAAAAGGACATATTGAAAGTCAAAATAACAATGAAGATCGTTCAAACCAAATATCAAAGGTAATAGTATATCTGTTATTATATCAAAACAAAGTTTACTAACTTGATCATCGTTCGTTAGTCTGGGGGCATTTTTCGTTGTCAAGTTGGAGAATTGGTCAAGATAACAAAAATAAGTGTATATATGTCCAAAGCAAGTTCACTTTTAACGGTTTGAAAAAATTTGGGCATTGGGTATATGATATTCATAATAATTAAAGTTTTTTTGTATTTCCCAATGAATGAAAAGCAAAACGATATTGTTTTTTCATTCATTGGGAAATACAAAAACCTTTATTATAAAGAAAAATAAGTGTAAATTGTGAAATACTTTATTATGGTTCGTCAGTCTGGGTCGTTTTTTGTTGTCGAGTTGGCGAATCGGTGAAGACAACAAAACCAAGTGTAGATTGTTGGATTTGATCAGTGTGTAGAATTATGAAAGTAGTGTGTGTTTACATATTGAACTTGCTTATCACATTTGTGTTGATTTTGCTACTTCATAGGGGAGGGTGTTGTTGTAACCAGGTCAGATTCTGTTTTAGTCCATCATTCCTATTCATTTCAGACAATTTGGATCCCACTTGATATGAAGTACTTCTGATATTAGCCGTTCTTTGTGATTTCTGAAATGCTTTTTCTGGATTATTTCAATATTGTCAGAATCAATTTTGTGGTCTGATTCTATAGCGTGTAGACCCATGGCTGATGAATTTTCAAGCTTTTGTAGTTCCACTGGATTTCTCGGTGGTCGAATAGATTCTCTGCGGTGTCAATTTCTTCTGATTGCCTTGATTTCTCTCTAACGATGTTTGCCTGATGTATATCGCATCACATTCCAAGCAAGTGTTTTATTTTATTGACACAATTAGATAGCGAATCTTTAGGGATTTTGTCTTTTATATTTTAATGATTAAAAAAAAATCCGAATAATTCTGCTTCTGCAGAAGCTGTGGCAGCTTACACCGTGAAACGTGTTCAGAAAACAGATCTTGTTTTGATCTTCTTCTTTTCTTGAACATGCTGAGGTTACGTTGAATAATTTATAGTAAATCAATCTGACTCGGCGCTCAAATTATTCTAGGAAGTTCGTAACACGTACAGTCTTGAAACCTATAATATTATTATTAACAAGTCTTGTTTCCTTTTTTGTCTCTCCTATTTTTCTAGGTTGATTGTAAGACAATTTCAATGGGACAAGGACAGGAGATTCATGCTAGGCGACTAGTGAACAATTTACTCCAATCAGGTGGTTGGATTATGCTACAAAATTGTCATTTATCATTAAGTTATGTAGGCGAATTATTAAATCAAATCACTGAAATGGATCACATTCATCCAGAATTTCGAATTTGGGTGACAACTGAAGTACATCCACAATTCCCCATTTCATTCTTACAAACTTCTATAAAGTTTACAAATGAACCTCCTCAAGGAATTCGCGCTGGATTGAAACGAACCTATGCAACTTTCAATCAAGTAAATTCTATGATTTTAAAACTTTCTTTTTAGAGTGGTTTCTTCTCAGTGTGTGATCTCTCAATGTCATGAACTGATGTATACTTAAAAAAGTTTTATCCTAGTCGTTTTCTTATCTGTGGGCTGCATGCCAAGTAATCCATAACATGAAACTTACAGAATCCTTCGAAGTGAGGACGGGAGTAAGATAAGGGCGGCTTGCTGCCTAGTATCGCCAATGATCTTCCTGATTGCAGTAGATTGGACAGTGCGACAGACGGCGATGGGCAGGGGGGGACGGGCAGAAAATGGAGCCTTACAAAAAGAGACTTGGAGGATCTGGACTTCACCGATGTGATACATATGTCTGATTTCCCACAAACTGGAAGATATGCAAGTGAAAAGCAACAAGTTGACAGAAGAAGCATTCAGAGAAGATAGAATTCCAGGTAAACATAGAGAAAACAGAGGTGATGAAGATTCCTGGCCACTACCAACAACAACAGCAACAACAAACACGGACAACAATCAGCCAGCAGAAATGGGAGGAACCTGAAAGAAACAACCTCCTTTACCTACCCACCTAACTGGGAAGCATCGTTCCAACTACAGGCGGGCGGAACTGACGAGGATATCAAGGCAGCGAGGATCGGAAAAGCAAGACAAGCTTTCATTACTGTCATTAAGTCTGTGTGGAGGAGATGAACAGGACTCAGCATGAAAATGAAAATAAGATCCAGATTTTCAACTCCAATGTGAAGTTAGTCAGTGCTACTATACGGCTAGCGCGTCATAAAGAGCACCTCAAACAAACTACAGACCTTCATCAACAGCTGTCTTCGCTCAGTACCCCGCTCAAGATCTGATGGCCGGCCGGCCAGAAGAGATCAGCAACAGGGACTAACACAGCAGGAACCGATTGTTCAACAAAATGGCAGGAAGAAATGGAGGTTGACTGGATGGCCATACTCTGAGACAACAAACCATCAAGCGGCATCACACGACAGGCCATCGCTCGAGTGGAACTCAGCCGAAAGGGAAGCGGCGAGTTGGTCGTCAGTGAGAGCGTGACTTGGACGAGATGAAAGTGTGTGGGCAGATTTGGAGCCAGGTGAAAACTCTGGGAGAGAACTGAACGCAATGGAGACGTGCAGTTGAAGCCCTATGTTCCTCTAGGAATTAAAGGAGATAATAATTATGATAATTAGGAATGCGAGGTCAGTTTAAGGAGTTCTGGGAGTGTGTGTGTGTGTCTTGTAGTTTGTTCAAATGTATAACCGTGCATATTTTACCAAGACACGACATTTTCAACATGCATTTTGTTGTTTCTCTTTCTCTCTTGAACTCATTACTTAATTACTTATGCATTTTTATACGCTTAGGATTATATAGATATAAATAATCAACCACAATGGAAACCGATGATCTATGCAATCGCCTTCTTGCATACCACAGTACAAGAAAGGCGTAAATATGGTCCAATTGGTTGGAATATTCCTTATGAATTTAATACATCTGATCTAAACGCCAGTCTACAATTTGTACAGAATCAGTTAGATGATATGGATCCTAAATTGGTGAGTGAACTGCGCGCTTTTCTAAGTTATCATCATTTCACCTCATATATTTAAATTTGATTCTGTCTGTCTGCCTGTTTTCGACATAGAACCACTTTACACCGATGTGCAACAGTTCAAGTCCCCTCACGCTCCCTCCATATAGCACACACAAAGCAAGAGAAGAAAGTAGAAGAAATGCATAATAGAGAGAGGGAGAGAGAGAGAGACAGTAAACAGAGGTGTGAGACAACAAAGGAATAGTAATGACGAACGAAGAACAATATAGTTTCATTGGAAAGTGTAAATCACAAAGAGTGGATGCATCTTCACCAGCCAGCCAGCCATTGAGAACGATCGCTTTGAGCCATATCACCAATTGTTTCCAGCCTTCATTGGTGTTTACCGTCCCGAGGACCCCAACCAGTCAGGAAGATAGTCTACACCTTCCTACGTGGCTGATTGGCTGGCTGACTGGCTTAAACTAACTGTTGTGGATTTCATTGACTGATGATGAAGCCATGTTTTGGTTTGACCGCCACTAGCTCTTTTCCAGCCTGACCAATCCTATGTCAGCCAGCTAACATTGCCCATTGTCGAGGAAGGGGCGATGACTAGGCATTCATTCGTAACACATGTCCTAACCATCTCAGTCGATGTAACTGCTTCACAGCTTCGTCGATTGGTTTCCTCTCCCACCTACCTAGAATACGACCGACGCCTAACCTGAATATTTCTCACCTTATTATACCACTTAGCACTCACAGTGGATAGAGCGTAGACACCTATGATCAAAGACAGCTAATCTTTTCATGTCTTCCACTCTCGATGGTCAGGTCTCACAGCTGGCCATAAAAGAGGACGGAGCGGACCGGTGAGCAGTACACCCGCTGTTTGGTCGACAACCAGGCAGCCAGCCGGATATCACGTCTACTAAGCCAGAGACGGCGTAAACTGGCCGGTATATGAGAAACTAGCCCTCTGTATGCATACTCAGCTGAGATTTCGTCAGAGATGAACCTTTTTGGGCTGACTGATGGTTTTATGGTCTCGTCGACAAATTGTTATTGTGGACTGGTCGAGAATTTAATAGTCCTAACGCAAGAAGGCGGAAATCAGAAGACCACTAGGTTTGCGATGATACTTCTATTTTCCAAACACCAGGAGAAGCAAAAGTGGTATCACACCAAAAGTGGTCAGTGTAAGTCACACAAATTGTGAGAACGAAATATATATATGAATGTTCAGACAAGGGTGTGAACAAATCACTAGACAGTCTTAACATGAATGGCTAATTATAATGAAGTATCGATCCATATATACATAGCGAAATGTAGCAGACATGTCAACAACCACACATAATATGGATATATGTCACCAAGCAACGGACTGTCAACAAACACACATATTATATATAATATAAGGGGAATATACATTGTTAAAGGAGACAAGTTCATACAAGTGAAATGGTCACAGACTAAGCGAGCAAACAGAAAGAGAGACCAACATACACACACACATAAATATATATATGTGTGGATACATATCACCTCCCCTTTTGAGAAGATGGATGATTAGTAGGATGTTTACCTGGGGGTTTATCTGGAACCTTTGGGCTTGTTGTTGACGTCTGTCGTTTCGTCTGCCTGTTGGGTTTGCGGTTTCGGCTTCGTCCGGAATTGTCTGACATTTTATGCTTCTTGACTGCATTGCATAGAGAATTTAGTGGGACATCAGCCAGATGCAAACGATCGAACCAATCAAGTCCCAAAAGATTTAAATCATTCTTGGTGACGTAGCAAATTCCTGTGAATTTGGTATTGCGGAAGGAAACAGAACATTTGAGTTCACCAATAAGTTTGAGGCGCCCACCACAGGCGCTGACAGCAGTCTGAGAAGTATTTGCGATTGGTGGTCTGCCAATATTATTCCAAAGTTTCTCTGATATAACAGTAATATCAGAGGCGGTATCTAGCTGTAGACGTGCATCATGACCACTCATCTGAAGGTCAATATATTTCCGCATAGCTGGTGTTGTGACTTGACAGGTTGCGAGTAAACTCAATGATCTTTTTGAAGATTTAGGACCAACAGTTTGTCGAGCTTTCGCTGGATTATGATATCTGAGTAGGCGTGGCTGACAAAAACCATTTTTATGACCGATGATTTTGCACTTGCTGCAACGATGATTTTTCTACGGACAAGACTTTACAAAGTGCCAGGCGCCACAGTGCCAGCATGGTGATGGTGGGGTCTTCTTTGCAGTATTTTGTGAAGTTGGACGAGTATGTGAAGATTTCCGCAGGACATTAAGAGAAGGTGTGTCAGGAGTAGATGATGAGAGAGTTTTGCTGTGAGACCTGACCATTGAGAGTGGAAGACATGAAAAGATTAGCTGTCTTTGATCATAGGTGTCTACGCTCTATCCACTGTGAGTGCTAAGTGGTATAATAAGGTGAGAAATATTCAGGTTAGGCGTCGGTCGAATTCTAGGTAGGTGGGAGAGGAAATCAATCGACGAAGCTGTGAAGCAGTTACATCGACTGAGATGGTTAGGACATGTGTTACGAATGAATGCCTAGTCATCGCCCCTTCCTCGACAATGGGCAATGTTAGCTGGCTGACATAGGATTGGTCAGGCTGGAAAAGAGCTAGTGGCGGTCAAACCAAAACATGGCTTCATCATCAGTCAATGAAATCCACAACAGTTAGTTTAAGCCAGTCAGCCAGCCAATCAGCCACGTAGGAAGGTGTAGACTATCTTCCTGACTGGTTGGGGTCCTCGGGACGGTAAACACCAATGAAGGCTGGAAACAATTGGTGATATGGCTCAAAGCGATCGTTCTCAATGGCTGGCTGGCTGGCTGGCGAAGATGGATCCACTCCTTGTGACTTACACTTTCCAATGAAACTATATTGTTCTTCGTTCGTCATTACTATTCCTTTGTTGTCTCACACCTCTGTTTACTGTCTCTCTCTCTCTCTCTCCCTCTATTATGCATTTCTTTTACTATCTTCTGTTGCTTTGTGTGCTACATGGAGGGAGTGTGGCGACTTGAACTGTTGCACATCGGTGTAAAGTGGTTCTATGTCGAAAACAGAGAAACATCACCTGATTAGAAGTTAAAAAAAATAAAAAATTGTCTGCTGTCTTCCTGTGTTTTCTTCATACGACATTGAAAAAAAATTAACAATACAAGGTTAAAGCTAAAACGGTGGGAATAGAAATCAGAAACCTACTCTGTACTTTTTGGCTAACAGTTCTATTTGTGGCGTTGGATCTGACCCAGTGCTTAATAATCCAACCATAGGCCAAAGTGGTGTAGACTCTTGATACACGCCATCCAAATCCAGGACAAAGCCTTCAGCAAACTTTTTGCCTAAAGTATCACCGACGTAGATATTCGCCTGGTTCATAATACGATCTGGACACCAGGCTCGAATAAGCAATAGGCGTCTGAGTGTATCTGCACGTGACTGATAACCATCCGGGAGGGTTTCTAATTCTGGTGAAGATTTTTCAATCCATTGACGCCAACCACGTTCATTGTTTACAACTTGATCTAAGATACTGGCGAATTGATTCAGATTTGATAAAGCCACTAAATTTAACCAGGTCATGTCCGTAATCCATTTGAATGGTTTTGGTTTCACTGTATTCATGTCCAGTGATGCACCACCTTAAAAAACAGAAGCAAATTCAACATACGTTTAAACTCTCGGAGTGAATAAAAAATAAAAGACAAATTCAGAGAAGAAAATTTCCTTTTCCAAGTAGTGGTTTTGTAGGGATTTATTTGATTGCATGGATGATTTCTTCATGAGCTGACATCAGTTAGAGAACCACTGCAAAACCCACCTGGGAGTACTGGACAGCCAGCTGTTTCGTCAGCCCAGTTTGGGACTCTTCAGCAATACGCACCTACCGGGGTTCAAACCCATGACCCTCCGGTAACAAGGCTAGCGAGCTCGTAGACCATTGAGCGACGGGGACCCGATCGAATGGTCCCCGATCCCTGACTTCTGCAAATTCACGACATAGCGTAACCATTTCGCAATGTCTTCTTCGGTGAGTTACTGGGTTCGAACCCCGATGGGTGAGTACTGATGAAGAGTCCCAAACTAGGCTGACGAAACAGCTGTCCAGTACTTCCAGGTTTTCCAGTGGTCCTCTAACTGATGTCAGCTCATGATGAAATCCTCCATGCAATCGAAAATTTCCTTTATCGACGAAATCATCTTTAGAGGCTGGTTGTGCAGTCGCATTTATATTTACAAAAAATGTATATTAGTCTACTATTGAGTAATAGAGGTGCTGATGAAGTGTAGTGACATCGTTGATATAATTACTCAGAAGTGGCTTTAGAAGTAAAAAATAAAAGTTGTAAATTACGTGGTATTCAACTGCACAAAGATAGAAATTTGATAAGGAAGGTTAAAATTGCTATTGAGTGAGAGAGAATAAAGGTGGTAGTTGAGTGTCAATTTAACAAGTGTGAAGATGGTTTGAAAATGTACAACAAGGAACATATGAAAGTGATAATAGTGAACTAATTAATAAGGTGAAAGCCAACTTAAAGTAGAATTGAAAATTTTTAAAAATAAAAAATTTTTAACAAGCAACGACTAGTGAAGAGGTAAAGGCCAAGGTAGAATAAGAGACTGGACAAACTTTCTATGTATACAGAGTTCGAGGTTGTATTGACGAATTGCCAGCACCTCCGCCATACACAAAAGCCGAAACCTGACGCCCGCCATTTGCCTTGACTTTGTAGATGATCTTGAAAGATGACTCTGGTGGAGCTACGTGGTTTGAGTTCACCAAGTGCTCGAGAATTGAGCTAGTAATTGTCTTGTTTTGTCCCTTTGCTAACCATGCCTGATAGTGTTCAGAGATGCGTTTGGAAGGTGTTCACCAAGTTGTTCGGCCAATATCACTAGCTCCACACGAGCAGGTGAATTTATAGACACACACTGAAGTGGACCATTCTAAGCGGCAGTTCATCCTTACCACATCCACT